AGTTGGTGGAATTTCCCACAACAATGATATGAGGAATGATTTCCTTCTTGGCCCATTCCAAACCAAAAACTTCAGCAAGTTTTCTTAAATTGATTGTAGCAGCCTCACGAATAGAATAAACATTATCCCACAACCATGTCATGCACAATGGACCTAACTCTCTGTCAAAAAATGAAACGCCAAGTTGTTCGGCAAGAAGAGGAATATACTGAATGATGGCAAGTCTAACACGCCATTGCTTGTCCTTAGCAAGATCGCTGATAGCAGGTAAAAGAGATTTAGACAGAAGATCAACACCAATCACCTCATTGACCACCTGAAGCTTAGAAATAATGTTAAGTCGAACATCCGGGAATTCATCCTTAAGCATCAAAAGGAAAGTAGGAAGAAGATGCTCAATTGTCATCTCCTTGCCTAAAAGAGGTGCAAGGCGACTAATCTCAGATGCCAATGCCGAGCGAACATGTTGTGACGAATCTTGTGAAAGACCTTCAACAGAAGGAATTATTTCAGAAAGAATGCTCTCACGAGGAATAAGTTTGCAAAACCCGGGAATCTGTTTGGAAATAGCTGTACGGACTTCCGCCTCGGAATCCTTCATAAGGCCAACAAAAGCAGGAATAAACTTTTCGCGAGCAAGAGGTGAATCCAGAGCAACAGCCAAGTCCTCAAACCGAGAAGAAGCCATGTAACGCACACGCCAGCTCTTATCTGTGAAAAGAGAGTTAGCCAGGTTGACCAGCTCCACATTGTACTTGGTAATGTTTTGCTTTTTAAGAGCCTCGGCAATGGAAATAAGAACATTGGTGGAGAGAAGTCGAACTGAATCTTGGTCGTCATTAACTTGAGACTGGAACATAGAATATATGCTGCCTTCAAACTTGGCATCTTGCAAAACAGCAATAACACCAGGAAGATTGGTGGCAGCCGCACGACGGACCATTGGGGCTTCGTCAAGACAGAGAGTCTTGTACATGACTAAAAGTTCTTCTTGTGCGGCGGAGGATGCAGAAAGCTTCTTAACAACAGACGCATAAAGGCCGGTGGCGGAAACACGACTGGAAAACCACTCCGTTATAGAAAGACGCTTGATAAGAGGAATGAAATGTTCCTTGATTTGTTCTGGGGTTTGAGTTTCAATGATCTTATTTAAGGACTCCACGGCCTTGTCTCGGACCAATGGTTCTTCCATTGCGCTGAGAGACTCGAGAGTTGAAATTAACTTGTAAGCATATTCGGGACCACCAATATAAGGAATGAAGTTGCCTAATTCCTCCGCGAGAACAGTCAAAACTTCATCTTCGTCTTCCTGTGTGACTTCTTCTAAAAATGGAATAAGTTCTAAACGAGTTCGTTCTTCACCCAAAGCTAAGGCAATTGTCGAAAGTCGGTGCATAGCATTGAGTCGCAGAGTGACATCATCGTGCTATATATAGTAAAGAAAAAAATTTTTTTTAATAAACAATTCAATTAGTTATCAATGCCATTAGGTATTTTAAAATCAATCGATCATTTAATACTAACCTTAAGCTCATCAATGAGAAGAGCCAGAGGATAGATTTCTTCTGGGGTTGGCTGGTGAGGATCCATGATGAATTTAGGTACGTAACAAGGGTGGCTGTGGGGAATTTAGATAGAGCAACTAAAGTTATAGTGTGATCAATCGAGACTATTTTTATTGTTCAAAAAAAATTGACAACAATGGTTGAAGAAAGATGTATTGCAAATGAACGATGCTGCGTCTGTTGTGACGAAAGAAAATAGGGTTGTTTGATATTGTTGTTGTTTGGTGTAGTTTTGGGTTGCAAAAATAACTGGTCGAGGTAATAGATAAATACGCCTTCAATTACTTTATATCTTGAAAGAAAAATCAAAAATAAAAGAGATAAAGTGTGAGTAAGAGAAATAATAACATAGAGCCTGATAAATACCTTACCTTGATTTCTTCTTTAGATATGAGAAGAATCTCTGAGAGTAATTATAAGCTTGCGATGTTGGTAAAGAGGGCGTTGGAAAAGATGGATATTTGGTGGAGAGATTAATGAAAGAGAAAAGTGGTGGTTCTATTCTATTACAGAAACGGAGTTGGATGACAACTCATAAAAAATTTGTGCATATATTTCCTGTAACACGAATAAGCTTAGCCCTCGTCGTGGCGATTACCCTGAGAAAAAAACCCCTTGGTGGTAGTGTTATGTTACAAAAGATTTCTCCTTATTGTAATACAAATAAAGCTTAATTGGGATTTTAAAATATATAATCATTATGTAATATGTTAATTTTTCATTCAGCCGTTCATGGTTTTTATGGGGAGGGAGGGGTTCAAGATAGTGATTGTTAAATTTCTAATTCTACAATGTGCTTGCTTGTTTTTTTTTTCTTTTTTTTCTCTAACCATCGTTTATTTTTCTCCAAAAAAATTAAAATGTCTCTTCAAAAACAGACTTCTGGATTTGTAGAATCTACACTGAAAAATGTGATAGGTATAGTGCTTTTGTCTTTGTTTTTGACGTTAAAACTATGAGCTTTAACCATTTACTGTTTTTAGAGACTGCAACATCTATCTTATCAATTCTACAAGATCTAGCAAATATCACTACCACAAATAAAAATCTTGATTTAGATTTACTTGTTCATTGTAAAACGGCTCTTCCATTAGTACAGTCATTCGAAAAGAAAATTAGATATGCCCAAATTGATTCCGTAAACATATCTCATGAACTTACAAAAAACTTTGATCTCAAAAGTATGATATTTTAAATATATGTATATATATATATATATCACGACTTCTAACTTTAACATTATTACTAGTAACCACTCTTTGGAACTTATCTGTAACAGTCTCAAAGCTATCTCCTTTACCAATGTCTTCTTTAGCACTCTATCAAGTGAAGCATTTTGCTTCGCTTCTGCTTATGATTCAACAATCTTTATTTCCATCTACTTCTAGTAAGATAATAACTTTTTTTTTATGAAAAATTTCTGTTCAATTAATTTACTAAAATTTTTAGACATTTTGCGTACTTTAAAATGCTTGATTAAAACGGAAAATATTTGTATTGAATGTCAAAATTATAATGATACAGAATCTCTTTTTGAATTGAATGATACGGTATGATTGATCTTTGTAAAATATTTATAAAAAAAAATCAATTAACCCAGAAAAAAAAGTGCCTAAAACGAATTGAACCATTTCAGCCTAAGATCTCGTCGAATGAACAAGGAATGCTTAATGTTCTTAAAGCTGAGAGTTTTATTGTTCGAATTATTATGGTATGTTATTCTTTCATCATTCAAAACCTTAACTAACGTTTTTGTTGCATTAGAATTTAAAATCCGGGAATTTCGAAGTCGCTAAATCCATATTCAGGTTTTCTAATATCAAATCTTATGCAAATGGGTTCAAGTACCTAAAGTATTTGGATTATCTTATTCAACTTTTTAATTGCTCAGTTGACTTAATGTCTCAATCCAAATACAAAGAAGTGGTTGATTGGATCACGATAATTTTAGATATGTCAACATTAACGACAGCGAATTCTGCAAAAGAAACTGAACTTTTGAATATTTTACTTCGAAACGCTAATCGATTACTAAGTATTCCTTTGGATTATTAATATCACTGGGCTATTGGATCTAAATCTAACATATTACTAGTTCGTGCACTATGCACCTATGATCCTTCTATAGCGGCATCAATTGTTAAAGACATGGAAATTGCAAGTTTTTTTTAATCAGTATAGATACTTAACTAACAATCGATGTAGAAATTCCCTGATTCAACTGAGACCTTTCTATCCAAGTTTGAAGTTCTTGATGCTTTGCAAGCAGTTTCAGAGCAATATGAAAATGGTAAGTCTTCTGTATTATTCTTATTAAATGCGTTCTAACTTTTTAAGCTTTGATGGAATTTGCCTTATCAGCTGATGTTTCAACAAATATTGAAAAGTATGGTCAACTATTATTAGGTTTTGATAATTATTAACTCAAAAAAAAAAAAAAAAAAAAAAAAAAAAAAACAGCGTCATGTTTTTATTTCAGCATCTAAATTCTAAATGCAATGTTTTTATATCATTTGATTTCATCATTGCTAACAAGCTTAAATTTGAAGAAGAAAATAAGCTCTTGCTGAAAATTCTAGTGGCAAGAATTCGGCTTACCATTGAGAGTCCCAAATTCGAATGCATGGATTTAGTCGAATATTTCAGTTGTACGTTTTATTAATTGTTGAGTTGTCTTAAAAATTAACTTTTAGCCAGTACTTGAGAGAAAATTTGAATATGATCCACCTAAAGCTTTCATTGAAACTATCATGGTGGTAAGTTTAAATTAATTTTATGAATGATTATTTGCTAAATTGTTATAGATGGTTTGGAAAAAATCTCGTTCCATGGAAAATGAAGACTACAATAAAGCAGCTCTATGCCTTGAGCTACTTAATCATCCTTTTTTCAACGAAAAAATTAGTGATCCTAATGTTGCGAAAATTGAAAGACGTTTAATGTTTTTGTATGACAAATCTGGAAATTGGAATCGGATTCCTGAAAAAGAACAGAAAATGCGCGATGCTGATAGAAACGATGTCAAAACGATATTACATAAAGTCAGTTATTATCTTCAAGCTGATGATTTAGAAAATGGTAAGCTAAAAGATTAGTTGATTCAATAGACTTTAACTAAATTTATTTTTAGCAAAACATAGTATTGACCAGCTTTGTGAATCAGATGACGAGCAGATGGCAACGGTTCTTGCTCTTTCTATATCAAGAGCGCGTGATCTAAATAAACACACTATCACAATGTATGCCATGAAGAAAATGATTGATGTAATTGCACAAGAAAAACCAATCGATAAAGAGTCAATAAATCTTCCAGCTTTGATCAGGTCAACGATTCAGCTCCAGTTAAAATCGCTTAGTCAATTTACTAAAGAGTATTCTAGCAATAATCGAGAAAATGAAAACCCCTTGGATGGTATTTATAAAAATATCTCAGACACGTTATTACTGATAAGTTCTGTTATATCTCAGTCAGCACATTTTTGCTCTATGATTTCAATTGAAAATAATGCAAGGTGCAATAATAATTTAGGTAATAAGTTTCAATTTACGCAAAACGACATTTTGTGGATTGTTAGTAAAGCATATTTCAGTGCGGTTCAAGCAATGAAGTTTGCAAAGTATGAAATATCCACATCGTTAATCAATTTTGCTTTGGACGTAAGTTTATTCTGACACAAACTGTTGGTGTTTCTAATATGTTATTTTAGTTGTTAAATGTCGAAATAAGAGATGGAAGTGAGGAATATGATGGAATCGAGGAAAAACAACGATTAATTGGTATATGTACTGTTCTTTTGATCACTGCTTTAAGAAAAACTGCGGTGCAAATTAATAACAAGAAAACAGAGGTATGAACAGCGCTTAATCTTAATGAAATTTTTATAAATGTGACTAATTTGGAACATTAGGAAGAACCATCTTTAAATGAATCTGGAACAATATTGTGGAAAAAGATTAATGATTTGACACAAAAAGGGCAAAAAATATGGAAATCTTTTTCATCGTCGGACCAGAAGCACTTAAAAAACTATGTCCAAAAACTGATCATTTACGAATTAGATAGTTGTCTTCATTTGCAGGAGTGGGCTCAAATAAAACAAATTATCCAAAAGATGACAGCATTATACAGTAACACTTTTATTTCTCAAAAGTCTTCTGAGAATAAGGTTGACGAAAAGAAAAATGATATCACAAAACATGAGGCTTTCTTTTTGCAATGTGTTGTTGATTTGCTTTTAAATTGCGGCGAGCTTCCATTAGATAATTTGGTTGAATGTTTACGATTGATCGTGACAGAAAATTTTGGAGTTATTTCAAATGAAACAATGGTAGAATTATCACAAGGGGAAAAAAACAATGAAATAGAAACAGCGACAAAGTGGACTCGAATATTGGTTGGTTTGACACTCCCAGGGAGAGAAGATACATGTGTCGATGTTTTAACACACTTTAGAGAATTTCTGCGGGGGCAAGGAAAGGTAATTATGAAAAACTGGCGGTAATTAACTGTTTCTTTTTTGAAACCTGGATACTAACCAATTTTGTTAATCAGTTTGGGATTCCTGGTCAAGATATTCAATGGATAGGTAAGAAAAAAAAAATTTCTTATTATTGATGATGTCATTTCATTCATCAATGAAATGAAGCAAAAATTGGGATGAGACATTAACGGATATTAACAAATGTATTAAGCAACGTCATGTTGGAATCATGGTGTGTATCATAAACAGTAAGTGGATAGTTTTTTTTTCCTTGACTCATTTGCATTGTACAAAGGAGACTTTTGAGTTGAATGAGTCATTAGTGCGAGACAATAAGGAAGACAACCATTATGCAAAACAAGAAAGAAATTAACCGAGTATGAATTAGGCTTAGACGCGATGAAAAGGCCTTGGAATGGTGTGAAAGAGCCTTATTTTTTGCACGATATGTGAATGAACGATTTGAGCGCCAGGTAAGTTTAAGTTGATATTTTCCAGAGAAAAATTAGATGGGACTAGACTAACATTTGAATACATAGCTTCAGGAAATGTATATAAGGCTTATGAGCTCAAGCACAGGTACAATTGCTTAGATGATGAAAACGTTGTGCTTTATTTAAAAGTAGTTTACGATACATTTATGTTAAGTTGGAATACAATGTATTTGTATATTGTTTATAATTTTAAAGCAATGAAATTTTTTTTTCTAGAAAAGAATAAAAATTGAATTTCTACATCCCGCGGTAATAACGGTATTAATTATTTATATAAGTAGTAAGTACTAATTAGTAGTACCGATTATCATCAATAAGAATAATTATGTTTACATTTATATAAATGTAATGGCATTTGGCCAGTGTAACATATTGCATAGCAAGGGCATTTTTTATATTAGTGGGGTGAGAGAAGTCACATGAATACGAGTGAAAAGTTTTCCTTAGGTGCGGAAATTTTGCAGCCAACCACAAAAAATAATTATCTTCAATGTTAAAATGTGGGAGCAAGAAATCTGGGGTAAGTTTTATACAGAATTGTTTTTTTTTTTTTTTTTTTATATTAGGAGAAATGGAAGAAAATGACAACAGGGCAAATGACCGTTGGTGGCCAACCCCGCGAAAAGTTTTGCTCCCCACCATCAACCAGAGATTCGAAAATCTCAAAGAACTACTAAGAAATGTGTGTACTTGGCAGCCCATCTTTTTGACTGCTTTGTGTAACAAATGAACGTCTACCTTTTTTTGTGCTTGCAAAAAAAAGAATATTCTTATTTTTAGATATTTATGAAGAAACACATGTCTGTGTGTGTGTGTGTATGTGTGTGTGTTTTTATGTAAATTGATATTAAGAATGACACCAATATATCGGGTGACCAACCCCACGTAACGATTACTTGATACTTGACTTGTCATAAGACCGTTTTGACATGTACATACATATCCATCATAAAAATGTGGATAGATATTTTTTTTTAAAGAATTGAAAACAAGTTGTTGAAAATGTTTAAACGTTTTACCGGTAACGACAGCCCTCAAATTATTCCATTGCTCATCATTAAGCAACTTTGGTAAGAAAACCCTGTGTGTCTAGTAATAATTTATTATTATTTTATTTATTGTGTTTATTGTTTTAAAATATTGGTTTTTCTCTATGAAAACTAAATAGGGAAAACTAGTGCGTGACTGGAGATTGCTAGTGAAAATCAGGCTTAATTGAATCTTTTGTTATTCTATTTCTCTCGTGATATATTTTAACACAGGTTATATAAGTTTTTGAAAAAGTAATATAGTTACATTACTTATAAGTATTAGGACTAGTGTTTGTGCTCAGTTCTATTTGTATATATTTTTTAGAATAGATTCAAGAATAGAAAGTATACCTGCATTTTGTTACCAAGCGTATCCAGGGTAAAATAGTTGGCTATGAATAGCTTTTACAAGCACAAAAGTATTTAATACTTATACCTAAGGTACAGAATATGGAGGAATTTGCATTATATGAATGGTGTCATTGTTAAGGGGAGAAAAGGGGAGGCTACAATTGAGGGAATTAGATTCTAGCAATTTCAAGAAAATTATGTTAAAGGAAAGCTCGATTAAAGTTGCACCAACAAAATTTAGAAGGAGAAAAGTAAATAGAAATAAAAGCATATTTTTTTTTTATTTTTTTTTTTTTGCTTTCAGTATTTAATCGTAATAATGGTGTATTTCTTCAACACTGAAAAATAAAACAAGCACAACTTATTCTAACGTCCGGAGAATCTCGATATCGATATCGATATCGATACAAAAGACATTGAGAATATCACTGGATGATGATTCTGATGGGTCACAGATTGTTGGATATCATTATATTAATTAATTTATCAAGTTATCAAGTTGCTATCGATGTGTTATCGGTAAAAAAATAAAAAAATAAAAAAATGTAATAAAAAATAAAATAAAAAAATAAAAAAAAAAGTTCAATGAAAAAAAAAAAAAAATTTCACTAGCAATTTGAAAAAATTTTATTTTTACATGTGAGATGATGGAAAATTTAAAAGTTACTTCAGGGAAAAGCACATGATTGGTAGAAATTATGTACATATGGAAAAGACTAGTTTAAACAATAAAAGTCAGCAATTAGGTAATACATTTTTTTACATGTTTAACATATGAAAAGGCTGAATCAACGAGCAAATTTGGACCAGCTTTATTAAAGCAGTTCCCAAAAACCAAACAAACAACGGTCTCATTTTATTTTGGTGTGAGCAGAAAAAGAAAAACAAAAGGCTTTTTTGTTTGAAACGAAAATGTAAAATTTGCATCATTTATTTTTAAAATAGATTTTTTATATGACATATAATTATATATATATATATATATATATAATTAGATGATTTCGATATCGGATAGACTGACAAACAAAATTAGTATGTGCTTCTGTTGAGACGTATTCCATTAAGAGATTATCCGAAGTCACAAGTTTTTCCGGGCAAGTTTAGACTAATTAATGATTTACTGGATGGATGGAAAAACGCGGTAGAAACCCTTAAAGAAATTGTGAGAAATTACAAGAAATTACAAGAAATTACAAGAAATTATAAGAAATTTTAAGAGATTAGGAATTTTTGGTGATTTTTTTTTATTAATTGGTTTTGATTTGATTTGATTCTTCTTCTTTTGTTTTCATTTGAAATTGGATGTAACTTCTTTCTTCTTCCAATAAAAGATTTCAATAGCTAAATGATGGTTGCGCACATCATTTAAAGCTTCCAAATATATTGTACTAGCCTTTGTCAGTTTTTTAGTCAATGCTGTTAATCTATGTCAAGAGTAAAAGTCATTTCATCTACAAGACGTCATACAAAATTAAGGCAGATTCTAATAAAAAAAACTGTGTTCCTGGTGCGCCTATTTATGAACCAACGGTTTTAAGCCTTTTCGAAAAGAAAAAAAAAAAAAAAAAAACAAGAAAACAAGAAATTTAAATAACAGGGCTAAACAGTGTAACATGGGCGGCATACTCAGGTTCTTGTTGTTGTTGTTGTTGTTCGAGGGCGCTAGTAGCGCTTATCTTTGCCACTATGCTTTTGTTTGACAACATTACAGATCCAGAATAGTAGATACACCCGTGCCATGGTAGAAACAAGCACTTGTAAACAGGCTCTGCAGGCTTCTGTGGGCTTTGTAGGCTTTTCTTATGTTCCAAACCAAATCAGAAGATATTTAAGAGGTGTAAATGATTAACGAATCTGATTTTTTAGGGGTTGGTTCATTCTGAGCCTCTTTTCAATAACTTCACTGCCTCAAAGATAGCCCAAAGGTCTAAAGTAGTCTGGAGCCCTGGTCAAGTGAGATAAGAAAAAATCATAGGCAATCTATTTTTATTTATGTTATTTGTTTTTTTTTTTGTGGCAATAATTAGAATATTAGAATATATATTGATACATAAATGTATTCTTTTGATTGTCAAATTATTGACAAACCTTGTGTCATTTTCTTTTATTTTTGTTTGTTAGTTTGTTTGTTTGTTTTTTTATTTTGTTAAAACTGAACTAGATTGGGTTGGGCTGGGCTGGGCGGAACTTGAGTTTCGTTGTTTTTTGTAGCCACAGTGTAAAATGTATCTATGCACGTACTAACGTTCTCCCAGCCGCAACAAGAAAATGTGTCTATTGCTTATTGCTTATTGCTTATTGCTTATATAATACATATTCATTCATTCATTTTTGTGTATTTTTTTTTTTTTTTTTTTTTTTTTTTTGCTGTTGGGAAGGAGAATCTTCTGTGTTGGGAGGTGGGCTGCGGCACTTTTATTTTTATTTTTATTTTTACACACACCCCATATGTATGAAATGTATACACTTCATAAATCCCAATTATAAATTTCTATCCTTGATTTCATTATTATTATCTTTAAAAATCTAAAAATACTATCTCTCTTACTTTCTCTTACTCTCTCCACAACTATAAAAGCACTCGATCTTCCGGGTCTTTAAAGTTTTTTTTTTCTTTTGTTATTCTTCTCTATATCATCATTAAAATCAAAAACAACTTCAATATCAATAATCTCTTAAATCTTTAAAGACTATTACTTCTACTCTACTTTTTAAGTAACTCAAAAACTCAAAAACTCAAAACCAAACAAATACAAATACACAATCAAAATGGACTCTGCTAGATTAAACGCTATCATCGAAAACACTTACATTCCCTCTGGAAACAACAAGAAGTCAGACGCTGTTCCTGCTCACCACCCTTCTCTTATTATGTTGGACAATCAGACTGACACTACTCACCACCTCAAGTGCGGCTGCTGCGGCGGTGCCTGCATCACTGAGAATGCCTGGTGGGACAAGAAGAAGTCTGTTGACTCTGAGGATACTGATAGACCTTCTTACAGACGTGGCTCCAGCAGTAGTAGTATCTCGACTGTCTCTTCTTACTCGAGCAGTAGCGGTTACTAAAGGGTTGAGGATAAATCAGATTTTTTTTTCCTCTCCCCGCGCTTCCTTATCTTATGCATTTTTTATGAACCCCCTCCAAACCAACTCCTGAGATGACCTACAGTGCGATTGGCACTTTTTTAATGACCCCCTTTTATTTGTTTTTATATGTGTTTTTAGATTTTAAATTAATTTTTTTTAAAAATTTGATAATGTTGAATTTCTTGGTGATCAAGATGTATAAAAGCTTGATTAATACAAATGTTTCTTGATTAAAAAAAAAGCCGCGCGGTTGCTAGTAGGATACTTTTGTGACATTACTGGGGCTATTCTTCTGCTGCTCGGTAATAGACGGATTTTTCATAATAAATCCTCAGGGATTTCTTATCTTTGAGGAAGAACAAAAAAAAAAGCGCCTTTTTTGTTTTTTTTATGTTTTTTTATGTTTTTTTTCTGGGCAGAACCGATTTAAGGAAATGAAAATGACTACTGACACCGAGTTGAAACGGCTCTTTGATATTCATTTTAAGTAATTACATATATGTAGATATGATTATAATCATAACTATCAAAGAAGTAGAAAAGGCTTTTTTTTTTGTTCTTTTGATTATAATTATAATCATAATAATTATTATCAAGAGAAAGAAGGAATAAAAAAATAACAAAATAAAAAAATAAAAAAATAAAAAAATAAAAAAATAAAAAAAAAAAAAAGAACAAAAAGCCAAAGAGCAACAATTAAAAAAAAAAAAAAAAGATTGTTGAAGCTCTTAAAGGACCATTTTCTCCGATCATAGGAAAAAGCAATTTTGCGTTTCACGATAACGCTTTATAAAGTCAAATGCAGCCAGAAAAAGCACACACACAATATCAAAGCCCAGCCTCTTTTCCACACTTGCCATTTTCTTTTTATTCTTATACACTTTTCCCCAATGATAAGAGGCGTAAAACTAAGCCAGACTAAACGGATCAAATGTCGAGGCCCAGATAACCAAGCCCAGTCCTGCGCAAACCCACATGATTATAAAAATGATGTCATGAAATAACACCATACCTATGCTTAATATTATAGAATATTTTCTTCAATAAAATTTTCTATCATTTTTCTTCTTGATAAACTTCTCACTTTTAACGCCTTGATCTAGTTTAAACGAGCCCTTTTTAGTTCAGCCTCAGCTTAGCCTCAACATCTTAAAAAGCTGCTTATTTTTTTTTTAACTATCAATAGAATATTTTTTTAATTGTTATAACTATTATTATAATATCAAAGTACTGATTTCTCTATATATATCTAATCGATATGTTCTCTTATCATGCTGTTGTTTTTTGTGACCTAGTTTCCCTCAACTTTTAAAAAGAGTCTCATTACTCTTAGATTATATATATTACTCGAAACCCCAGCTCGGGAACCTATTAATAGTATATTCACTTTCCTTTTTTAATTTTTTTTTTTAGCATAAGATCAAAAGATTTCAACTTTTGATTATTCTTTCTTATTGATTTTATCTTATTACAGGAAACTTTATTTTTTCTTGGTTTCCATATCTGGTAACCAAGCTTGTGCACATAAAAAAGAAAAAATGAACTTTTAGATAATGTAACCTTCTATATGCGGCTGATCAAAATAATTATATTCAATTGATAGAAACTTTATGAGAGTCAAATAATGATTTAGTGATCAAGATCACAGACACAGCTTACCGTCATAAAGATTGTTATACTTTCCAGGATAAAACAAAACATATTAAATACACCATGGTTATATAATCATTGACTAAGTGTGCATAATTAGCTTTCTTAATACACGTGTCATTGTGATTCAATGCCTCGACACACAACCAGCAAAAAATTGATTTTTGAAAATACTCTTGACGTGAAATATTTCAAGAGCTTTGTCGATTCAAATAAAAAAAAAAGGATCCAGTCGCAACTTGAAGATTTATCTGTTCATATGATTCTAAACAGCAGCTTCATTCAATTTTAATCTATCCTTTATTTTTTTTATTTTAGAATTTGAAATTCATTTTGCAAAAGATTTTGTAGCCGGCCATAAAAAAAAAAAAAAAAAAAAAAAAGCCCTTCCACTACCACCAACCCCCTTAACAAACAGTCGCACTAAATATCATTATGTCCTCCTCTTCTTCTTCTTCTACCTCCTTCAATCCTCCTCCCCCCTCAGACAAAAAGCTTCAAGACTCTGATCTTCCGCTCTCAGATTCATCAAATAGTCAGCAGCATATAGGATCAGCATCTTCTTTGTCTTCTTCTTCTTCTTCTTTTTCTTCATACACTCTTAGACCTAAACCTCCCCAGTCATCACAATCATCTTCTTTTGTCCCTTCAAAGTTTTACAACTCTCAAAAGTACAACAAATATCAACCAGACTATTTCGATCTGGGATTTAAAAAATCTCCTAAATCCAGCCGCAACTGTACTCCACCCACTATCAAAATGGCCGTTTCTCCTAGAGTGATCCGACTTATAGTCGTCTCTTGCATCTTCTTTTCAATAATCTTCTTCATCTTCTCCTCATCCTCCTCCTCCTCATCCATCATTGACTCTATCAACGGAAAACAAAGCTCTACCTCTAATTCCATCTCGGAATCAACTGAAGAGTCCTCTGACTCTTTTGAATGTACAAAGTCCTATGACGGTACTAAACCCGTCAACCAATACGTTATTATGATTGACGCTGGCTCCTCCGGCTCCCGTGTCCACGTCTACAAGTTTAACAACTGTCTCGCCACTCCTAGACTTGTCTCTGAAGAGTTCAAGATGCTTGAACCAGGTCTTTCCTCTTTTAAAGATGACCCCGAGGCTGCTGCAAAGTCGCTTGATCCTCTTCTCGAGGTTGCCCTTAATACTATTCCTAAGGAGTCTTACGGTTGCTCCCCTATCGCAGTCAAAGCCACTGCCGGTCTTCGTCTTATTGGTGAAGAAGCTGCCAACAAAACTCTTGCTGCTGTACGTGCTCACCTAGAAAATAACTATCCCTTTGCTGTTGTTTCGGATGAAAACCAGGGCATCGCCATCATGCCCGGTGCCGATGAAGGTGTTTACGCTTGGGTCACCGTCAATTACCTTCTCGGAAACATTGTTTCTGATCCCAAAAACAAAATTCCCATCTCTGAAAGACCCCCCACTGCTGCTGTTTTTGATCTCGGTGGCGGCTCTACTCAAATTGTTTTCGAGCCCCACTTCAAAGTCTCGGGCCAGAATCTCCCCAAGGGTGACCACCGCTACGACATCAAGTTTGGTGCTAACCATTACTCTCTTTACCAACACTCCCACCTTGGTTATGGCCTCAATGTTGCTCGTGACTCCATGTATGCTGCTGTTGTTTCGTCTTACCTCAATTCTGGTGTTGATATTAATACCACTCCCATTGTAAACCCTTGTCTCCCCCCTGGAGCTCAGCTCAAGGATGTCAAGGTCAAGGTTGACTCCGAGTCTTATGTGGTTCCTAACATGGTCGGTCCCAAGGAACCTTCCATGCTTCAGTGCCAAAAAATCGCTGAGGTTCTGCTTAAAAAGGAAGCGGAATGCCCCGTCGAACCCTGCTCTTTCAACGGTATATATCAACCTTCTCTCGTATCCAACTTTATGCGTGAAGGTGACCTTTATGTCATCTCCTACTTTTACGACCGCACTTTCCCTCTCGGTATGCCTTCAGCTTTCAACATTGATGACCTCAAGGATCTTGCTCAAAAGGTCTGCCGCGGTAAGGAGTCTTACGACAGCTTTGAGGCCATTCCTGAAGCTGTTTCCCAACTCAAAGAAAACCCGCAGTGGTGCGGTGACCTCGCATATATGCTTGCCGTCCTTCATCACGGTTACGATATCCCTGCTCACCGTGAGGTCAAGATTGCAAAGAAGGTTAAGGGCAATGAGCTGGGCTGGTGTCTCGGTGCATCCCTCCCTCTTCTTGACCAATCTTCTGCCGGCTGGTCTTGCAGAATTTCTAGACAACAATAGACAAAATCAAATTGATAATAAAATGTAATAATCTATTTGTATTTATAATTATAATAATGGATAATATATATTGGTGTGTGTTTTTTTTTAAAAAAATAATATCAAGCTGAAATGTGTTGGCAATACTCTTTAAACCTCTTCTTGTGTAAAACTCCAACAAATTGTCCATCTTCCAAAACTCCAATTGCACGTACTCCAAGCTTGACAAAAAACATTTGCACAAGTGCTAAAGGAGATTGTACATCCAAAACTATTGGAGCACGATTAATATATGATGTCAAGTCGCTAACAAGCACTTCAACTTTACTATCCACATGTTCAGACGACTCATCCAAAGGTAAAACCTCTTCCTCATTATCAATATGGTCGTTAGCAAGAGCATTTTGCTGATTTAATATAATTTCTTGTGGAAGTGCTGACAAAATTCCACTTCCTGGTCTACGGAACTCAAAATCCAAAGGCTTTTGCGCAGCAGTTCTAGACGCATGCATAGACAATGACACTCCACGGATGATAGAGGAAGGATTATTTGAGTCCTGAGTATTTTCTATGGTCAAACCAGAAGTTACTGAATCAAAAAATGCATTTGAATTAATAGCTGGGCTTTTGTGTACGGTTTTGTAAAGTGAGGTGAATGAGGAATGCTGCTGGCGTGAGTGCTCATGCAACCCAGTTGAGTTTGCATTACTAGAGTTTAAAGTCGAAAAATCTTGCCGGTTTGCAGATGCATCTTGTGTCATGCCTCTCTGAGCTCCGAGGTTATAATGCACATGCTCAAAAGCTTCTTCTGTATTTTGTTTATCCATAGATCCAAAAGGTAATCCAAAACTACTGTCATAGTAACAGTTGCGATATTTATATAGTTCATCTTCAGTCGAGTCGTCTTGTGACGAGAGTCTACACATTACAGACTCAAACTTCAGCATTGCTTCTGTTTGAAGTGAAAGAGGAAGTACAATGGATTCTGACGACCGACCTTGAAATTGACCACTGTTACTCCCAACAACAATAAGACATTGCTCGCAAATCCTATCCAATGCAAACTCAAGCTCAGGAGCAGATATCATTCCAAAAAGTGTTGGGCCGCGCACAATTGCAACGCAAGCATCAAACTCACCTCGAGAATGAAGTTGAGATAGGACAGTAACCAATTGTTTGGTCGAAACATAATGGCCAGCACCAATGTCAATAACAATTCCCCCCCGTTTTAACGTTGGAACCACATCTGCCAGCTTTGAATCAAAAGATAACGACACTCGATTGTCCATATAAGGAAATTCATTCTTTTCAATTAGAATCTCATAAAGCGATCTTTCTTCGATCAAAGCCGCAGCCCAGTTAGAAACTAAAACAGATATACTAAAAGGCATCACATAGTGAAGTGATCCCGTTAATTCGAACAAAATTACGGCAAGCGTCAGATTCATTCGTGTAACACCAGCCATAAATGCCCCTGCTCCAGCCATTGCATAAACGCCTGGGACAATCCTGCTCACTGGATAGCTCACATCCTTCACAAACAATAAAAGGTATATAAACCCAACTTTGGACGGGGTGCCATCTTCAATTTCTTTAACCTTCATTATCCACAAATGCCCCAGATATTGTAAAACAAGACCAAATATCCGACCAAATAAGGCACCAACAACCATGGATGGAACATATATACCTGCTGGTATTTTTGCTCCAAACGTAATTGCTGTCAATAAAATTTTAACAAAAAGTGCATAGCAGAGAGGTTTTAAAATGTCTAGAATGCGGGCTGGGTCCTCTGGACACAAGGCTTTTGTTGATTCCAAATATGATGTATCTAAATTTGAGTCATTAGGGTGACTCAATAACGATGTTATAAAATGTGAAGTTGAATAATTTACTGTAGTGATATTAGCTGATAAATCAGTAAAAAGTTGATTAGGGCATGGTCTTGCCAATAACAACAAAACCTCAGCCACTGCTGATCTAGTATATTTGTTGAAATAACCCAAACAAGAAGTTACTAATGCAAGAATTACAACTTCGAATAAGGGGTGATTTTTAATGATTTTAATAGACCTAAAGAATTTTGGCCACCAAATACCTGCGAATTTGCAAAAAACACCACCATAAACCCCACCACAAACTCCAAGAAGTATGAAACACACCAGTTCCTTACAAACATTAGAAATGAAAAAAAAAAAAAAAATTAAATAAAAAATCTTAAATCACACTTACCCACATCATCCAGTTAGAACTATAGCTAACCTCAAATAAAACAATATTTCCTCGACCATAAGGATTGTAAAACACTAAAAACAATGCTGACATGAGGGCACAGAAAAAGATTCGAAAAAGTTGGTGTGGTAAGAAGTAATAACTGACTTCTTCCAATGCAAAGAGAACACCCCCAATTGGTGAACCAAATGCTAAACCTACCCCAGCCGAAGAAGCAGCCGAAAGAATCTGTCTTCTTTTTAAATCGTTTTCTGCATATTTTTTAAACAATCGACAAGATACATTTCCTACACAAGTGGCAAGATGTACAAAGGGCCCTTCTTTACCAACTGCAAGTCCAGAAGCAATAGAAAATACAAGACCAATAGATTTTAAAATAATGGTTTTTGTGCCAAGAAATCCTCTAATAACAAATCCTGAAAGAATGGTTTTTACTTCAGGAACCCCGGAACCGCTGCAAGCATATATTGTTCTGGAGTGTGTTGCAGATGTTTTTTTAGAAAAATTTCTAGAATTTTGGGGCAAAAGTTTAGAAAATTCAGTATTATCACTTGAATTTTTCGATATTGTTTCTCTTCTTTCAACAGTATTTTCCTCATTTAATATAGGTATTGATGTATACCCAGCCGAACTTGATTGTGTATTGTCCTTTTTAAAAGCATTAAATGGGACGTATTTTTCATCTTCAAAGTTGATTTTTGAAGAAACAAGCGTTGATAATTTCGAGCGAAGTGTTAATTCACCTGCAATCAATGCAAATACTATTGAAAAAAGAGTGTAAATCACAAAACCAATCAACTGCCTATTAACTGAACTAAAGGTTCTTGTTAAAACATACCCGGCCCAGTTGCTTTCATCTAACATAAGAGATTCCCAAGAGCGAAAAGAACTGCAAACATCTTCTATTTCCATTATGTTTGTTTTAATTCCTAAGCAACAGTTCTTTCTCGTGAGGAAAATGTTAGTTGTGCAAACCCCAAATTTTAGACCAAAGACAAATTCCTCCGACTTATTGACTAAATAGGCAATAGTTGCAAAGCAAAAAGCGACAATAATAGTTAAAATCCAGCCTTGACAGGAGTCTGCAATACGTACCATGCGTCCACGCAGCCCTGGAAGTGTTTCGATATATCTATGTCTCGCAGAAATATTGATAACATCTCTTACCCAGTCAATGGTTGTGAAATCATCATAGAATCGACGTTCATCTAAGTCTTTCTCTAACTCAGGAGTGAAGTTTTCAACATCATCATCAATTTCTTCACTACTGCTAACACCAGCCCCTTCTTCAGTTATATTTTCATAAATGATCGACCCATACCCTGAAATCTGATCACAAGCTTCTGGTTCATGATGGCTGCGATGAACTAAATAAGTATGTGAAGGATTTGAAGGCATGTTTGAAGCCCTAGAACAAGTAGCCATAAATGCAGCGTTAAAAGGTGTTTTTGTATTAGAAGCAGAAGAAAATGATGAACGAAAATCCGATCCAATGAAAGATGACGAACGGTGCTGGACGTTTAAAGAACTTCTATCATTTATATCAGCTGAAAAAATGTCTGATATTTGATAATGCATAGAAGGCCGGGAAATATTATGAGTAGATTCAGCTCTGCTATGAACTTTACTTGAATGACTGGATACCGGAAAATCATTATTTAAATATATCGACTTTATCGATTCTAAATCATCAAAAAAATCAAAGGGGGCCCCTTGTGACTTAGCGACGGAAAACCGAGGGGACCTAAGGTTGGGAACATGACCAGGGATTTCTAAATCATTAGGTGACAAAAAGTCCTTTGTGACATTTTTCGCAAAATTTAAATATGATCTGATTGACGCAAGAGTTTGCTGATGTGGTCTGGATACCTGTTGCTGTTGCTGCTGTCGTGTATATGATGCAGATGAGGACAATGAGCGACGACCATGAGGAGGACGTAGACTTTGATTTGCTTTTATTTCTGTTGGAAGTGACTGATCTAAATGTGCCTGAAATTTTCGGATCTCTGAACTGCTACAAGCTCTGACAAGACCAATGCTATTACTGTAGTTACTGGTGTTATTTCCAAAACTTTTTGAGTGAATGCGTTTTCCTGAAAATGATTTGTTTAGACTAATAGGAGTTACACTATCACTGGCACTAGATCCAATCCTGTCAGCAGTGTTATCAATCGGTTTTTTTGCAAGTTCAAGTGTTAGATGGAAAGCTGATCGGTCTTTATCTTTTAAAGGGGGTTCAAAAAAATGACACCTAGTGTGTTTCGAGTCGCTTTCAGGAGTTAAACCATATTCTTTTGAATGTGTAAAGCTATCATCACTCCTTCTGGAAATTTGAGAAGGTGTAAATCTATCCCCCACTTTAGTTTTTTTTTCAACTGTATTAGACTGCTCATCAGCTTCAGAAGTCACAGAGTTAGCGTGATCCTCGGTTTCTGAAGAGCTTGTTATAGACATATTCCTTGAAATTTTAAGAGTATTTTAAAAAATTCATGGAAAATATATATCAAGGTATGTGAAAAACAAGTAATTTGATAGAACAGTCCTAAAAAAGACTTTTTTGGAAGTATTTATTATGATTCTCATAGTCTAATTATATACTTATTCTAATAAAAAACATGGCGCAATAGCTAATCATAATAAAATTAGAACCAAAATACCAGCACATGCGGCTTCCCCCACATTTCCGGAACGCCTATCGTCTCCAGGGAGTCAAAAGAAAGAAATGTCACTGACCCTTGGCAAGTGTCTTTTGACTATCGCCCCCTCTCAGTTACTTGAATGTTGACAGACTTATGATATCATACATCATATGACATGAAGTTCTAAAAAATATTTTCTTAGAGATGTTTCTGACGACAATTTTTGTCAAATTCAATATTTGATAAAATCCATAATGTTGGCACTTACAAAGTAATAATATTAAACTTAGATAATTGTCACCTTAATATTATTTTATTTTATTTTATTTTATTTTATTTTATTTTATTTTATTTTATTTTATTTTATTTTATTTTATTTTATTTTATTTTATTTTATTTTATTTTATTTTATTTTATTTTATTTTATTTTATTTTATTTTATTTTATTTTATTTTATTTTATTTTATTTTATATTTCTATCCCTAATTCCTGTTCTAATTTTTTCTTCCTTTATAGGTTTTGAACTTTTCATTCTTTTGCATACTTTGCTTTGCACGCTCCAGTGACATTTTTGCGTCGCAGTCTTTGAATGTACTCAAATCATAGTATTTGGGTGCAAGCTCCAATAACCATGTCGGCTTGATTGCGGTAACAGTTCGAATGTAGTTTTTGGTGGTCAATACAAATTCATTATAAACCACCCAGCGGTTATCTGCAGTTAGCGTTGAGCTTGGATGTAATCCAACTTCTTGGTTATCTTTTATGGTGGTGTAAGTTCGTGAGTTCCCATTAGGTTTGCTGGCAACCTGCATAAAATAACCAGCAGTTATGGCCTTTTGAATATTGGTGTAAAACTCAGGATCATCTGAAGGGATACTAACCAACTCAATTCCATTGCGCTCCATAATTCTCTTGAGCTGCTGACGAACATTGTCTGCGCTTTTCAAGGATCTCTGAGATAAATAATGCTCAAAGCACCATTGTGAAGGGTTGTATTGGGCTTCTTCTGAACTGTACGCCATGTAAACGTTCAGCATAGTCAAATGATCACCGGATTCATGAGCAAACAGCTCTTTCATTTCATCTGCCTGTTGACGAGCATTGTTAGGTCTAACAAAAACATTAGGAACCGAAAGCATAGCAGCAAGCGAAAGGATTTCATTAGAGCAACAAAACTCTGGTGACCGGATGCACATAACTGCAAGCATGGGATCAACAGGAAACTCTGAACAAGTACGACCCAAAGGAGTAAGTTGGCCTTCATCGTCTAAACAGCCCAAATAATTGAGCTCTTCAAGAGCACGCATCATTGTTTCTGGGGCAGGAGGATCCATAAAGTCAAAATGGACCAGGTCATCAATACCAAGCTTTTTAAGCTCAAGCACTGTACTGGCAAGATTACTGCGTAAGATTTCGGGGTAACTCTGCTCGTTGAGTTCCTTCTTATAGGATTCCTCAGTGTAAAGTCTAAAACATTTACCTGGACGAGTACGACCAGCACGACCGGCACGCTGTTGAGCAGAGGCACGGGAAATAGGAGACACCAAAAGGGACTCCACACGAATTCTAGGATTGTAAACCTTTTGTTTGGAAAAACCAGGATCAACAACATACACAATACCGTCAATAGTAAGAGATGTTTCAGCAATGTTTGTAGAAATGACGACCTTTCTGCCAGGAGCACCACCAGGCTTAAATGGAGGTGGTGCAGGATTAAAGATTTTTTGTTGTTGTGATGGAGGTAAACTTCCGTAAAGTGGATAAACATCTAAAGGGCCACAGCTAGCTTCACGTATTAGCTCATCAGCCTCTAACGATATCTTTCTGCATGCATCTTCAATTTCTTCTTCACCTGTTAAAAACAGAAGAATGTCACCCTCGCCTTCTGTTGCATGAATTTGTAAAACGGTGCGAATAGAGGATTCCAGATAATCACGCTGAAACTCAGGAGTGTAGTAAATTTCAACTGGGAAAGTTCTACCAGGAACAGCCAACAGCGGCGCATCATTAAAGTATGTTTGAAATTTTTCGGCATCCAAAGTAGCAGACATGACAATAATTTTTAAGTCTGGTCGTTTATCAGCAATAGTCTTGATTAAACCCATCAAAATATCGGTCGCAAGGGTACGCTCGTGGGCTTCATCGAGAATGACACAACTATAACGCGAAAGTTCTGGATCAGTCATAGCCTCTCTTAACAGCATACCATCAGTCATATATTTAAGAATTGTATTGGAGGAAGTACAATCTTCAAAACGGATTTGATAACCAACCTCTTGGCCCAACTTAACATCCATTTCATCAGCAACACGCTGAGCAACAGACATAGCAGCAACTCTTCGAGGCTGGGTACAGGCAATCATTTTCCCATCAACCTGCGGAAGGTCATCATAGACTACAAATTGAGGAATTTGCGTGGTCTTACCAGAACCGGTTTCACCGACGAAGACCATGATTTGAGTTGAATGATAGATATCAAGAAATTCCTGGCGTTGAGCATGTACTGGCAAATCTTGGCGAACTTTCAGAATATCAAAGTATTTTTGAGAAAATTCATTGCTGGTGAATGGGTTAATCTTTCCACTTTCCACTTTTTGAGCTTGAGCAGCCGTAGTTTTGTGTTTTACAAAACCTTCAAGCTCTTTGGAAAGCGTTGTAATCACATGATCTTCAATATCTGCGGAAACAAAAATGGGAGTTTCAATATCTTCAGAGCTTTCAGCAAATTTCGAAGTCTTCACCTTCTTAGTTGCGCGTTCTTCGCTCATTTTTGAGAATCTGTATCTTTTGAAGTAAGGTTGGAAGGGAGAAAAAAAAATTATTTTCAGGAAATTTTTCTCTTGATATAAAAAAAATTGATAGTAAGGCTGAAATAATGTAATTACTTACCTAAGCTACCACATAAATCTTTTAAGTTTTTCAGATAAACGTTTGTTTTTCTTTCAAAACTTTCCCATAAAAACATGTAAAACTGATGACATATTGAATAAAAAAATAAAAAATTCAAAGACTCAAAAATTCAAAAAATTCAAAAAATTCAAAAAATTCAAAAAATTCAAAAAATTCGAAAATTTAAAATTTAAAATTTAAAAAAATAAAAACACCTAAAGGGTTTCAAGAGTTTATTCAGATCATGATCTCAACCATTCTAATTGATCAATTGGAATGGTTAAGTTTGTTTAAGTTGCATAAAGCCAAAGTAGTTACATTAATAAAAAGTCACGTGTTAATATGAGCTCCCCAACCAGATTGCGTATTTTTACCGACCTTTCTTTCACTCTCCGACCTTTTACTTAGTTCTTTTACTCACAACCTCCATACCAATTTTATTATCATCAGTTCTAATATTTTGTAAAATGACTGGCAGCAGATTATATGACATAATAAGTGTAGCCTCGGCAGCCAAGGCTGTTGCACTGAAAAATTTGGGGCTTCAGAAAGCTGGAGCTTCATATTTTCTTAACTCTCAGCGAACTCTTATTTCATTAGCCAACCCCATCACACAGAAATTTAACGTCAATATTTCAACGCCTTCTTCTGCTTATACAGCTCAGAGACCAGTTTCAACAAACCCTTTAATAAACAATGTTGCTTCTCCTTTGGAGTTTGATAGGAGACCCAACATTTCTCCCAAGAACATTGATCTCTCGAATAAGCGTGAATATAGCACAGACTCAGCGAAAAAACCACGGTCAGTAATTGGAGAAGCTGAAAAAAAGAATGTAAGTGTATCAGGGTTTATTCTATTTGAGCTATTTATTGATTCATTCTAGTTTGTCATGGAGAGTTCTCCAGTTCCTGCCTCTAGATTAGAGCGTCTTTTCCATTATGGATCTCTTGCTACTGGGCTTGGCTTTGGTGCTATTACAGAAGGCATCAGACGTATTGGATCTCAACAAGACACCACTATTTCTTCTGTGGTTTTGTCACCCGCAAATTTGGAGCGTATGGTCAAGAAGTTTTCTCAAATGAGAGGTGCTGTTTTAAAGGTTGGCCAGTTACTTTCTTTCCAAGACTCTAAAGTTCTTCCACCAGAGATCCAAGAGGTTTTAACTCGCGTTCAAAACAGTGCCAACTACATGCCTCGTGGTCAGCTAGAGCGTGTTATGACTAAAAACTTTTCCAAAAATTGGCGAACAGACCTTTTCTCTTCTTTTGAAGATTATCCTATTGCCGCTGCTTCAATTGGTCAAGTTCACGGTGCTGTTCTCCTTCAAGACCATTCTTCTGTTGCTGTTAAAGTTCAATACCCTGGTGTTGCCGAGAGTATTGATTCTGATTTGAATAATATCTCTCTTCTCCTTACCGCTTCGAGATGGCTTCCTGAAGGCTTGTTTCTTGACAAAACTATTGCCAACGCCCGGACCGAGCTTAAATGGGAATGCGATTATTTGCGTGAAGCTCAGGCTATGGAACGATTTGCCGTTCTTTTGAAAGATGAACCTGGTTATGCCATCCCCAAGGTTATTCATCACGCTTCCACTCAACGCGTCCTTACAATGGAGCGCATGTTTGGTACTCAAATCACCAAGGGTGATTGGGATCAAGATACAAAGAACTGGATTGCCACCAAAATCATGAGACTTTGTCTTCTTGAGATTGGAAAGTTCAAGTACATGCAAACCGACCCAAATTGGGCTAACTTTCTTTACAACCCTGATACCAAGAAACTTGAATTATTGGACTTTGGTGCTGCTAGAGGTTATGGTGATGAGTTTATTAAGAACTATCTTGGTGTATTACGTGCTGCTGTCCGACGCGATCGTGAAGCCTGTAGAATTTACTCTCTTAAACTTGGCTACCTCACTGGACTCGAATCCAAGTCAATGCTTGATGCTCATATTGACTCTATTCTTGTTTTAGGTGAGGCTTTTAGCAAAGATCTTAACACAGCCGACTCTAAGTTTGACTTTTCTCATCAAACTATCACAGATCGTGTTAGGGCCAACATTGGCATTATGCTTAAAGAGAGACTTACACCCCCTCCAGAAGAAACTTATGGTCTCCACCGCAAACTTTCTGGTGCTTTTTTGCTATGCGCTAAGCTTCAGGCACATGTTCCTTGTGCTGAGTTATTTGAGGAAATTATTGGTCTTGAAGACCCTGAGGAATAAAATTTGTAAATGTATATAATAACCTGAATGTAAATAGATTTCACAATGAATACCAGAATTAAGTAGAAAGAAAATAAATAAGTATATTATTAACGTTTAATCACAAATTTGTCTTTTCAGTAGTAGGCCCCTCAACTGCCTCGTCTTCTTCAATTGCCAAAGAAAGATTTTCCTGAGACTCCCAAAGGTTGTGATAGAAAGAAGACTTATCTGCAAGAAGTTGGGTATGAGAACCTTCTTCCAAAACACTACCATCCTTAAGAACAATAATCTTATCTGTATCAGCGACAGTTCTAAGACGGTGCGCAATGAAAACAGATGTAAGCTTCTTGTCTTTTGTGATAGAATTTATATTTTGCAATAAAAGCTTTTCTGTTTCGGTATCTAATGCAGAAGTTGCTTCGTCAAAGAAGATGATAGGTGGGTTCTTAAGAAGAACACGAGAAATAGCAAGGCGCTGCTTTTCACCCCCAGAAATCATCAGACCTCTTTCACCAACCTTAGTTTCGTAGCCTTCAGGAAGTTGATCAATCAGGCGGCGAAGGTGTACTCTATTAGTAACCTCTTCAACCTCTTGATCATTAGCATCCAGACGACCGTATCTAATATTGTTTCTGATAGTATCGTTAAACAGAGGAGTGTCTTGGGGAACAACGCCAATAGCCTTTCTCAGAGAGTCAAGAGTAACGTCTCTAATGTCTTGACCATCGACCAAGATTCGACCCTGATCAACATCGTAAAATCTAAACAAGAGTCTAAGAATGGTGGATTTTCCTGAACCACTAGGACCAACCACAGCAACCTTTTGACCAGCAGGAATAGTAAATGTAGCATTTTTAAGAATCATTCGGTTTGGATGATAGCCAAAAGAGACATTTTCAAAGCGGATTTCACCACCCTTAAAATCTAAAGGCTTGGCATCGGGCTTATCTTGAATAGTGACGTTAACATCTTGAAGCTTAAACAGTGTTTCCATATCAAGAAGAGCTTGCTTTAAATCTCTGTATACAGATCCAAGAAAGTTCAATGGAACTGAAAGCTGAAAAACTAATTGATTCACCAAAACTAAATCACCAACAGTAAGCGATCCATCAGCAACACCAGAACAAGCCATGTACATCATAGCAGTAAGGGCTGATGAGAAAATAAAATTTTGGCCAGAGTTTAGGAATGCAAGAGACTGTTGAACCTGTATTGATGACTTTTCATATTGGGACAATGCAGAATCATATTTCTGGGCTTGGTATCCTTCGTTATTAAAGTACTTGACCGACTCAAAGTTAATCAAAGAGTCAAGGGCCACAGTAGCAGCCTTATTATCAGCTGCATTGGCACGTCTTCTAAAGCGGGCTCTCCAAGTTGTTGTTTGAATTGTAAATATGGAGTAAGTAAGCATAGTAAGAAGGGTTACCAAAGCAAAGTTAACACCATAGTTATAGGAAAGAATGCCACAAACCAAACTAATCTCAAGAGAGATAGGAATGATATGGAATACCATAGATGTCAGAACATAGGAAATACCTTTAGTACCTCGGTCGATTGCTCGAGTGACACCACCGGTTTGCCTGGAAAGATGAAAGCCAAGATCCAACTTTAACAAGTGTTGGAAGGTACTAAGAGCAACCTGACGAATCGCAGACTGAGCAACAGTAGCAAAGATAGCATTTCTCAGTTCGCCGAAAAGGACAGCACCAAAACGAGCAAAACCATAACCCAATACAGCAGCACCTATGACTATAGCAGCAGTGCCAGCCTGAGTTGCCCAGTCAATATTCATATCATCAATAATACCTTTAAAGATAAAAGGAACTTGAACATTAAGAATTTTTGCTAAAATAAGTAGCGATAAGGCAATAACAACGCGTATTCTTGCAGAACGTGAAGACTTGGGCCACAAATATTTGACTAGGTTTTTGAGAATTGTTCGTTGGATTTCGTCACCAGTACTAGTTGGCGCTTGATTTTCGGATAGTAGTATATTTTGGCGTTTGTCCGAGGTACTGGAGGAGTTAAAACCAAACTTAGGAGAGTGATGAATGCTTCTGAAGTTTAGCTTTGATAAAAGCGATCTTTGTGACAACAATCGGAAAATGCCAGTCGACTTTTTAGTAGTGTTGTTAGAAGAAAATAAAGGAACATGGGGTTTCGCAGGTCCTTTAAAATTGTTTCCATTAACTGAGGACATAAATCGTCGTGCCAACGTTTTGGTAACAGGGGAATTGAAAATTCGAATTCTTGTAGGCTGGCTTCGAGAGCAGGTGGTCAAAAGCGAAGAATAACCTCGAGCAGAGGCTATTAGCCCATTATTGAGCGTCGACATGTCTTAAAATTAAAGATTTCTGACAAATAGATGAGAGGGCAAATAGAGAATAACCAGTTGAAAACTGGGATTTCCTTGGAATGTCAGACGATTGAAGAAATCAGGAAAGAAGTTTTCACAAAATAAGGGAGACCATACAGGTTTCCAGAGTCATGAGGGACAAGGAAAACAACTAAATGGAGGCCAGAATATTGAAAATTCCCAAAGCAGGAGGTCAATCACAGGTAATGGTTAGCGAAAAAGAGGAATGGAAAGGTCAGAAAAACAAAGTCATTTTGCTCTTCACCTCGTTTCGATCGGCCAGCAGGGTCACTCGACCGGGCACCGAGATCGGCTGGAAAAGTGATTGGCTACAAATTATACTGTGTCACGTGAGATTACAAACATATGGATACCCACTGAAGAAAAACCACTGGCGAAATTTCATTTTTAGTTGAAAAAAAAGCTTATGACCTTGCAAACTTCTGATTGATTAATAAATCAGCTTCATGCTGCTGTGGTGTTACTGATATTTAATACGATCTTAAATATTCAGTATATCATGATACAAATTTAACTTAGATTTTTGTTTCTATTTCAACCTTTTAGTTATTTACTGTTGATCCAGGCTCACACTGGGAACTCTCATCAGTGCGTGCCGCTTTATCCATGCAAAGTCTCTCAACCTCCAATTCTGCAGCAACAGTGGAGCTCCCACACTTCTTTATTTCAACTGGGTCAACATCGCCATCCTGGCTGTCATATGAATACACCATTCCAACCTCTCGGGACTGAATATATTCCTCGTCCTCATAAAATTTCTCAGAAATAAAAGGAAAGACTTTTGTTGGTCCTGTTGTTTCCACTTGTTCGCCAATACCCCAAAGAGTGTTCATAGCAATATAACTAGTTGTGAGTGCCACTTCTAAGTCAATCTCTGTCTCATCGACAAGAAGCTCAAAATCAAACTTCAACTGACGCATTAACCGAACAAATGCAACCCGCTGACGAATTTCTTCACTTCCTCCTCCCGGGTTCACAATTCGTTCAAGATACTTCGATGCACGTGACCATTCATACGGTGCTCCGTCATTCAGATAAAACATACGGGACAAGCCTCCGTACCCAAGACTCAGTGCCATTTCACGATGCTTGATTTCAGGCTTCATATGAAAATCAATACTGCGATGAATAATACCCACTTTAACTGTTGCAACTTCAAGGCGATCTGCGTTATACATAGACCATATTGGTGAAAACATTGTACGTCTTTCAAATGTATAAATTTTATTCCCATTGGAATCGAAAACGTTGGCAACACGATGACGGTCACTTCTGTCTCTTCGGACATATAAAACAGTTGGCGTATTTGTAAAAGCATTTCGTTGGCTTTCTGCATCACTGGAAAACTTTGTAAGAGAATGCAAACCAGTTGCATCAGCTCCATATCCAAACATTGTTACCCCAAGGTTTAAAGTGAAAACAGCACTAGATGACAACATTTTTATTAAAGTTTTATTCATAGGTTATAAAATAAGTAAACTAAGCGTGACAAATATGATATCTTTGATGACGAAGATTGAGAAATGGAGAGAAAGGCACAGGGTTTTATATTAAATAAATTTTATAACTTCCAGAATCGACACTTTTAAGATGTGACACTATACTTTTCTAACAGTATTACTTAAAGCCGCACTGGTCTAAAATTCAAAACTTGCAAAATAATGAATATCCGTTTTAGGAAAAAAGTGTCATGCATTCACAAGTAATGATAGGTCATTATACTCAATTGATACTAAAAAGTCTTTTTAATTTAAAAATATGATTAGATAAAATTTTAAAAAGTTTTTCTCCGCCTAAATTTCTCATTCGAAAAAACTACATTAGTAGAGAATTTTCTCATGGATATATTTTTTTAAGGATCATCACTATTTTTAATATCTACAAAAATGCTGGAAGCGGTACAAATATATGAATCTGAAGAATACGATACCAAACCAGTAGACATGGGCCAATATAATATACAATGGAATCAAGAAAAAAAACTTCTACTGAAAATTGATCTACATTTGATTCCAGTATGTGCGTTGTTTATATTTATTTCTCTCTTAGACCAAGGAAATATTTTCACGGCAGAATTTGACAAGATGCAGTCATTTATTGGTCTTGAAGGATCTCAATTTAATCATTGTATCATGATTTGCATTGTCACTTATGCTGTATTTGCTGTACCTTCTTGTCTTGGCCTAATAAAGACTTCACCATCATCTTGGTTATCGACTATCATATCTTGTTGGGGAGTGGTAATGACAACAATGGGGATCATTCATGATTTTACCGGACTATTTTGGTCTCGGTTTTTTTTAGGCGTTTTTGAAGCAGGAATGCTTCCAGGTGTCAGTTTTGTTCTTTCAATATGGTACAAGAAAAACGAGCTTCAGTTTAGGCAGGCATTACTAACTGGGCTTGCTGTTTCAGCAAATGCATTTGGTGGGCTTCTTTCCTGGACAATTTTAATGATGACCGGTGTGGGTGGATTAGAGGGTTGGAGATGGGTGTTTATTATTGAAGGTTCTTTATCAGTTGTGGTTGGTGGTTTTGGGTACATGATCATGTGCAACTATCCTGATACATCCGACCTTCTTTCTTACTCTGAAAAAAAAATAATGAACAAAAGAGTATTGGCTGCAGAAGGATGGAATATGGAAGAGTTTGAGGATAATGAAGACGATGAGTATGAAGGGGAGGAAAGCGAAATCATGCAACTTTTTAAACGATACAAGTGGAACGGTCTTGAAGGTTCACTAATTGATTGGCAAGTATGGTTTCATACAATGATATATATTGCCATATCGGTTGCAAAGTACAGTATCAATATTTTGTTACCTAGAATACTGGGCTCTATGAATTTCACTGAAGAAAAGATAAAATTGATTTCTATTCCAGTTTTCACCAGCTCTTCGATATGCTCAATTTTGGTAGCAATAGCATCCGATAAAGTTGCTGCTAGATCTCCCGCTTTGGTTTTGTCATTTGTTATGATTATTGCTGGGTTTATTGTTATTATGATTTCCGAAGTTCATGATACACGGGGTTCCGTTGCATATTCTGGAATGTTTTTGGCTTCAATAGGCGTTTATACCGCAATTCCTGCATCTGTTACATGGCTATCCAACAACACATTGTGTCAAGCTAAACGTTTGTTTGCGTTAGCCCTTCAAATAGGATTAGGTGAGCTTGGAGGGGTAGTAGCAACATACATTTACATCAATAGCAACACATCTAAATCTTTTGCTCACGGGATGATTATTATCATTGCGTTTTCAGGTCTCATTTTAGTGATCTTGTTGAGTTTCATTTACTTAAAAACAAACCGAAAACGCATTAAAATATGTACCTCTGTTATTGCAGAAAGATTACCAAATATGGATCTCGCTCTTGTTGGAGATAAAAACGTATTTTTTCGATATATGAATTAAAAAAAAATTCAAAAAAAATAAATTATATACATGCCAATATTGACTTCAAATGTTTATTTAGAGGAGTTTGCAGCAGCTTCTATATCATCAATTTCCTTTAATGTATCAGAAGTGATTACTTCATAAGAGCTCTGACGAACAACCACATCATCTTCAATTCTAATTCCAATACCTCTGAAATGCTTAGGCCATTCTTCAGTATCTGGAACATAAACACCAGGTTCAATTGTAATAATTTGTCCAGGTTGCAAAGGTGTAAATCTTGGAGGACTACTAATATCATGAACATCAATCCCCAAATTATGCCCAATATAATGGGGATATAAGGTAGTTAACTCCTTTCTAGATAAAGAGGCGAAACCACAATTTTTAAGCTCAGAATAAAAGAGTTGTTCAGATTGACGATGAATATCGTTCAGGGTCATTCCGGAAGAAGTAGAGCAGTACTTGATACATTCTTTCTGAACATTAAGAACAGCTTGGTAAAGATCTTTCTGAGGAGCAGTGAATTTTCCATTAACTGGCCAAGTACGGGAGATATCAGCACAATAACCACCATATCTACCAGCCGCATCAACAAGAACCAGATCACCATCCTTAAGGACATCGTAATTTTTGGTGTAGTGAATAGTTAAGGCATGATTTCCGCCTGCAACGACAGGCAAATAAGCAGATTCAGTGCAACCACGCATTCTGAACTGATAATCCAAATAGTAGTAGAGTTGGGACTCAGTCTGAAAGCGAATCCCATAAGCACTATTGTAAACATCAGCAGATATTTCAGCGGCAATTCTCATGTTTTCAATCTCGGCCGGGCTCTTTATTAATCGGCTTTTTTCGACAAGCTGAACAGCTGATCGGATCTCCTTTCTAGAAGAACGACGAAGCAACTCTCCTAACGATCCCGATAAAACATCTCTGTTATAACTTCGGAAAAAGTTGGGCAAGCGGCCTGATTCTTTAGGGGGTAATGCATCATAATAGACAATACTAATGTCCTTCAATAGCTTTTCCATGACTCGTTCAATATCGTTAAAACTATGAGCATTATCAGCGTTAAAAATTTCAATTGCTCCTTTTGGTCCAGTACGAGAACCATCCCATAGTTCAGCATATTCATCTTTTGGTGGAACAAAAAATATCGATTCAGGACTGTTTCCTTTTTTCTTATACAAAACAAGAGCCGATTGAGGTTCCATAAAACCTGTCAGGTAAAAAAAGTTGGGATCTTGTCTAAATTCATAAAAGACACTAGGAGTAGCAAACTGGGTATCATTTCCTGCAATAATAGCCATGCTATTATCAGGCATTTCATCCAACAAACGAGCTCTGCGGGCATAGTATTCCTCAGCTTTAATCCCGGGAGTTATCTCACCTGGGCGAAGCAAATGGGGGTGAGTCTCAGGTATAGGCTGGCCTGCTTTAAAGCGGGATTTTGTAGAATAGCGTTGAGCTGAAATAATGTTTTTTTTTGTCCATCTTGGTAAGGGTTTCCAGAAAGATTTTGAAGTGGTAGAAACCACTGATTTAGACAAGACCGACAACATTTTTTTCTATATGAATCTATCAACTTTATTATAAGTTATCTTCTTATTATTATTAGAGGAAGTAAAAAATTAAGGGCATTCGAAGCCTGACTAGGGCTGGGGTATTATTGGGGGAAATTTTTTTGTTTGAGTATCAAACAGGGTTAGGTTTACAAAGGGAACCAAACTTCGGGAGTCTAGTATTTTAAAAAAAAGAGGTCAAAAAAACTCCTTCCTTCTCAAAAATGAATAGAAGTAAAATTAATTTAAAGCATAACTGAGAATATTATGCTAAATACTTACCATTACTTGCTATCCAAAAGCAAACTTATTCAAAGATTCCTTTAGGGTTAGGAGCTGGGATTTGTTTTCTTTTGTTTATTATCATTTCAATAACGATAAGCTTTCATGACATTTCGATGTAAAGTAGTAATTTTGGCTCTGAAAGATAGTATTGAATATATTGAAATTCATTGCATAAAATTCAATATATTAAATCATGATTTAATATATTGCTGATCAGCTATGCTTAAAGGTGTCAAATTTTCCAAACGACACTAACACTAAGGTTGACGTCATCCACAAAATCCCTGTCTAGTATTGCTCACTTCGTACTTTACCAGTTCCATAATATGATAGAAAATTGAGACTTTATTACAGTGAGTTTAAAAATTAAGACATTGCTAGCTTTAACTGATCATGATTTAACTTTTGAACATTGACAATTCTAGTATAGCAAAAAGTTAACTAAAAATGTAAAATATATTTACAAAATTATCTTTCTACAATTATCTAAGTTTTTGCTTACTCTCATTAATATAAATATATCAGTTCTGCACTATGGTTGTTGACAGATAAATTCTAAATGTTTAATAGTTAGAATTTTTTTTGAGCGAGTTAAACATTTTTTTATCTCATTATTGATACAGAAATGATCAATCACACGCTGAAAATCTCATTAGCCTCTTTAACATTGCTGTTTCTTCAACAAAAATTGAAATAATAATAGTCTAAAATGCATACGTAGTGCTTCTCAACGTTGCTTAGACAATTTAAGCCAAAGTGCATGGCTGATACTCCTTTCGCCTCCCAAAATAAACATTCTCATAAATTCCTCTAGGGTTAGGTGTAACAAGACCATTATCTACTTATAAGTTATAATTAGATAAGGCGGAGAGCTGAAAAAGTCATAGTTACCGAAATTAAACAAAAATGGGGCGTCCTCATTATATTTGAAAGCATAACAATGAAATAATACACTAGAATTTTATGAATGTTTCAGCGTCGTAAGATAGAAGGACTAATATATGTTCACAGAAAAATTAATAGATTTGCCAAATAATTTCATGTTTCACGAAGTTTTTGGTGATGGTTTAATTGGAATGGGTGTAAACTTAATATTAATAGGATACATTACTTTCCATTCTTTAAGTTTTGGTGTATATTCCTTCATATCTTCAATATCATGGGTCATATGATGAGCAAATGTTTTCACTTCTTTAATGCTCGAAGGTTTAAGCGAATTAACGGTATCAATGCTTTGTAGAGAGTAAACAGGTAAAACTACAGGCTTCTTTTTTGATTTTAAAGTGTTCCTCGGTAGCTTACTCATTGAACTATGAAGCCTACAAGGAACAGTTTTAGCAACAGGGATATGTGAAAGTTTAACATTTGGAAACTGATGAAGATGATGTGATTGATGCTCAACAGTCAAAGATTTTCGCTTCTTGATGATGTTCAAAATATCTTTGCTTTTTAATTTTTTGGGTTTCGAGTATTTTTTTAAAATAAGACGCGTGTAAGACTCATCAATTAATGTTAATTCAACTTTGGGAGGTGTGCAAAAAACCATCAATTTGGTTTTAATACAAAAAATCTGGGGCTGAAGTATAATAGTATATGGACTTGGTCTGATATCGGAGATTTTAAGAGGGTCAAGAGTAATTTTGGTGGGCACGGTGTTTATTAAAAGGTTCGGAACAAACCAAAGCTTAAGACCTCGAACGACAAAAAACCTGTACCGAAAATCTTGAAAACTAGTATAGGAAGCCTGATTCAAAAGCCATTCTTTTTTTACAGCCATATAGAATCGTTTCTCGCCATCAGTAGCTTGAAATAGAAACATCATACTGCTTGAAGAATTGTCATCGTCTGATCTCCCAGCCAAGATAGGAGTGCTTACAATTTGAATGCAAAACTTCCCATTCGAAGAAAATGTATGAGGAAAACAAGATGTCTCTAGTGCATCTACTTTAATATTTTTTATATAATTTTGAAAAATCTTATTAAAGAAAGGTGACAATAGTTTTGACATTGTGCATAGAGGAAGTTCATGTTAATATCTGCTTGTGGTCTATTCTTTAAAAAGAAAGAAAAGTGATTATAGGGTAGGGGTTTCTGTCTTCAAAACTTTATGACATTTCAGGTCTTGTCACAAAAAACGTAACAAAAAAATCTTGCAAGAAAAGGAAGGATACAGGTTAGAAAAAAAAAATCAACACTGAAATTGCAGGGCATCAATTAAAATGTACAGAAGCTATGGAACTCATCAAAGGAATTATAGTAAGTACAATCAGATTCGAACATTTCCTTGTTTTTTTGGTTTTAACATTAGTTTAGGTCAAATTCCTTTGTATTCAAACTCCAATTCTAATCAGCAATATCAGATATCACGAAACTTAGATCAAGATTTCAAAATACCATCTTACGGACAGCTTCCCCCGAACCCTCTAGCGAAGAACGCTAATAATTCATCAGGGTTATCTAATGGACTAATAAACGATTCTCTTAGACAGTTCCGCCCTCCAGTATTTAAATCTATCTCACGAAACCAACCTCAACAGCAACAGCAGAAACAAGCTGGCTCGGCAAATTTACACAACAATTCCAATAATAACACCAATGTTTTAATTCTGGTGAAAACACTTCATCCAATGACCAATGAGCAACAGCTACGAACCGTTTTTGTCAGCAAAATTCCTGAGCTTATGAATGAAACATCTATCATCAATATTTTTCAATTAATACCTACATTTGAAACTTTTATCAGACTCCTTAATGGCCGAAGCGAGCCTTTATCATATGGATTTGTCAGATTTCAAAATATTGATGCTATAAAATTTTTCATAGATGTTTTTGAATCCATTGATTACAAGAAGAGCACATACAATACATTTGATACACTATTTAGTATATCAACGGATGAGAATACCCTAAAGTACTTAGAGCAGCGGACATTAGAAAAAAATGGTTTAGAATCATATTTTATGGGCAAAAATGTTAAGGAGGTTGCTTCAATTGTGGAAATGAAAATTAAAAATTGGTATGAAATCACATCAGCGACTTTTGGTGATGATCTATCAATCAAAATCCAACGCAAGGACGACGATGAAGACAAGAAGGAAAGCTCTGAAGATAATAATATTACGAAGCCAGAAGATGTCACAATCAATGAGAGCGAGTTTGATGATTTGGAGATTGATGACAAAGAGACAATTCTTCAAGAGATTCGTGAGTTCCGGTTACTATCCATCAAGTTTGAAAAAGTCAAGCAAGATCAAAGTGCTGAGGAAAAGAAAGAACGTGACAAGTATCTAGAAAAGGAGACGTCTAAGATGCTTGGAGACAAGTCTGATGGTGACTTGAACAAGAAAAGTGATGATGATGGCAAACTTTTTACCGAGCGAGATTTCCGTGAGATGTCTGATAGCGAGGATGAGATACCTGAATCCGACGAACGACTAGAGGAGATTCGACAATCACGACTTAGGCAAAAAGAAGAGCGGGTTTTCGAAGAAGATCAACGTCGTTGGATTGGTCGTGAGCGGATTCGTTCGTCAGCCTTGGCGCGTGAGAAGGAGCGTGAAGAAGATTTTGAAGCGCGATTGGAGCGCGAAAGACGCAAAGCGCTCAAGCAATACGCAGAGTTTGTGGATGGCGGCGAATACGAAAAAAATAAAATGGAGTATTACTACAATCATGCTACATGGGTGAAGAACCGGATGAGCGCTCGACTCCGCGAACAGGCACAGGACGAGCAAGATGCAGAGGACGAGGCCGAAGAAGAGAGACAAAAGATGGAAGAAAAGAACAATTTTATGTCTTCGCTTGCGTCAGAGCTTAGCACCAAGAAGTCGGGTGCTGGTAAATTCAAGCTTTCTTTGTCTGGAGCCAAAAAGACCTCGCAAGCTTCAGAAGCGGTTACCAATGCGTTGGGCAAAGAGGAAGATAGCAGAGCTGTTAGTGACAAGAAGCCAAAAAAAGTTCTTATTTCTGTCAATTACGAAACTCTCAAGGATATCGACGATTTTATTTCTTCTTCATCGAATGATCCCAGCATTACATCACTGGTTAATGAGATTCCCAAAATTCCTGAAGATCTCTTTAAGTTCAAGATTTCTTGGGAATTTCTTACCAATGATATTATTGAAGACAAACTTAAGCCGTTTATTACGTCGCTCATTATGGAATACTTAGGTGTTCAAGAAGACGAACTCATTTCATTTGTCGTTTCTTTGCTTAAGGAGCACAAGGAACCTCAGAATTTTGTCAAAGAAATGGAAATTGCTCTAGATGAAGATGCAATTGTATTTATAAAGCAGCTTTGGCGTCTTTTGATTTTTGAGACAGAAAGACTGCACCGGGAAATCTAAAAAAATTATATTACATAAAATATATATAACAGATTAAATGTCGTCCATGTTAATATCAATTTCATCAGGATTTGATTCTTTCAGAGCTTCTTTAGGTTTTTGGGGTTCAGGTTCAGGTTCAGGTTCAGGTTCAAGTTCAAGTTCAAGTTCCTGTTTAAGTTTAAGTTTTTGATTTTGCCTTTTCTTTTCCGAGTCTTTACTAAGCACAAACCCAGCAGGAGTTGCTGATTCACTGAATCCATTCTCTTGTTGCTGGACGATTTGGTTTTTGAGGGCCACAGCTTGAGCTGCAATGTAGCCAATATTAGTATTAAACATTGCCGAAACAGACCGCTTAATGCGTAGCATTTCCTTGTAAGTATCTTCGTTACCATACCGTAGCTCAAATTCGTGCCACTGGGTCCAGTATTCTGGTGAAGTTCTTGGATCACTAAACTGGCTTCCCCATGCATATAGTGCTCGAGCACGATCTACCTCGCCAAGTTTAAGTTCTACAGCAATAAAGTCGACACACATGTCTCTAGCCTCTGCTCCTTTGAGAGAGTTGATTGCACGTTCAAAAATACGCCGTGTTGCAGCCAGACCAAAGTTTTCAATGGTACGTGCAATGTAGTACTTGAACATTTCCGCCTTGTCATTTTCTGGAACAATTCTAGCAGCGCGGTCATATATTTTCATAGCATTGCGGACTAATCCGCGGTCTTCTTCAAGCTTGCCAAATAATACAAATATGGGTTTGACAATATTGTTGGGGCAGCCGTCAAGGGCTTGCTCAAAGAGATCTCGTAAACGCTCCATACCAAGCTTGCGCTCTATGGCCTTTTGAAGATAAATGTTCCAAATTTCAAATGCAATTGGGTAAGAGAAAAGCTCGACACCGCGTTCATAAATTTTGAACGCTTCTTCAAAACGATCGAGGTCCCAGAGAAAGCTGGCATAGTTGACAATGGTCAGGGGGGTACCGATTTTCAGCTGGAGAATGATATCATAAGTTTTCTTGACGGTATCAATAAGGTGGTGGTCTTCACTGGCTGCAGATTCCAAGAGGTCGACATAGAATGACCAGAGTTTCATTGATTTAAATAGTCGTTCTTGTGGAGGGATATCATCATTAAAAAAGTCAATTTTTGAAGGGTTAATGCTTGGCACCTTTGTTGCTGTTTGTAGAATCGTACTAGCGCGGTCAAATTCGCCCAATCGTAGTTCCATTTCGGCCCACTCAATGTAAATCTCCACAAGCTCGTTTATAGACTTAAAGCGAACTTTTGTTGCCTTGTCGAAAATAACGCGAGCCCAATCTGGTTGATCTCGTTGTTCGTAAAAGCGGGCGTAGGAGACCCATAGTTTGTAGAGCTTGCCGTTTGCCTTTGTAGGTTTTATAGTAGCGAGGGCCTCTGCATAAGTATGGACCATTTGGGCATCGTTTCCCATCCACAGGGCGACCCGTTTTTCCCATTCGACAACATTGTTTGGGTCTTGGCGAAGAAGGACGTCAGAGACGAGAAAAGTTCTGCGAGTCATGAGCTGTTCAAAAGCGGCCATAAGACGGTCGATTTCCCTATCAAAAGTAGGATCTTCTTTTTCTACGAGTTTGGAAAGATTGATTTCTTCCATTTCAGAGTAACTGTCAAAAATTAAAGAAAAATCGCGGACTGTCATCGCTGTTGTCATCCCTTCTTCAAAAACATCACGGGCTTGCTCAATGTCACCCTTGTAAATATAATATGAAGCTAAGGAAACCCAAAGTTTGCCAAATTGGTCGGGGTATCGTGCAATGCCGCTACGTAGAATGCGGTTTGTGGGCCAGCGCGCGGTTTCTTTAGGATGGTGGATGAGAGTATCAGCGAGGTCAGACCAAATTTGAAATCTGCTTTTACCCTTAACTGAAGCAAAATCTGAGTTATCAAGGATTTTAATTAGTGTTTCGACAGCCTTGTCGTAAAAGCCACGGTCAATGAGAAGCTCAACGTAAGATTCGATTTCACGAGGCTGAAAGTATACATAGCGGGCAAAAACAGAAACTGCAGTTTCATCACATGCATTAGAGGTGGCAAACTGAAGATAAAGTGGCCAAATTCTGTAATGCTGATATACAGAAAGAGATTGTAATGCGCGGTCAAAGGCGCGACGTGTTATAGAGGTGTCGGCTTGAAGCATTAGAAACTCAAGATAATCTGTCCACAGACGGGGCATTTTAGAAAGAAGAAGAAAAGCGCGCTCAAAGCATGCATTAACTGAAGCAAAGTGGTGAACATGAGCACTGGTGTTGAGGCCTGCGACATGGCTGGTGCGCAGATCCAAATAGTCTTTCCAGATTTTGTATGAGCGCGGGAATCTACGGACTGCACGTTCGTAGAGAGAAACTTGATGGACAAGAGGTCGATCGCGGCAATGCTGAATGTATCGAAGCCATGGAGCGATTTCTTCTGGAGATTTAAGGATCTCGAGCTCATATGGGACGTCTGAGTCTGTGATGTCTATGAGCATGATATAGATGTGCAATGGTGGTAGTTGGCGTTGAATAAAATTTCCTAGTAAGGCTGTGTTGTTGCAGCTGTTGGTATGGGTCAGTGCTGTCAGTCTGCATAAGGTGAGGTTACCCGGCAGGCAGCATTTGGTGGCTTCTTCTTTTTTGGCAGTGGCTGCTTTGACCGCTTATTTTTTTTTTTTTTTGCTGCTATGGCTGCTTTTTCCTTACTCTCCCTCTTTTTTGGTTTGCCATTTCTAATAAATACCAAAGGACATCCCCCCCCCCTCCAAAAAAAAAAAAAAAAAACCGAGCAGCCAAAAAGAAAGGATCTTGGAACAGTTGAACCCACTTGAATAAGGCAATACTTTAGTAATAAAATTGATACCAAGTTTTTCAGATTATTTAGCTTAAAATGTCGAGCGGTAACAGGTGGGTAATAGACACAATCATACCTTTTTTTTGCATTAATGAAACTAATATCTCATAGAGAAGCAGTTTTCCCCACGCGAATGACACTGACGACGATGAAGATCAAACTCAAGGGTGCGACTGTCGGACACAATTTGCTGAAGCGCAAGTCGGAGGCGCTAACAAAGCGGTTCCGTGATATTACACGACGAATTGATGACGCGAAGCGTAAGATGGGCCGGGTGATGCAAACGGCAGCGTTCTCGCTGGCCGAGGTGACGTATGCCACGGGCGACAATATTGCCTACCAGGTGCAGGAGTCGGTCAAATCTGCGCGCATCCGTGTTCGTGCCCACCAGGAAAACGTTTCTGGTGTGCACCTTCCTCAGTTTGAGGCATACTATGACGAAACATCTAATGACTTTCAAATGACAGGTCTTGGACGCGGTGGTCAGCAAGTTCAAAAAGCTAAACATGTTTATGCAAAGGCTGTCGAGACTCTGGTTGAGTTAGCTTCTCTTCAGGTTAGTATCTTTATGAACATTGTGAGGGTAATGCTAACATTTAAAATTAAGACTGCATTTGTTCTTCTTGACGAAGTCATTAAGGTGACTAACCGAAGAGTCAATGCCATTGAGCATGTTATTATCCCCCGAACAGAAAATACTATCAAGTGTAAGTTTTGCTTAAGGTCTTTAGGGTTTGTTTATAAAGTTATTAATTTTTATTTATAGACATCAACTCTGAACTAGACGAACTGGATAGAGAAGAGTTTTACCGCCTGAAGAAGGTGCAAGACAAAAAGCAGCGTGATTATGAAGTTGCTGAGGCTGCTCGCAAGGCTCGTAAAGAGGCCGAGCTCTTGAAGCTTGTGGACGAGGCAATTGCTGCTGGAAACAGTCCTGAGGAGGCCAACAAGATTGCCGAAGTCAAGGAGCTTGAAAAGGAAAAGAAAGAAGCTGCTGGATTGGCTAATGGAGAAGAAGAAGAAATTGTTTTTTAAAATGATGGAATTGAAACAACTTTTTTTTTCTGATCTCTGATTTGTTTTTGTCTAATAATATCTCACATATATCGTCAATTAATTATTTCCATTATATATATATATAAAAAGCCTGTTAAAATCCCCATTTTTTAGTCTTCTTTACAGATTGAGGCGTGTAAGAGACCCATCGTTATTAATTTTAACTGCACCAGCCTTAATGAGAGCTGTTTTGAGGTCATCAATAAGATCATCAGGGTTTTCAATACCAACACACAGACGAATAAGGTCTTCTGGGAAATCACGCTCTGCTCTTGTTTTAGCGTCAATAGAAGCATGGGACATTTTACAGGGCATGGAAATGAGAGAATTGACGCAGCCAAAAGATACGGAAATGCCCCAGATATGAGTTCCTTCAATGATGCGCTCCGAAAGCGGGACACTTCCGGTCTCAAGAGAAAGTACGGCACCGGCACCAGAGGCCTGGGCCCAATGAAGGGCATATTGAGGATGGGACTTGAGACCGGGGTATCTGACCTTGAAGCCTGCTGACTCAAGAAACTCAGCGATAAGCTGAGCGTTGTGTTGTTGCTTCTCCAAACGCACTCCAAGAGTCTTGATGCCGCGCTCCAGCAGCCAGGCCTCAAATGGAGCTAGGCCACAGCCTGAAGCGTTGATAACAAAAAACAAGCGGTCACCGATGGCGTTATTTTTAACCGCAATGACACCAGCCATAATGTCATGGTGGCCTGAGAGGTACTTTGTGCCGGACTCGTAAACAATATCAGCACCAAGCTCAAGAGGTGCCATGAGCATCGGTGAAAGCATGGTATTGTCGGCAACAACAAGTGCATTTGGGTTTTTTTCGTGTACAAGAGCGGTAATGGCTGGAATATTTGCAATCTTTATGAGGGGGTTTGTGGGAGATTCAAGGAGAATCATTGCTGTTTTTTCATTGACAACTGCACGCACGGCGTCAACATTTGTAGTATCAACGTGATGAGCAACAATACCACCAGAGGTAGAGAGATATTTGAGCAAACGATTAGTACCGCCGTAGAGGTCGTCGCCCGCAATGACCTCATCTCCAGGCTTGAGCAGGCGGGTAATAACGTCGAGAGCCGTCATGCCGGATGTGACAGTGAGAGCACGGGTGGCGCCACCAATAATACGGGCGAGGTGGCGTTCAAGGTGAGTACGGGTCGGATTACCTGAGCGAGTATAATCGTACTCACCCATGTTAGAGAGCGATTCCTGTTTGAAGGTGGCTGTTTGGTAGATGGGAGTAGATGAAGAGCGGTATTGGTCGGTAGTTTCAGTGAATACCAATTCTGTGTCGATGGAATAGTGGCGGCGAGTGCGTGGAGACGATGGCGCTGGAGAAGGCGGAACCAGACCTTCACGAGCTTCCGAGTTAGAATGGACAGTAAGATCTGCTAGTTGTTCAGTTGGAAGGTGGGACATTTTTAGTTAGATGTAGAGTAAGGTATTAATGAGTTGGTTGTTGGGAAGAGAAAAAAAAAAAAGAGGAGATTTGAAGGTTGTTAAAATTTTCATGGGAAGTTGGGAAATTTTTAAGAGTCACTGAAAAAAAGTCTTTTGCAATGGTGTCATCACAAATCACACAAAAACAAGAACAGGAACAAGAACGGAATTTTCGTTTTTAGCCATCTAAATTGAAAGCCGCTCCTTTGGAATTATTGTTAAATATGTATAAGTATATTCTAAAAGTTACAAGTTCCATTTAACTTTAGGACCGTTGAGGAAGAAGCCCGGAAACACGCCAACGCCAGCGCAACTTGCGGCGCATAGTGGTATACCAATCAGAGCGGTCGCTACGAGCCGCCAGCGACATAAGCAGCGATGCCGAACTCGAATTGGCAAAAGAGGAGCCTGGGAGAGTGGCAGCAATAGTTGCAGCCCCTAAGTCTCCGAGAGATTCTGTGTGGCGGAGCAGTCGGCGTTGTTTTTTAACGTGAAGTTGTCCATATTGGTCTTTGGCTGAACAAGATGTATAAATGGTATGGTAATGAAGTTGTTGACTCTGGCGCACACCGGCGCAATCAGTGCAGACAAATTCACAAAAGTCAGAGCCTGTAAGATCATAAAGAGGCTTGGAGCAATGATTACAAGTCTTGACGAGAGTGCCCTTCCGCATAGTGGAGAAAGGCGAAAGGGATGCTGGTTTTTTAGAAGAGTGAAAAGAAGAAGAAGAAGAAGGAGAAGAAGAAGAAGAAGAAGGAGATTGTGCAGACGACAATGCCAGATCGTCAGTATTGTTAGAATCTGGGTGAGGTTTTGTAAAGTAATCTTCAACAAAAACAATGCTTGTAGTTATGTCCAACATATCTGGGTAAATATCTGTGTCGTCATTATTAATATTATTATCATCACCATCAATATCTTCGTCATCGTCGCGACGGGTAAATAGGCTCATAAGACGTGCGCCGGGTCCGACAGGAATTGACTCATGTTCAATTGAATCCGAAAGCCCAATGACAGTGTTATATACTTGGGGGAAAGTGGTAAGCTTTCGGTTATCGATTAAATCTAACATTGAAGGCTGGTGTCTCATGGCAGCAGCAGCGGTAGGAGTAGTGGTTCCAGATGGCAGGGCAGTTCTCCTAGTGGATCTTGCTTTTGAACTACGAATACTTGCATAAGAATTTTTGGCCCGCAAAGTCGTGTTATTAGTTGTTGTAGATCCAGGGGCTGCTCCTATTGAACAACTTTCAGGGGGTGTAGCTTCTGTTACTTGTTTGGCGAATTGACCAGTTGCAGGGGGCTGTTGTGAGTTCTGGTGTACTAACAGCTTCTGAGGACTCAGGGGCTGTTGTTGGTGCCGGTGTTGTTGAAACAAAGACGTGTCCGAAAGAAAAGAATCTGAATCGTAAGTCGCGTCTAAATCGGCAGATCTCTGGACTTGATAAGCAGCTGCCATAGCCATTGCCTTTGAAAGACGGTGTTTGTTTCCGTTGTTTCCATTGTTTCCATTGTTGTTTAAGCAATTGCGCGGATCTTCTTCTTCCAAGTCCTCCTCGTCAAACAAGTGGGCCATTCCTGGCAAAGCTTTGGTGGTTATTTTTGTTGTTGTAAGCGGCTGGGAATCTGGCAGAGCTACCGACGAGTTGGAGTGGGGCTCGGCCCCACTAAGATGTTTTGGGTGGCTCCTCAGAGGGGCGGGCCCGTCAACAACAACAACAGCCGTAGACAATGACGAGGCCGACGACGATGACGACAAGCTGGAGAGCCGGCGTAGAGATGACGGAGAAAATAAAGTAGGTGGAAACTCTTTAGGAGATATTGATGATTGGTTATGTAGTAAGTTGTAAATGGTGGTGTTGGTGGTGGTAGTGGTAGTGGTAGTAGTAGTAGTAGTAGCAGCAGCAGTAGTAGTAGCAGTAGTAGGAGTATTTCCGGTAAATTTGGTGGAGGTTTCAGAAGAAGCGGTGGCAGAAACTGCAGTGTCTCGACTGCTGGTACTGCATGAACGCGCAAGGATTGATAATCCAGATGAAACTGAAAGCGCGCCAAAAGACGTGGCCAACGACCGATCAGATACAATCATTGAAGGCGGCGGAATTGGCGGTGATGGAGGGGATAGTGAAGGCGGCGACATTGATACAGAAGGGATTTATTTATTTTATTTTATTTTATTTTTCTGGAATGGAGGTGTTAGAAGAGGAAAAACTTTTAGGATGAGAAAAAAAAAAATTAAAAAATAAAAAATAAAAAATAAAAAATAAAAAATAAATCACTTGATTAAAGTTATTTATAATAACTTCTTTTACCAGAAGTAATATACTTAGTTTTAAATAAGCAAAATGGAAAGACACAAACATTTCTTCCCATTTTTACCCCTTAAAGATTTCCCAAAATATTTCATTTCTAAACGTAATGGCAAAAAGCCTATAATCAATTTGCAAATCATGACATTCTTTTCTCCAGATTCCGTGTTCCACACAGCTTGGACGCAAGTGGTCAACCCTTCAAACCCAAATGCTATTGATGCAAGACTTTGCTTTGACCTCATTGCAGCTATTGAAGCTCAGCTCCCATCGCTACCACAAAATAAAGTTCTAACACCAAGTGAATCCCCAAAACAGCCCATCCTTTCCAAAAATGCAAGACGAGTCCTTTCAAGCCATTTGGACCAAACCGAGCCAGGTTGGACCCTTTCAAAAAATGACTTTCTTGCTCTTTATAAGCATATCTCTGGTGGATTAGACCTCTTGGAAACTGTTTTACCCAATAGACTTTCTTCAACCAGCTTAACTACAACAACACCCACTATGGGGTATACTAAACCACGAAGAAGTCCCTTTAAAACTCGCTGGAATACCATTGATAGTCCCCAAAGAGATTTTAAAAGATCAGTTTCTCTTAATGCGTTACCTTTTATAAATACCAACCCAACCCTAGACTTTAATTCACACTTGGATGATAATAATAATAATAATAATAATAATAATAATAATAATAATAATAATAATAATAATAATAATAATAATAATAATAATAACAATGATAATGATAATGATAATGATAATGATAATGATAATGATAATGATAATGATAATGATAATGATAATGATAATGATAATGATAATGATAATGATAATGATAATGATAATGATAATGATAATGATAATGATAATGATAATGATAATGATAATGATAATGATGACCTTCAAGCTGCTTTCATCCAAAACCTTTCTCATTTTAAAAGCCCCCCATATAGCCGTCGTCTTAGAGAAACCCGCTCCCATAAAGATATCAAAACCATAAGCTCTCAGCAAGATCACATTTCCTATCTCGAGGACCAAAATTCAACTCTCTCTTCTCTGCTTGCAGACATCCGCGTCACAGTTACACGTCTAGAACGTGAAAATAAAATACTCAAAGACTCAGAGGAAACCAAACACCGCCAGCTCGAACAAATGGAGTCCCATCTCGCCACATCCGCTCAGGAGCTTCAGGACCGTCGACAACAATACTCATCACTTTCAGAAGCTTATCTTGAAGTAAAACGAGAATCAAGACTCAAGGAAAAAGTAAATAATGATAATAACAATGACAATATCAATATCAATGATAATGATAATAACAATGACAATGACAATATCAATGATAATGATAATGATAAGAACAATATCTCAAACCCACGAGTATCTTTAACGACCACTTTCCCTCATATGGAGGTCCCCAAAAACTCATCTGACTTGGTTTCTGACCTAAAAGTCTTGGCAGACTCATTTCAAACCGAGTACTCGTTATTTCTCCAAAAACTGGTTCTCAAAAAACCTCTCATAGATCTTCTATCCCGTGCAATGACTGCTCATACCAGACTTTTCATTGCTATTGTTGCAAACCTTTCCACAGACCTTACTCAAACACAAGAAACTCTTCAAGATATCAAGTCTCAGCTTCAAATTCAAATTCAACAACAACCACTAACCCTTGGAAATGATAAAATTTTTGCAAATTTTAAAGAGTCATCTGCTCGCTCTTTAGCTTCAAACACTGATGAGAATGGGAACATTGATCTGGACACATTTCTTGATACTATCCAGCGAATCTCGGACGAACAAAAGGCATACCTAACCACCCTCTCCAAGCCTTCGGAGGACTATAAAAACATTTCCTCTCACATAGTTGCCCCAGATTTTAAGGAATCAAAAAATTATAATAACGATGATGTTGATGACTCATTCCCTATTTTTCCTACCCCTCCTTCTCATAAACCCGAGTTGCGCTCGCTGAAAAATGACAGAAGACCTCGCTCAAGATCAACTCCGGCATCCTCATTATCTGCATCCATCCATGAGCGAACCTTAAAAAAGCACCGTCTTCAACAACAATTGCTCCACCGTAAGCAGTTGGCTGCCGCAATAGCCGCTGCAAACAAGAAGAACAGTATACGTTCCATTATGTTTTCAAGACCTTACGCATCTCTCTCTATCTTGGTTCTCGTTATCTCATTTTTCTTCTACTATTGGATTTCGGCTTTTCAAGCATCCTTTTCAAAGTTCTCTCAACCTCAAGACTTTTCTTCTTCTTCCTTATTCTCGTCGTCATCTTCTTTTTCAAAAATCCTCTGGTGGCAACGTCTGGGGGGTCCCGTAGAATCATGGGGCGCTGCCCTGGACAAACGCGCACGTCCTACAAACCACGAAACTCCTGTATAAATTTTAATATTATAATTATTATCATCATTTTTACATAATAAATATTGTATAGTACTCATTAAATCACCTCTTCAAAGTTCTCTGCTTCTCTGCATTCTCAACAACTTTCTCTGCAACTGACAAACCTTTCCGCTTACGCACTTTTTCCATATACATCTTGGCTATATTTTCCCTATCAGCCGTCTCTCCTAGTTTTTCCAACTCCTCTTCAGTCGTTGGCACCCAAAAAGGGTCTTCATCGACAACCATCTCAAACCCTGAAAAAACTAGTTGCGGGTTGGCTGCTCCAGAAGTCTTCTTGCGAATGTCATCCGAAAACCCAAACGCTTCAACCACAGGCAAACTAGCAGTCACCAAGTAAAACGGCGTGCCTTCTCGCATTTCTTCTTGTAAAACCTTTCCACGCCGCCGCGACAAAACTCCATATACCTTTCCTAACACTTCCCCGGGTGCTTGGATCTGGCACTCATACATTGCAAGCAGCAAACGAGGTGACCAGTCTAAAAACCCTGTCAAAATCTTCTCCTTGGTCGCAGAAATTAAACGCCCAGAAACATTCATGTTCCATGTTCTGTCTCCTCCTGTTGCTTCCTCCTTATCTTTCTTCTCTCTAGTTTCCGTTTCATTGCTTTCTTGAGCTTCGTCCTCTTCAACAACACTGTCGACAACAACCATCACTCCCTCCATCGGTTCCGCCGTCAACGGGCCATGTTGCGTCGCCAGCTGGAAACCAGTCACAATGCTCTCTTCATAAGCAAACCGGGCCTTCGACTCATGTTCCTGCTTAAAAAGTCGGTGCCGAATCACCCCGCTTCGGTCAACGAGAATATTAGATCCAGTCCGTCTCGGCCCGAAAGCAACAATGTTCTCCAAACTTAACGCATTGCGCAATTTTTCTGCATTGTCTTTACTCTTCAACCTACTTGCTGACTCATTGACACTCTCAGAAAAAGCCTTTTGAATCCAAGTATCTTCAATCCCATTTTTGGAGTACTCCCTAACTAAAGCCTCAATTTTTTCGTGATTATCGGTCAAAAATTTAGTGATTTCAGATGCTAAAGGTTCCACACGTAACCGAACCCTAATTCCCCCTAAATCAATTTTTCCAACACCCTGCTCCTGCTTTATGTCCTCATCAATATTAGTAGTAGTAGTATTAGTATTAGTAGTATTAGTAGTATTTCCAATCGTTTGTTCAATCACACCTTTATGACCCACAATTGTCTCTCGATAAGGTACAATCGGCTCAGAAGCTTGAATGTCTACCTTTGCAAACCGCTCCTTTAAATCCTTTAAGCATCGCTCCAGGTGAAGTTCACCTGCGGTCATTAAGATATGCGCACCATTTTCAGCCACAGAGACTTGGACCATGGGATCAGAAAGATTTAGAAGCTTTAGCCCATTTTCCAATTGATCAAGCTTAGTCGGATCAACAGGCTCAACAGCGACTCGCACAATCGGAGCCCCAATGTTATTCCTGCTTGCTAAATTGGGGCCCTGTCCATGTTCAAGGCTAACAAGTGTTCCATTCTTTAAAATTTTTCCATCCAAACCACCAATACCAACAATATTTCCTGCAGGAACTTCCTTAAGTGAAACCAATTCGCGGCCCATTAACAAAAATAAATCGGAAATCACAATTTTCTCTCGGTGTTTTTCTGGGTTGGCAGGATCAAACTTAGGTTGTAAAATATAAAGCTCTTGACCGACTTTTAATGTTCCACTAAACACTCGTGCAAATCCAATCAACTTCTCTTTCACAATAACTGGCGACTCCGCCCTAAGCTGATTAAAATATGCATCCAAATCATCAATATCTTCTTCATCATCATATCCTTTACCTCCAGCAGCAACCATGTCAGAGGGGCCTTGCTGCAAATTTGCTGCAAGCTCCCGTGCTCGTCTGGTGCGCTCTTGAATTGCTGACATGGGTGTTCTATTATTCTCCTTTTCCTCTTGGTCACTCTTTTTTCGCAAAATTTCCTCCTCAGGTATTGCAATCACTTTGGATACATACGAAACAACAGGTCCCAAGCGATCACAACAAAGCATGGCATCTCGAACCTTAAGATTTAACCCATCACCGCCACCCGGTGCACTTTCAAGAATTAGGGGTATTCGTTCGCGCTGGGCAATTGTTGGAGGATTAACCTTTTCTATCACACTGAGAAGAATAGATACTGAAATCGGAATCCACTGATTGAAAATAGCTGTCAAAAGTGGTTTCCCGTCCTTAGCCTTAATCATTGCTGGTGAGATTTTTAAGTTAAGAGCAGAAACAATTTTAGAACTTTGCTCGGAATCTCGCTCAACCACAGATGATTTATAAATCTTCCAAATATTATCAAGAACAAGTTGTACAAAAAGTGGCTTAGGGTTCTTCAAAGTTTTTGCCGCAGAAGATCCTGCAGATAGAACGCGTTTAGTCTTAGGATCAAAGTAATAATTCCCCCATAATACTTTTTCCAATTTTTCTCGCTGAATCCCAAGTTTTCGTTCAAAAATTGATGCAAATTGAGAAATGTTGAATCCCCATCCATCAATAGCACTCGCAAAAATTATGTTATTAAGCTCAGGATTAAAGTACAAATCGTCATCAGACTTTTCAACAAATTCGTCCTTTTTATCATCACCTGAATTCTGCTTTTGTTCTTGAAGCTCACGCCACTTTAAATCTTCCTGCATTCTATCAACAGCAAAAAATGACCCCATCACCGCATTTACTTGTTCAATAAGTCTGGTCAAGTGTATGTAAGCTTCCATTGGTGTTAAACGTAGTTCTGTAACAAGTCTGTCAATTTTATTAATAACAAGTACCGGCTTAAGCTTCTCTACCCAAGCTTGTCGAAGAACAGTTACAGTTTGAGATAAAACACCCTCTACGGCGTCGACAAGAACCAAAGCACCGTCACATAATCTCGATGCTGTAGAAACCTCTGAAGAAAAATCAATATGGCCCGGTGAGTCGATAAGGTTGATGAGATACTCTTTAATCTGAGGACCGTTTGTTTCCAAAGGCGGCGATCGTGATGCTACTTTAAAATAAAGTGAAATGGCACTAGACTCCATTGTAATCCCTCGTATTTGCTCGTCAGGTCGTGAGTCCAGGTATCGGAGCTTGCCAGCCATGTTTTGTGATATAATTCCATTGGACGCTAAAAGCGAATCTGAAAGAGTAGTCTTGCCATGGTCAACATGGGCAAGAATACAAATATTTCTAATAAGGTCAGGATGAGACTGTAATCTTTTTAATGTTTCTGGGTTGACCATATTGTCACATAGACCTATGTTGATTTTGGTTTTGGTTTTGGTTGTAAAAATCAATGGCCATGCCAATTGAACTAATTATTAATTATTATAATAAACCTATATATGTTGATACCAAATATTTAATGTAATATGTAGTGCATATAAAAATGTAGCCTAAAAAATTTTCCCTCCCAGTCATCAGTCATCATCACTTTTTGTGCCGATACATTACTAACACCCTATGGTCACCAATACTGAAATGGGCGTCGTGACTTCACCTCGTTCAAAATGCCCGAAATGCAGAACGGATCTTAAACTGTGTTTAATTTCTGAGGATACAGCTGTGCTTATGTGTCCTGTATTAAATGTCTGTATATTAGTTAATAATCTATATTTGATACTCTAACATATTCTAGTGCTCTTACCCATTTTGTCAGGATTCTGATCATTTACAAGTTGCCAATGTAACCCAAAAGGAAATTTTGCAAAACGTTGCCACTAGAATGCGTCAAGCCAACCTAGATCCTAAGGGTTTATAGGCAAAAATTCAAAATAAAGGATAAAGAAGCCTTTATAGGAGCATAATTTTCTACTACTAAAAATCAAATATTGATCCATTTCATTCTAAATTAAAACATATGGGAATTTAGAGCATATGTTGAACCAGCATATTCACTCCCGTTATCATAACGACGATCTTCATCTAAAAGTTCCTTGACTTCCCAAGCACTTTCCTTATTGGATACGCTAAACTCCAAATCCTCGGTTGTTATCATATCCCAGTACTTATAAACCATCATAGATGCAAATAAATTGGTAAGTGAAGCAAAAAACAATCCATCTAAGTAGTGCTTTACATTATCGCATATTTTATAAGAAAATGCGTACAAAATCACTTGTCCTGCTGCAAAAAAGAATGTTCCTAACCCAACAGCGCCCAGCGCCCATGGATCATGCAACACAAATATTGTCAGTGCTAGCTGAGAGACAATATATGTCGCAACAAAAATAGCATTTAATAAATAGAGCACCACAAATAGACCAGTCGTTTTTGTTGGTGATAAGGTATCTGGAGTCCACCCATGAAACGTCAAAACGGCTATTATAAATGTGAGTGCAAATGCACAAAAGCTAGAGATCCGAAGACCCCATACCGACCGAGGTGTACCATCTTCGTAAAATTGAAATCCAAGTAAACCGTTCAGCATAAGAGCCCAGCAGCAGGCTGAAGAAAATCCGGCATGCACTGCCACAAACCATGCGTAAGCACCTGATCCTGGTGGAACAACACCAGAATCAACAACAAGAGACAAAAACACTGTAACAAAAAGTATTAGAAAAAAATCTAAAATTTCGCGGCGCCCTATAGCGGTAAATTTGGAGCGAATATTTAGAATAATAATAACAAGAACACCAAGCGCAGCAATATTTATAAATGCATTGCCAACTTGAAATATGATTGTATTGGCGAGATCTATTGAGCGAGCGAAACATTCTGGAGTAATCCCAGTTTGATGTAAAATAGAATATGAACTCTCTTCATAAGGACCAACGAGCGGACAAAGTGGCAAAGATGCCTTTTCACAAATGGTATCAAATTGCCCAAATGTCATTGAAAAGGTAGCTGAAATTAAATAAAAAAAATTGAAAATAAAAGAAAGTAGGAGGGTTTTTTAATAGAAAATAATGTGCTTAAGCAACATAATTATTGTGTTCTATTTTTAACGTTGAAACAAGAATGTAACAAAATATTGCTTGTAACTTAATAACTATGTTTTTCAAAGCATACATCATCATTTTTACACTATTGATATATTGATAAATCGGCTATGCCTTTGAAATAGAAATTTTTCAAAAAAATAAAAAAAATTCATATTGATTCTTTTCAAATGTCTATTAAGCGCCTTCCGGCAATATTGTTTCCCGGTCAAGGAAACCAAAAACGGGCTATGCTTGAAAACTACTTTAAAAGGTTTCCTTCGGTAGTCAAACCTATTTTAGAAGAACTTGATGAATCTCTTAAACAAAACTTTTCCAAACTTCTTATAAAATCTTCAGATGCAGATATTTTTCTACCAGACATTGACCTAACATCTAATGCGCAACCAGCTATTCTTACAACAAGCTATACAATTATTCAGATACTTAAATCTCAAAGCTCCAATAAACAAGATTTTTTTAGTTCTAAATTTTCTTACGCTTTAGGCCATTCTCTTGGAGAATTTAGCAGTGCTTCAGCTGTTGGAATATTAGATTTTTCAGATGCTGTTAAGCTTGTTCATTTGCGTGGGAAAGCCATGGAATCATCGAAAGCTCAGTTTTCAAAAAGATTTGGCAATGTAAAATTGGGAATGTATGTAACCTTGCTAAACAAAATATCATCATCAGATATTATTAAAATTTTTGATGAAAAATACAAAACAGGCCCATTGAATCCCAATGAATTATCTAGTTATGTTGATATCGGAAACATTAATTCAAGTTCTCAGGTAGTTTTTTCAGGTCCACAACCCGCTATTTATACCATACTTTCGGAACTTCAAACACATTATGGAATCAAACGGCCCTTTAAAACAATTCCACTTAATGTTTCAGCACCGTTCCATTCTCCCATAATGCTCCCAGCACAAGAATATATGGAAGCTCTTGTTTCAGAACTGGAGGCAAGTGGGAAAATAGGATGGCCTTCTGAAATTCCTATTATATCAAATATCACCAAAAGGCCTTTTGAATCTAAACAGCAAATTATTAGGTCTTTTTCTCACTCGTGCACTGATAGAGTATATTGGTATGATTCAATTAAATATGCCGTAAACGAAAGAGGTATAGATAAATTTGTGTCTATTGGGCCAGGTAACATCGGTGATTTAACAAAGCGTGATCTACCTAAAACTGTATCTTTGGTTAATGTTACATCTGAAACATTAGAAGATTTTATTGCAAATTTCAATTGAATTCATGTATTGAAAAAAGTTAAATAAAACATTCCATAATTTTGATTAAGGAGATCGTTCTTTGCTAAAAAATGAGGCATCTTTTTCATCTTTTAGTTGGTTATTTAGTACTTGTTCATGCTCTTGCCGGGCTTCTTCTTGTTCTTCAATAGCTACTTTCAATGCTTCTTCTTGAGCTACTTCTCGTGAAACATCTTGGAATTTTTCTTCTAGTAGTTCATCTTTGTTATTAGTCTGTTTTTCAACTTTCGGGGGTTTTTTCTTTTCCTCTTCCATTTCTTTCATTTTTTTTAAATCGTCTTCGCTAGGCTCATATAGGTGCCATATAGTGTAATGAGGTAGCCCATTAACAGAAAATCCCATTTTTCGGCAAAGTTTCCCAAAACCCTCTGTTTCAGCATGGTTCCAAAGAGCAAATCCCGGAAACATTGCCCCATTTCTAAAAACTTTTGCTCGAGCAAGTATGCTAACACCTCCAATGCCATCCATATCATACATTTCATCAGGATTTCCATTGACATCACGAAAATAGGCAAGATGAGGTCGCCAGGTAGGGTATTCGGCATATCCTTCCACTATAACATCATCCTCGTTCAATGTTTTGGCAAGTTCTAATGCGGCTTCACTCTCTTGCCATGTGTTCAAATCGTATGGTTGTTCATTCCCCAGCCATTCAGGTAAAGGGCGCCATACATTTGGCACTATGACATCTCTACCATGTTTCATTAAATCTTCAATAATTGTTGGTGGTGAAGTCTCAATATCGGCATCACGCCAGTAAACCCACGAATGATAAGGCTTCAAAGCTACTGAAGTTAACCAATTACGTGCTCGGCCCATCAACTTTCTTCTTATGCCCTGAACAGCTACACCATGTCTATCGTCAAATCCTTGTCCAATTGCTTGTCCAAAGTCTTTGTAAAAAATTTCAATGTTTCCATATGTTCTAGAGATTGAGCTTCGTCTTAAATTCAATTCAAGGTCAACAGCTGTTGAATCATCAGAATCTGAGACCAAAAAAGCAAGATCAATCAATTCGTGAGGGTATGTGAGATTTTCAAGATGAGATATCATCATATTAATGACAGGAGCTGCATTTCGTAATGGAATACATAATAAAAGTCTGTTTTTGAGCTCCCATCCATTTTTATCTCCATCAAAGTTGTTTAAATTATAATGTTGTGAAACACCTACCTGGTTATCATCAAAGTTGGCTATTTGATTTTTCAATTTTTGCCAAGATAATATATCGTTGAAGTTTTGGCTGTAAGAATTGTAATTATTTCCATACTCAATTTGACCATAATCTGAAGATCTCATTAGAATAAGTCTCCACAAAGCAAAGATTCCCAAGATTATTAGCATCCATCTTTCTGTTAATCGCTTCTGATTTCGAGGCATATCTTTATACCACTTTGGAATGTAAATCTTGCCAAAAAGTCTACCAGTTGTGACATTTGAAGGTTTTCTGGGTTTAAAACTATCGTTGTTGACGCCCGAAATATAAGAAGCAGCCTCATAACGAGGGAGATCGGATTTCACTTTAAATCTCTCAAAAGCCATTCCTTGTTGTTTTTTCTTATTATATTTGAATATTTCTAAAAATTAAATCGAAAGGTATAATGGAAGAATAAAAGTTTATAAAACAATTTAATTATTAATTCAAGTTGCCCTTGCCTCCTTTTTTACTTAAAATAACTTAATTCCCTTGCTTGTTTACGTGTAAATTATTCGCACCTAAGGCTTAAAAATAAATGCATAGCATATCTTAGCATACTTATTATTATGTTACAAAACTGGATATTTACTTAAGGTTGTGATATCCTTAGCTTATGTTGTAATAAGAATACATTCAATATGAATACATTCAATATTCTTATTACAGCACTGCTTCTTTTGGATTTTTAAATGTCTATCAACTTAGCCTATAATTAATTTAAATAAACATAAAATCGCAATTCTATTGTGAAAATAAAAAGATATATAGTAAGAACAAAAAGGATTGCGCAGATGCTGATGTTATAATTCTATAACCATTGAATAAAAACAAATTGCAATTTCCAAGTATTTTTTTTTTCAAATTAATTATAATTAAGCCAACAAGTAAATAACAGTACATAGGCAAATAATATCATTATTTAAGTTCATGGAACCATTCATCACCCAGAAGATCCCAAACTTTTTTGGCAAGCCTTTTAGCACGTTCTCCTGTTTTCGAGTTAGCCTCTATATAAACCTTAAGTTTTGGCTCAGTCCCACTTCCCCTCGCAGTAAATCTAATTTTTTCTTGTTCTAAACTTTCTAATTCCACAGTAATCATTTGAGAGGAGCTTGAAACCGGTAATTTTGGTTTGTTATCAACAGTTGTAGAATCGTATCCAATAGTTAAATCTCTCCACGATATAACTTTGTACACTCCAATCATTTTGGGAGGTCCTTTAAAATAATTGCAATTCTCATTATCATTACCATATCTTATTTTGTTGAAAACAGAGGATATGACATTTGAATCATTTGCAATGAAATAGGAATTATATTCAGCAAAAAATCCATATTTTTGATATATTTTTTCAAGTTCTTCCAAAGCAGTAGTGCCTTCTAAATGCCATTTAATTACCATTTGTAAAAATACAACAGCAGCAGAAATTCCATCCTTATCAAAAACAACTTCAAACATATATCCGATTGCTTCTTCAAAAGCAAAAGGAACAAAATATCCGCTTTTAACTAATTCCTGAGCCCTATTTCCAATCCATTTAAATCCAGTTAATGTATCCTCGTAATGAAAATGTTCCCTAATCGCCATAGTTCGAATCAATTGACTTGATACCGTGGAGTTCAAAAAAGCCAATGGCTTAATTGAAAGTTCTGGGGTGGAGTTATATCGTTTGAGTTCATAATCTGCAAATAAAGCACCAAGTTGATTTCCTGTTAATTGAACCCAGCTGCCAGATAACCTATCCTTTACTGCTACTGCAAATCGATCAGCATCAGGATCATTAGCCAAAATAATATTTGCTCCAGTTTCATCTGCCTTTATTTTAGCAATATCTAATGCACCTGATTCTTCTGGGTTCGGAAACTTCACTGTTGAAAAGTCTGGATCAGGTAACATTTGTTTTTCAGTGTTAATAATGTTATTCGATAAGCCAAGTAGCTTGGAAATTTCTTGAAATGGTTCATTTCCAACTCCATGCATTGCTGTGTACACAATTGGTAAATCAGAAACATTTTTAGTAAGCTCAAATATATGTTCGTCTATAAGGGTGCTTTTAATTTTACTGAAATATTTCTCCAAAATTATTTCAGTCATCTTGGGGTCAGTTGTTACTAAAGAAGTATCCCATGTCCAGGGAGTTAAATTATTCTCGATTTCCTGAGAAATTTCAAGATCTAAGGGAGGAATAATTTGACAACCATTTTCCCAATAAACTTTGTATCCATTATCCTGAGCTGGGTTGTGGCTTGCCGTAATCATTATTCCCAGTGCTGCATCTAGTTCAATTACACCAAACGGAACCAAAGGAGTATGGACAAGGCCATCATATAAAAAAACTTTAAAGTTTAGGTGGCTAAAGCACATCGCTGCAATTTCAGCAAACCTTTTTGAATTGTGTCGATGATCATGCCCAATTACTACACCGCGTGAAATTGCGTCCTTAACAGACTTTAAAACGTACACTGCGAGTCCTTGTGATGCTTGCAAAACCGTAACTTCGTTCATACCACTAAATCCAGCCTGCATAGGCGCTCTCAGTCCCGCAGTACCAAATTGTATTCTGTTTTTAAGTCTTTTTTCAAGTTCATGGGTATTGTTTTCATTTACTAATTTCTGTATCTCATTGCGTGTTGAGTTATTCTAAATCATTCTTAAGGTAAGTTGATGTATTTATTCTAGATTTTTTATAAAAACACTTACTATGTCCAAGCTCATCCAACTAGTAACAAGTTTCTCAAGATTTTCTTTCATTTCTTAATTTTATGTTCAAATAAAAAATATTGATTTTTGGATTGTCGTAAAGATTATCTTTGGCTAAATTTTTACTCTAAAGTTTAGATTAGTTTAGTTTAGTTTAGGACTTCAATAATATTGTTAGAATTTAAGTGAAAAGCCTTTCACCCAAAGTAAAGAAATTACTTGAATTATAATTATAATGGTATATATATTATACGGTATTTCTTCAGAAATAAATATGTCTAAGTTTACGTAATAAATAAGTTTGTTATCATATGATATAATTATGTTATTATTTTAGTTTGATTCTAGGCCACATTAAACATAATTAAATTGTTTAATTATAATAATGTTATGGTTAACAAAAAAAAAAACAATGGTAACTTTAGCGCATGGTTTAAAAAGTTTGGAATTGAAAAGGATAGTTACAACTGCAAATGTGGAGAGCTGGAAACAGTTCATCACATTTTGGTTGAGTGTCCTTTGCTTGAAGAGGAAAGAAAAGGATTGAAACGGATATCTCCAGAGATGGACATGTCGACTCTCTTAAACAGTTTAACTGGCTTACAAGAAATTGTAAGCTTTATCTCTGCTTGGAGGGATTAAGAAATACAATTACAGCGTTGATGAAGACAAGTGGAGATAAGTTGGGAAGGTTTGGTTATTTTTAACCCCCTGTTCCTCGTAAGCTGGTACCAGGACTTATTTTCGGGCTGTTGAAGATGCAATGTTGAAGCCAAAATTAAATTTTTATTATTAAAATGAAAAGATATATAGTATAGACAAGAAGGATAGCGCGGATACTGATGTTATATAATTCTATAACCCTTGAATAAAAACAAACAAACAAACAATTGGTAAACATAAATTATTCAATATCTTAAACCTAAAGCTTATGTTCAGGAAATCCTAGCCTTCAACCTTAAAAGATCCTGAAAATACTTTAATTACAGTATCTATCCAAAAAATACTAATTAAATGCTAGTCATTTTTCTTTATTATACTATTTCTAACACAATTATTTTTGCTTCAAAAATTCTTTAATAATTATTAATAATTAATAATTATAATAACGATATAATAATTTAATTTTTCTTTAGGGAACAAATATTATAAATCTAAATTATTTCATAAGAGATCAAGTTCTAATTCCGCTGCAATGGCATCGTAGTCATCACTTTCCTCGCCTGTATCAACCAATTTCTGACGTTTTTTAGGGTGTATGTTTTCATGATCGTAGTTATCACCATAGTCTTTATAAATATCGCTATTATTATTGTTGTATTTGCCATTACCATTCTTGACACTGGCATTGTCATTGTCATTGTCATTGTTATAGTCATCTCCATTTTCATCTTCATCTTCATCTTCATCATTGTCATCCTCATCCTCATCCTCATCCTCATCCTCATCCTCATCCTCATCCTCATCCTCATCATCACCATCCTCATCACCATCCTCATCACTACCATCATCACTATCATCATCACTGTCATCATCACTATCATCATCACTGTCATCATTATCATCAGCATTATTGTCGTCATCTTCATTATGTTCATTTGGACCCTTATAGTTAATCTTTTCGTCAACTTTGCTTTTTTCATTTTCTTTTTCATTTTTTATGGCTGGCTGGTTTGAAAAAGAATCTTCTATTGATTTAACAGGCATTTTTCCGGATACACTTAAATCCTTATTTTTATGATTAGTATCAGTATTATCCTTGTCGTTATCTTCTGCATTATCCTCTTCATCAGAAGTTTCAACAAACTCCCTTATCTCTTCATTCATTTCATCCCAATCAATCTTACCAGAATTTAAGGATATAACAAAAGCTTCAGTATCAACATCTTCCATATCGTTTATATTTTCTAGATTTTGAGGGCTTTCTTCTTCTATTTCAATATTATCACGAAGAGAAGGTTTAAGAATATAGTTATCTTCAGAAACGTGTTCCCAAGATGCAATGCATTTGTAAATCCAGTCAATAGTAACAACTTTAATTTTAGGATTCTTAAAAGCCTTGCGAGCTTTCGCAGTTCTGTTTGATTTCGAAACAACATGTGTAACTGAACCAATCATTTCAGCAACAACAATGGCTCCAAAGCTGCGAACCCATTGAACAATGTCAGCATTATTAAATGGTGTGCCATGATCTATATAGCCTGAAAAAAGTATCACACAATCATCAAAAACAGCTTGTTTCATTTTAGGAAGAATGTTTCCAACATCAGGTAGATCCTCTTCTCGAATATTTTGAGAGCCTCCCTTTTTAACCGAAATTTTATCAAAATCCTCGTAAAACCTAGAATGAAGTTTCTTTAATGCATTTTCAATATTGAAAAGTTCATTGTCATTGTCTTGTAATAAGTATCCTATTATGCTGGTAGGGTCGCTGTTAGGTGTGTTTTCGTCGTTATCATGATTTTCATTTCCATTTTCATTAATTATATTACCATTCGTAATTAGGTCTTTATCCAAGTTATTTGCGGCCTTAATCGCAACCTCCTCCTGAGAATATGCATTTTTTCCGTTTGATGAAGAATTTGCCTTTTTATTTGAGAAAGGATTGTTTTCCGAATTCATCAAACCTTCACTATCATTTTTTTTATTTAAAAATAAATCATTGTTCAATTTTGGTTCCTCTTTAATTACAAGAAGATCACCATCTTCTTCTGAAGGTTCGGCAACAAGAACTTTATCAGAGAGAGAAGGATTTTTCAAATAAGTATCAGTTTCTGATTTGAAGTCCTGAATTTGGTTTTTTTCTAAAATCTGGATTTCAGAAGGGTTCTCTGAGTCTGTGACTAAAATGCTTGAATCAAATGTTTCATCCAATTCCAAAATAGTATCTTGAATATAGTTTCCTTGTTGAGAAATTGGAAGTGGTGCATTTATGTCACCGGTGCGAAAAAAATTATATGGAACAACTTTAATGAGATTTGGACTCCACTCCCAAACATCACCTCTATCATCAATAATAGCCACCATGGCGGTAGAAACAGGGAAAAGACGCTTGAGAGATTTCTGATACATGCTTCCACTTTCATCACGGGATAAAATTCGATCAGCAAAATATATGCCTTGAGGGTCTATAATTTTAGCAATAGCAACGGCATAGGACCTCGTTGCCATTGTGTAGACGTGCATTTCATATAGTTGATGCATATGCTGTAAAAAAAGGTCAAGGCCAGGCCTAACTTTAACATAATACATTGCTGTAGTCGTATTTCGCCTACTTGGAATATTTTCAGTTCCTTGGACAGTAAATTCTTCCTGAAGTTCAAATGATTCAACATCTTTTATAAGTTGATAATTTGCGTCTAGTGGGTTGTTTTTCACTATTCCAATTCTGGGATCTATTGCAGCTTGAATGACGGTTTGATCCAAATCAACTACTAATATTAACTTTTTACGCTGAATCAATTGACTTGATGACTTTTTTTCAATTATTTGAGCTTCATCGTACGATACTGTAAGACCAGAGGTGTCATGGGACATATTAAAAAAAGATCGATCCACATTATTGAACTCAGCATAATCTTTTTCTTTATCTAACGACTTTCCACAAATTCCACAAAGTCCGCTGAATTGTATTGAATGTGTACATGGTTCACGAATCCGTGCAATGGGATATCTAACACAAGTTAGTTTTGTTTTTTATTAATTTAAAAAAATAAGGTACTTACGAAGAATTTTCTATCTCCTGTCCAATAGTAACATTCCATTCTGAAAGTTCACCATCTATAGGAACCTCAAATGTAGAATAAAATTCTTTTTCGACACGTTTAGGTTCCTCTCCGTCATCGGTGTCACTTAGTTCTTCAACAAAATTCCAATATTTAAATCTAAGAATAGGGCTATGTTTTGTGACCTCATCACCAACAGAATTAAGCAGAGCCGTTATAACGACAGGAAAAATAGTAGTTGATGGAAGTTTTACCTGAGTTGATGTTACAGGTTCCATTGGGTTGCTTATGAAAGACCTTTTATTTTCGTCCCTTGCTGCTGTATTAATAATATTTAATATGTATTGAAACTCTTCTATACTATTAGTATTTATAATGTCAATTTACTTAAAAGCAACAGTTTTACCCTTTTCTTGTTATGGCCAATAATCAAAATGGATACTAAAAAAACCTATTATTAGCCAAAATCGGTAATTTTTCAAACTTGGGATTATAAAATAGTAACGTAAAAATCATGAAAACCCGGTTTAAAAAAAGTACCAAAAAAATAAGAGTTATAACTTCGATCCGAAAAAAGAGAAACCAAAAATGAAATTTAATCAACAAATTAAATATTAGTTAATATTTATTAACAGTATTAATTATTCCAAAAAATGATTTCAATCACGATAGAAAGTTTTTGTTTTACTGTTTTTTTTACTGTATGTTATAATTCTTAATTTTCTTCTAAATAAATAAACCTAGGTTTAAGTTTGCCATATTTATTTGCATCAATGAGGTTAGGGTTTTATGATGATAATTATGTAATTAGTCTCTACATAAATAAGACCTACCCTCCACCTTTCTAAAAAGATAAGCAGCAATAATCTTTAAATTAGATCCAGCATAAGAACCAAATGTCAATTTAAAACCATTAGCTGCACCTATTTCTTTCCCAATTTACAATACCAGTATCAGCAATGTCTGATATATAATTACCCTCAACACTATCTTTTGATCGTGAAATTCGTAAAAGTGCAGTATTATACTCTTTGTCAACAATAGTAGGTGATGGGCCTGTTCCTGTTTGATTCAAATCTTCGCTATCGCTTTCTATTTGAGAGAGCGATTTAATATTATTTTTCAATAGACTCTTATGCCACTGTATCATTTTCCTTCTTTTTTCCTGATGTTTTGTGATATTTAAATCACGTAAATGCCTTTTCTCTCGCGGTTTATTTTCTGCTTTAGTAAAACTTATTATGTCAAAAGAATTTGAGGGTGAATTTTTTAAACCAAAAGTGCTAACTTTACTATTATTTTCGGATGATTGAATATTTTCTGACTGAGACGTAACGTTTTTTAGAAGAACATTTGTTGAAAGTGATAATTTTAAAGATATAGTTGGTTTTAAACAAAAATTATCAGTTCCATTATTTTTTAAGTCATTGAAAGCATGAAAAGATTGCAGGGACTCATGTGGTTCTAACTGGGGTTTAAGATTTTGGACTTTGTCTAAACCTGTAGAGTTATTATCATTATTCCAGTGATCAACATTATAATCGTCTTGATCATCTAGTAGGATCTCATTATCATTCATCTTAATTACACCTGTAAGTCTTCTTAGTGCTTGTTCAGCAAGTTGGCCTTCTTGCACTATCATTTCACGAAGAACTCTAGGGTTTGATACTCTATTTGGATGATAAGGAGTATTTCGAAAAGTATGTTCTGGGGGAAATGGTGGCATCCAAGAAGGTATATGAAATCCTCTGTTATAAGTGCTTGGTAATAGCTTTTTAATGCTGGTCTTTTTAGATTCAATAAATGACTTCGAAGAATCGCGCTCTGAGTGTTGAAGCATAGTAAGTTCTATCCCCGTCCAAGCATCCGGTAAAATAGTAGGATTGTTTTTTTCGTCTTGAACCTCTGTCTCTAGAACACTCAAATGTAAACCTGAAAGATGTAATAAAAGCATTACATCACTTATACCTGGTGAAACTCTTCTCTGAATCATACTAGCTTTTCGCAACTCTTTCATTAAAGCGCATAAGTCTATTCAATCAAAAGGTCAGATTTTAAAAAAAAAAAATCAAAAATACATACAATCTTCAGCTATTGAAACAATGCAGTTAAAAGCATCCTTGTTGACTTTTATTTTTCTTGACTCAAGCAAAGCTGCAATTGCACGAGAAAATAGTTCTTGTGAAGGTTCTTGAAATGTTATGATTTCTTCTGTTGTTCTTATTTCGCTCCATTTTAAATGATTTCGGTCGCTTTTAACACTGTTATTTTTTATCAGATTGATGCCGGTGTATATTATTGGGTTATTGATGTCACTAGAGAGGTCAAACTTATTTTTGTTCATTGTAGTGATTTTGTCAAATAAGTTGTTTTTGCTTATAGCATCTGAAGTAGAAGTCAATTTTTGCATTTTTTGCATTTTTTGCCTGTTTAAAACGTTTAAATCTTGAAACTGTTGTGATTCTTTTGGATTTTTGATATCCTCAATATTTTTTCCCAAGCCTATTTCTTTACTTTTAAGAGTAGCTTTAGGACTCATCTTTAATGGTGCTGAATTAGAATTCATAACAATATTTAGGTTAGACAAGGATATATCATAGTTCAGAGTATTTAATGGAAATTTCTATAATTTAAAAACAAAAAGTCAAATGAAATGTCTTTAAACTATCAACATATATTTAAGGACCCTTACTCATTAATTATGATTGAATTTGAAATAAGAAATCAATGTATTAATTTTGGTAATATATAAAGATGCCTATAAATTTTGTTATTATGTATGTTGAAATATTTTATTGTTATATTAATATAGTTTAAATTAATTTTTCTAGAAAATAGTTTAACTATTTTATTCAAGAATAATAATTAATTTAATAATTAAGCTCTTGTAAAAAAGTGTTACAAGTAACAAAAAAGATTTTTCAGCTCTGTTACATTACAACTTTGTGTCTATTTGTTTCTTTCGAACTATGTCGAATAATGCGAAGGTCTTTGGGGGTCTTTGTCGCCAAATACGTTGTCGAACAAACCAAGAACAAAGATAACAGACGCAACATCACGTCATGTTCACAGACCTTCACAACTAGTATCATAAGGTACAAAAACTAATTGGTTTTGTTATTTTATAATACAGTAGTCAAAAGCCTTCTGTTCCTCGTAAGCTGGCATCAGAGCTTATTTTTGGGCTGTTGGAGATGCAATATTGAATATCAACATCCTAATCAAAGATCCAATAAAATATCTTCTGTACAATCAATCTTAGTCCGAAATCCTGTCTCAAGCAATGGAAGTGTAACCTCCAAGACTTGGCTCGTGTAAAAGTAGAAAGTCTACCTCGCTCTAAAACATTGGACTTTAATGGTCGCCCAATCGAAAATTTGAAATGTTGGTGGTATAAATGTAGCCATTGCGATCGAAATTTTCTTCACTCGGAGCTCCACCTTTATACGCAACGTATCCAAAAGTCTGATGCCAATCACGGACTAAGTTATATTAATCGAATTCTTAGAACCCACTTGTGAATGGAGCAAGTTTGGTTTAGAAGAAAACTGAAGTTTAAAAAGCATTGTACTAGAATACACAGTATTCCAAAAGTCCAATGTCCACTTTGGCGATCACATGGCCGAGAAGCTCATCCTGGGTCAAATAAATGTTCAATTAGATGGCATACCGATACTGGAAGTTTTAAGATACTTGGAAAAGGGCCATAAGCAGTGAGCGGTAGTTCCGTACTTTTGAAGAATAGAGTCACTTTTCGGTTTTCTATGGTTAACGTAACTCGCACTATGCTAATATTTAAATGATGTTTGTACTTTTTGTTTTTCTATTTAATTTGATGGCTCTATGATTTTTAATAAAACCCCAATTAATCACAGCTACCGTACGCGTACTGTAAAATCGATTGAAAATTCCGTGGTTAGGGTTGTAACAAGAGATTTTATAGTGAAAATTATTATATAAGTCGATTACCCGTGCTACTATATAATTTGCAATTAAGTATTTAACTGTGCTACTGCTATTCGTAACTGTTATTCGAATGATGTTTGTATTGTTGGTGTTGACATTTTTTTTCAAAAAATGGTGGCTCGCTACGTTCACATCTAGGCTCTGTTTCCATGAATTTTTTGGGGGTTACCATAAAAAATGTACAGTTTATAGGTTGAAAAGAAGTGAAAAAAAAATTGTGGAAAGATTAGTCATCTTTCAGTCAGAAACTATTTTTTTTTGTGGAATGTAAAGAAGAATTAATATAGGCTGAAAAGAAGTGAAAAAAAGAATGGGGAAAGATTAGTCATCTTTCAGTCAGAAACTATTTTTTTTTTTTGTGGAATGTAAAGAAGAATCAACAAAAGTAGTTTTATATAATTTTATGAGTTGACCCATAGTAATTAAACCCTAACCACGAAATCGTCATTGATTTCATGTGTGTGTACACAATGACTAATTAGTTGACTTATAAGTCAATAGGAATAAATACATTATGTAATATGCAATTTCTAAAAAAAATGGGCTATTGTTTGAAGAACATTAATGTTCTTAACTATGTAATATTGACATTTCATAATAATATTACATGGTTATTACAATGCTTAACAAGTACACATGTCCTTTCCATTTGCATGGGCTTATTCAATTATAATTGAATAGGATAAATGTAAACACATTATGCTTGCTGTTTTTACTTTACGAAAGCTATCCAAATTACTATTATTTTAACTAATGCCAAAAATTAGCTCTAAGCTTTTGCGATATATCGCAGCAGCAGCAATACTAATTTTTTTTTTTCAGTACACTCAAGTTAATAGAATACCGGGAAACAACGATAAACATGTCGAGCAGTTAGAAAAACAGCGGCCCAATCTTCAATTAGAGAATGATGTTGCCGAACAACAGAAAAAAATATCTTACGTAAAAGCAAATGCTACATTTATTAGTTTGGCCAGAAACAGAGACTTGTACAACTTGGTCAATTCAATTCGTTTGATTGAAGATAGATTTAATCATCAGTTTCATTACGATTGGGTTTTTTTAAATGATGAGGACTTCACACCTGAGTTTATCGAAGTTACGACAAATTTTGTTTCTGGAAAAACTCACTATGGAAAAATTCCTAAAGAGCATTGGAGTATTCCTTCATCGATTGATTTGAACAAGGCAAAAACGTCATGGGAACAAATGCAAGATCAAGGAGTTTTATATGGAGGTTCAGAATCATATCGGCACATGTGTCGATATGAATCTGGGTTTTTTTGGAGACATCCTATTTTAGATCAATTTAAATACTATTGGCGTATTGAGCCTGATGTCACATTTTATTGTGATATTCCTTACGACGTTTTTCAGTTTATGACTGATAATAAATATGCTTATGGTTTTACAACATCTTTACATGAATATCCTGCTACTATTAAAACGTTATGGAATACAACACGCGAATTTATCGGTAAACATCCTGAGTACTTGGCTAAAAATAACATGCTTGAGTTTGTCTCTTGGGATTTTGGTGAAAATTACAATTATTGTCATTTTTGGTCAAATTTCGAGATTGGTGACATGGACTTTTGGCGCAGTGAGGCTTACCGAAAATATTTCGAATATCTAGATAATTCAGGTGGATTTTTTTATGAAAGATGGGGTGATGCACCTGTTCATTCTATTGCTGCTGCTTTATTTTTGAATAAATCACAAATTCATCATTTTGATGACATTGGATATAAACACATGCCATTTGTCAGTTGCCCTACGGATCCCGAAATTCACAAAAAAAGGAATTGTGGGTGCAATCCAGAAGAAAATTTTACGTGGAAAAGATTTTCATGCACTTCTGATTTTTATCTTATGCAAGAAAAACCCATTCCAGCTCAATCATGGCTTCATAGGAAGAAAGTTGTTGGAGAAGCTTTAAGAACTGGTGGAAAACAGTTATCTCCGGAACGTGAGAAGGAGGTCGTTGATCAGTCTAATAAAGAATTACTAGATTATTACAGAACTCACAAAGAGCTTCCTCCAGAAATGAAACCTAAGCTCTCAGGTTTAGCTTTAGACTAAATTCTTTAAATGGAATAACAGTTATATATATAATAGAAGTTTATTACATATTACGTAAAAAATTCAATTTAAATATACCATAAAATATGTCCATTTAGTCTCTACCTATTAAAATCAACAGTCGTGGGTGCTTTTTGATAAGAGTGGAAATCCATAGTAAAAGTGCCTCTTCCTTTTGTAAGACTCCTAAGGTAATTAAGATATCCAATCATTTGTTCTAATGGAACTTGTGCCTTTATTATACTTTGAGATGATCTGGCTCTATCGCCATGCTTTGACATATACATAGTAAAGTCCGGAGGTGTATATATAGAATTTGCCAAATCTCTATAGTTAATATCATTTGTATTTTCCTGAAAGAAGTCTTCGCTGTCTTTTAAAGAAATTATTGAGCCGCGGCGATTACTAGATAAGTCATTAACGACTGTTCCCACATCTTCTTCAGCTACCATAACTTTAACATCCATAATTGGTTCTAGTATACAATATGATTCAACTTTGATAGATTGTAAAGCTTCTTCAATGGCTAATCTTGTAGCCAAAGATATTGCTGATGGGTTTGTTATATCAGGAGGGATAGAAATATTTGAAACTTTAACATGTAGAGAGTGAAGTGGCAAATGTGATTTTAACCCTCCTTTAGCAATTCCCGGAACAATTCCACGATTTACTGATCTTAAGATGTCCTTTGAAGGTATTAAAAAATTCTCAGGCAAGTGCTCAGGGTATGAAACATAGATGTTATCTCGGGATATGATCTCAGCACCTAATGAAATATCTGAATCAGCCGGTTCAACTAACAGTGATACAGTAGCAGTTGATGGTCCAGTTTCATCAGTTTGAGTAGACAATGTCGCCAATTGTGTACAAGTTTTGGTTGAATCAATTATAGTTTCTTTATATGAAACCATAATTTTTCCTACCTCGACTTTAGCTTTTAAATCTTTGACAAGTCTATCTTTGGCAATTTCTAAATGAAGCTCACCCATTCCAGATAACATTGTTTGACCAGAATCCTCGTCATACATAACATGAAGGCTTGGATCTTCTGTAAGTAAAACTACAAGAGCCTCTTCCATATTTTTAGTGTCAGCCAAAGTTAAAGGGTCTATACTAGAGAAAAAAACAGGAGGAGGTATCTTGATTGGATGAAGTTGAAGATGTGATTCGGCTTTAGATAATGACTTAACACCGTCTCTTTTCAAGCCATGGGCAACAATGGTATCACCCGTTCTAATTTCTTTTGTACCAACAATTACGCCTATATTGCCTGCTTCAATAGAGGTAGTTTCAATTGGTAGATTTGCATGCATTTGATAAAGTTTCATTATGCGCTCGCGTTTGCCGGTAGTTGAATTAAGAACAATACTATTATGGTGTAATGTTCCGGAGTAAACTCTGACGTAAACCATCATTCCTTTCTTATTATCATGAACAACTTTAAAAGCAAGAGCTGATGTAAGATTTTTGTTGCTTGGATCTATGGTAATTTGTGTTTCATAAGGAGTAGCTGTTTTTTTGGCATTTTTATTTTGATTTAAAGTAATTGCTTTAGGAGGAGGTCTTTCAATGGGAGATGGTAGATAATCAATAACAGCCTCTAACAAAGGTTGAACACCTATATTTTTAAAACTAGCACCACATAATACCGGAACAATTTTTTTGTTTAAGCAAGCCTTTCTTAAAGCCTTTTTTATTTCATTTGGTGAGACATCCATATAGCTTCCAATTTCAAGATAATGTTCAACTAAATTGTCATCTAGCTCAGTGAGTGTTTCTATTAAGGCGGTTCGTGCTTTTTCACATTCTAAAGCAACTTCATTGTATTCTGTGATGTCTAAAACTTGAATGTTTTTACCATCTGACCCCTCAGACCATTTAATTATCTTTTTCTCAATAACATCAACAATTCCTTGAAACTTGCCTTCGGAGTTGACTTTTCCATTTTCAAAAAAAGGAAAATTTATAATTGCAACCTGAGTATTTAATTTCGACACAATTTCTTTTACTGTACGACCAAAACCTGCACTTTCACGATCCATCTTGTTGACATATACAATTCTAGGGATTTCCATTTCTGAAGCTTGCTTCCAAACTTTTTCAGTTTGTGCTTCAACACCAGCTACACCGTCTAGAATAGTAACAGCACCATCTAAAACACGGAGAGACCTAATGACCTCAAAAGTAAAATCGGCATGGCCTGGTGTATCAATCAAATTAATTTTATGATCTCTCCAATGAAAAGTAATAGCAGCCGATGTAATTGTAATTCCACGATCACGTTCAGCTGGTAAATAATCCATTACTGTATCTCCCTGATCAACGTCACCAATTCGATCGGTTAAGCCTGAGTAGTAAAGCATTCTTTCTGTAGTAGTTGTTTTTCCTGCATCAATATGAGCTATGATTCCAATATTTCTGAGCTTATAATGATCATAAATGGTTGAAGATTTTGTACTGTAATTCGAATTAAAACATAAAAAAGGTATGTTACCATGATGTTGTTTTTGAAATGACTTTATTAAATTGAAAGCATTTAAATAAGCCCATGGCTTTCTCATTAGTAGAGGAAAGCTCATTGTAACTTTTTATATATCTGAGCAATAAATTTTATATTGAAAAAATAGGGATGGTTGTCATCAAAAAATGAAGTTCTATTAAAAAAGGCTAATCATGGTTACCTGTAAAATTGCTTATAATTGCTTATAAGATGCATATGGCCCTTTCATGTTTTTATTTAATTACAAGTCAAATTACTGCTTACTTTAACTCTACTCTAATACAAAAACCCCATTACAAACATTAACCGTTTTGTAGCACTAGCTGTTATTATGAATATGCCAGCTGTAGTTTTATTTCCTTTCAATGTAATTTTTTTCTCAATAAATTTTTATAAGCGCGCTTAAGATGGGACTTAGCTTTCTCTTTAGTAATCTCTGATGATGGTGGTGATCCTTCTTAGTTTCAGGTCATATAACCCTAACCACTTAGCTCCTTGAACCCAGAGGCACCCCCATAACACCTATTGTGCTAGCTCATGAGTTAGGGCCCGGTGACATAGCTTGACATTCGTTAAAAAGATGGGCAACAAATCACAACAAATACATGCTCAACTCTTTTCAACATCCTGGTCTACATTCTTCACAAAGACGCAAACATATTACCATTATATTAAATATCAAAATGGAAGATCCGATGCTAAAAGTCAAATGTAAACTCATAAACCCCTTCAAAATTCACACAAACAACTGTCTATGAAGTCACAATTAAGAATCAATGTAATCAATTAAATTATTAAAACTAGCAGAATCGACTTACATCACCTCCTACTTTCCTTTTTTTTCCTAAGGAATTTTTTATCAACTATCAGAAACTCAAGACAGGATACAGTCAATTACCATTAGGATTTTTTCAGGTTTAGAACGATATTGTGGTCAAAATTTTCAACTGTAACAAATTTATAAAAATGGAATCTGTAGTACTGTAGACGTGAGAAGGTGTTTAGTGAGATTTGTATAGTAATTTTTAGAGAACTCGATGATTTGATACTATTTTTAGGAGTTATCTCCCAATTGTTTCATTTCTCTTTTTCACTTGTTACTTCCTCGGTGTTTCTTTTTTTTTTCTTTCTAGGGTATTTAAAACTTTGAAAATAAGGGGGAGAGGCAAAAGTTTTTTAAATCATATACAAATATAAAATAACTTCCATAAAGAGTAGTCATATAATAAGTGAGTTGGTGTCAAGAAACATTTTTTTTTCTGTGGAAAAATTTCGTTAACACTAAGTGTTGACCACCGAAAAAAGTTTTTCTTAATCATAAGCTTAGGTTTTTGATAATCGAAACTATACATTCTGCTATGTCGAAAGAAATCAAAAATGGATGTGAGTATTAACTTTGAAATCAAGAATTAAAGAAACATTTCTTATTAATAATCCATTTATCAGCTGTACAGTTACCATTAGCTGTTGTACCGATTTATGCCGATGATGGCACATTTGATATTAAAGCTACTTATTTAAAAGTTCTAGAAGATGATTCAGAAATAACAATGCCAGTTGCTGCTATTGAAAGTTTGGTTGTTCTATTAAGTGTTACGCAAAGTAAGTGGATTCATTTATATGCTTGATTATATATATTTTTTTAAATATCTAACAAATTAGCCTCGACTTCCTCTGAGCTGATTAAGGTGCTGGCTGATGCTACCTCAAAATTAAAAAAAGATGTTAAGAATTCTGTCAGCTTAACTGCTGGATGCGATCTTTTCACTCGGTTTGTATTAAGAAATATTAATGACATGGGTGATTGGGAGGCATGTAAGGACCATTTGATGAAAAATGGTCGACTTTTTGCACAAAGAGCTAAAGATGCAAGAAAAACTATCGCATCTAATGGACTTCCATTTATAAGAGATGACGATGTTATTTTAGTTCATGCCCATTCCCGAGCCGTTATTTCATTGTTACTTTTAGCAGCTTCAAAATTAATTCGCTTCCGTGTTTACGTGACTGAGTCACGAGTAACAGAAAATGGCTTTAAGACGGCCGAGATTCTTCGCAAAAATAATATCCCTGTTTGTTTAATTGCAGATGTAACTGTTGGTTATGTGATTCAAAAAGTAGATAAGATATTTGTTGGTGCAGAAGGTGTAGCAGAAAGTGGTGGTGTCATCAATGCCTCTGGCACATACCAGATCGGTGTACTAGCTAAAGATACCAAGGTTCCTTTCTATGTTGTCGCAGAAAGTCATAAGTTTGTTCGCTTATATCCGGTTTCTCCAAGCGATATTGCAACCGATTATCCATTGGAATTCACAACCGAAACAAAAAATAAAGAGTTAGAAACTTTACCTACAACAGACTTCACCCCACATCAATATGTAACTGCACTGATAACTGATATTGGTGTTTTAACCACGAGTGGTGTAAGTGAAGAACTAATTAAAATATATGTTTAGATCATGTGAAAAATAACTTTTGAATAAAAACAAACAATGTGAAAAAATGAATATAATTAATTATCTTACCTGTTGTATTTTGTATGAGCTCAATATATATAAGTTTATTATAATAAACTGTAACTGTAGGTAATAGTGTGACAAATTATTTTTTGAGCACTTGAAAACAGATAATAGGAGTATTAAGATGGAAATACAGCAAATTATAACTTTACTTTAACAAGGTTTAACAAGATTAGTGTTGACATCTAATTCGGTTTTTTTCTTGACAAAACTAAAATCAGTTCTGATTTCATAATAGATATCATTACTTTCCCACATTCTTTCTGTTAAATTTTTTAACTTAGAATCAATAAAACATGCTTGAGAAAAACACATTGTGTGTAACTTAACTATTTTTATAATTGTAAAGTTATTAAATTTACATACATAAAGTCCCAACAAAATTTATTACCATTTTTAGTAAAGAACTTAATATTATTATTTTTCTTTTTCTTTGCCTTTTTTTGAAGGTTTTATATTAGATGATGAATTCTTCAATAATTGTTTGGGTTTGGCTGTAGATTTTGCAATTTTCAATGTAGTTCTGGATTTATTAGGCCCTAAAGGAACTGATGCATTGCTTTTTGATAAACTTTCTTGAGAAGTTTTAATTTCATTTGAATGGGGTGAACTTATCTTTTGAATATATTCCTCTTGTGTCGTTAATGATATTAGAGATGCCTTAGTACTAGCGACAAGCTTATCGGAAACAGAAATTAATTCTCTTGAATCTCTATCATACCAGTCCATCCCTACAAAAGACTCATCCTCCATCTTTTTTCTGGCAGTCAAGGCACCGCTAAAACTAGGAGCGTTATCTCCTACAATTTTGGCAGTAAGTTGAACAGCTTTCGGACCTTTAATTTTCTCTTTCTCTTTCTCGTGATTCTTCTCTTGGTCTATAATCGAAATACCACTTATCTCACCAATAGGCTTTGGAGGCTGTGAAATATATTGAAACTGTGGTCTAAGTTGAGCAGTCGCGTGAACAGGGTTAAGATGAAGTTCATTATTTTTAAAAACACCAATCATATATCCATTAACAGGTTTTGCAATTCCGCCAAATGTTTGCTTATCCAATCCACCCCAATTGTCACCTTTTTCTTTATCATAAAACTGGGTTCCATCAACAGGTATATCAACCTCAACTGCATTAGAATTTGGTTTTATTCGAGAGTCAAGAATTCCTGTACCTAAAGCATCAACTAATGGACGAGCAGCAGAACGCGTAGGATATTGAAGTAAATAAAGTTTATTCAAAAATTCTGTGGAATAGTAAACTGGATATTCTTGTACTACTTCATCATCATTTTCATCACTTAGTACAAGCTCTGGCGTTGCTTCAAGTGCAATCACGCTGTCGCCTTCATAAAGTGTATTTAAGGTCTCACTAGTAGATTTTGTAATACTGTTGGAAATTTTTGGAGAGCATGGTTGCTTGTATAAGCTCATGTTACCGCTATGAGCTTTTTCGATTTTTCTAAAATCCCTTAGTTCATTGGTATTAGTATTAGAAATATTTTCTCCTTTTTGTTTTTTCCATGTAAGTTCAGCTCCTGGTTCAGTTTTAATCTTTACGTCTTTTGAACCAGAGACAAATAAATTATCGTCATCACTTTCCATTTTATTCTTATGTATATTTGCGAAATTTAAATAAATATTAAAAGAAATATAAAAAGCAGGGTTATTTTTCAATCGTGATTAAGCCAAAGGTATTTTAAACTGATGGATGCTGACATAAATTTTTTTCAAAAAAATTTTTGAATAAAAATTTAATAGACATACAAGGTTACAAAATGATGCGGCTCAGGCATGTAGCCGTTCAAGAAAATGTACAAATTCTAAAATGGCATTAATTTTCTTAAAGGAGTATGGAAGCACCCCTGTGTTTAATGTGATTTAGGTAGAGAAAGCCAGACATTTATTGACTCCGTTGACGTCTCTGTCAACAGAGATTCTACACGAGTCACAATAGTAGACACGCTCACAAAGAGGTAGCTTAGAGTTAACTATCTCGCAGCTGGAGTATGTCTTACTAGTGTGCTCTTCATTAATCCTTGGGAGTCTCGTGTCCGGTCAGTTGATACTTGAAGGAAAAACGCTCGTAAAACGAGTATTGCAAACTCGCCGTCAAATTTTTGTTCATCCCCCTATTTATACTAATACCAAACAACTTTTGATTTTCGAATGGCGGCTTTATGATTTCTTTTAACTTTACACTATCGCTTGAGGATTGTTTCTAAGATACTTGATTGTTTCTTTTTATTCAAGAATTATAGAATATAGAAACATCATCATCAGCATTATCCTTCTTGTTCTTACTATATACCTTTTTGTTTTCACAATATACTTTTAATTTAACTTCAACTTTGCATTTCCAACAACCCGAAAATAAGGTCTGATGTCAGCTTACGAGGAACAGGGGATCAAGGACTAAACCTTCCCAAATTATCTCCACTTGTCTTCATCAACGCTGTAATTGTACTTCTTAATCCCTCTAAGCATAGATAAAACCTAAACGTTCTTGTAAGCCAATTAAATAATTTAAAAGAGTCGACATGACAATGATTCTTGTAATTGTTCCAATACTTTTCTTTCTATTCCTTCATTGATTGTTTCTTTAGATTTCCAATCGTCTGATTCTGTTGCTGATTTAGTGTAAGAGGTTAAATGCTCTTGCGTCTTCTCTTTTCGTCATTTCCCATAAAATTTCTATCTTCTTTCGTCAACATATAAAGCGTTGTTAGCTTTATAATTAATGATTTTATAAATTCTTAGAAATCTGTATTTCAATATTCTTTTGTAAAAAAGTCGTGAGACTTTGCAATAGTTTAAAATCTTTTCCATACTTCCACCAAACTGTTACTGCAAAATAAAAATCCCGCCTCGTAATTTTAATATCAAAAATTGACATTTGGTCAGATCCTCTTTCAAAGTTTAAGCCTTCATTTTCGTTTTCAATTTTCAATTTTTTTTTTCTTCGATATGAACGAGACCAAATGTTATCTTTTATTATTAGGCATCCAATTGTACTTGAGCCATAGCTTAAGGGGTAAGTATTCCATGAACTATCAGAATTGTTTTGGAAATCAAAAGATTCCGAGATTATTTTATTAATAATACTGGAGATACTGTGTGGTGATAAATAAATATTGCTCTTGGAATCTTGTTTAACCGTGAAAGAAATTTCAGAAAGAGGAGGATTGAATGCTTTTAAAGAACGAGAATGGCATTGAGAAAGTCTGATTGGGGGTCTAAAATTGTGAAAACTCCAACCCAATATCCATCTCCTGGTAGTGGCTTTAATTTTTCTATTTTTGATATTAAATTCAGTGACAATTTCATACAATAAATAGTTGTCAATATTTCTTTTACGCAAATATTCAACTAATTTTATGAGAACCGATTTATGTCCTACTAAAGATGTATACCATAAAAATCTAGTATTATTTTGATAATTATAATTTATGCACGCATATATTAATTAATCGATTAGAATTAGTTAATAAGTTAGAATTAGCTTACTGTCGTTGAGTCAGTAGTACTTTAAGTTATAATTCATTTAAAATTAAAAGTTGTTGATTAAAGGCAATTATCTACATATATGAATAATTTCCTGGTTCCAACAGCTGAGCTCATTCCATGAGCCCCTTGATCTTAAGATGGACTCAGTTTCCTCTTTAGTAGTCTTTTTAGTGTAGTGCTGATGGAGGAGGTGATACTTCTCAGTTCTTAGTTATGTTACCACCTTACCACCTGACCCACATAACCCTAACCATTTAGATCACGGGACCAGAGGCGCCCCGCGACACTTACATAATTATTTTAAAATTTTTTATCAATAATATAAATTTTAAATCTCAAAAGATTTTAAAAGATTTACTTTTTCATTGACATGCAACTTCCAAAAAAGTTTTATTATTGAAATGGCTAATGAAGATGGACTTATTCTTAACTTGTCATTTGATAAATCTTTGACACCTAAGCCTGTGTCTAGAACGTCTTTAAAAAAGCAATATCTTATCGAAGGTGGTTCTAAGTATGAGCGCCAGCTAATACGTAAGGCAATTCGTGATCAAAGGGATAAAGAGCTTGGTATAGATACTGTTAGAAATAGAAACACCAATGATCCAAACGAACTTCCACTTGGGAAAAAACACGCTATTAGTTCTACAGCGCTTAAACAGAATATTGGTATTGTTAAGAGTAAAAGGCCTCTTGAGTTTACCAAAAAAGGAGATACTAGTTTAGCGGCCCAGTTCAGAAAAAAAAAGAAATTGGAATCTGAATTGTCTGGTGAAGTTCAAAAAAAAATGATAAAAAAGGTTTATAAAGAAAAAAGAGAAGGAGAAGATGGAAACTCATTTGTATCTTCATTATTTAACAAAAATGATTTGCACCAGATAGAAAAAGATTTTGATAATGATATTGCTGATAATCTACAAGTTATCAAAAATGAACCATCTAATGCGCCTTTGAAAGGATCTGATTTAACATTTGAAGGTCTAGGCATAGAAACCTCATTGACCAATATTTTACAAAAAAAGATGGGTTTGTCCATACCCACTAAAATTCAAAGAGCAGTTATTCCACGTATGTTGAATGGTATTGATAATGATTTATTTGTACAAGCTCAAACAGGTTCTGGTAAAACTTTAGCATACTCTCTACCTATCTTCCAAAGACTTCTAAGACAGAGCATTAGTGATAATAATTACAATGGTAAACTTAGCAGATCATCTGGAATTTTTGGAATCATTCTTGCTCCAACAAGAGAACTTGCTGCCCAGATTTACAATGTTTTGGAAATGCTTCACAAGGGTTGTTATTGGATTGTTCCTGGGATAGTTTCTGGTGGTGAAAAAAAAAAATCAGAAAAGGCACGAATTCGAAAAGGTGTCAATATTTTAGTTGCTACACCAGGACGACTTGCTGATCACATTGATTCCACTGAATCACTTGATCTGTCTTTTGTGAGATGGCTTGTTTTAGATGAATGTGATCGGCTGATGGAGCTTGGATTTGAAGAAACAATTGATAAAATTTTAAAAGCTTTGGATGAACAGTTTGATATTTCCAATTCTAAAACCATCTTTCCTCTACTACCAAAAAAACGTGTAAATATTTTGTGTTCTGCAACAGTAAAGGGAAAAGTCAAGGAGCTTGGGGAAACATCGTTAACAAATGCTGAATGGGTTACTGTTAATAGTCTACCAACAGATTCTCATGAAATGATCCCTGCAAATGAAATAAATGAGATAGTAGATAACTCTTCTAGTTATACTGCACCAGCTCAACTCATTCAAAGATGCATAATTGTTCCCGCGAAACTTCGTCTAGTTACATTAGCAGCTACATTAAGAAATACTGTGCGCAAACGAATTTTGAAATCCGTGATCAAACAAGAAGAAAAGATATCCAGAGTCATCGTTTTTTTTTCTTGCTCAGACTCAGTTGATTTTCATTTTTCGGTTTTTACAAGAAATGGAGTAGACCCTAAAAAAGAATTTAATCAATCTGACAAACCAAACGAAGTCACTAGAAGCTTAGTATCATCCACGGTTTTGACTAGTCCTTGGCTCGGTAAAAACACTGTCATCCATAAATTACATGGATCTTTAAACCAGGCAACTCGTACCTCTACTTTAGCTTCGTTTTTTGGAAAAGCTGGAAAATCTCAAGCCAACAAAAATAATGATAGCAAAGTTTTTATTTTATTTTGTACAGACGTTGCCTCTAGAGGTTTGGACCTGCCGCGCATCACAGACGTTATAGAATATGATCCACCTTTTGCAACTGAAGACCATATTCATCGTGTTGGCCGCACTGCTCGAGCAGGTCATGAAGGAACATCTGTTATATTTCTACTTCCTGGTAGTGAGGAAGCTTATTTAAATGAAATTAAGCCTTATCATCCTTCAGGAATTCAAAATGAAAAATATGACATAATATTACGGAAAGCCTTTGCTGAAGAAGAAAGTTACACGAATAATTCTACATTAAATTGGGAAGTTGAAGCAACAACTTGGCACCTGAATGTGGAAAGATGGATATTGGCAGATAATTTAGAGTTGACTAAAGCAAAAAGAGCATTTACGAGCCATATTAGAGCATATGCAACCCATTTGGCTAGCCAGAGAGGCATTTTTAATTTAAAAGGACTCCATTTAGGTCACTTAGCTAAAAGTTTTGGTTTGCGTGAAACTCCCGGAAAATTATCAACCGTCAAAGATTCTGTCAATAAAAGTGACAAAAAGAAAGTTAAATACAATAAGCCTAACTTTAGTCAAGGGAAACACCATGATGAATATAATAGTTTCACAGGTCAAGATTCTGAGGCTGCCGGGAAAAAGCGACTTTTATCTAAAGCACGCAGTTTAAATAATTTCAGAAGCCAGGCAAATGAATTCAATATAGGCTAAACGCGAGACCTTAAGTATGCATTATCATTTATATAATATCTCGAATAATCAAATTTTGTTTCATTTTATGATGTTACTTGTCTAATAATTTGTAATAAATAAATTACCAAATGTAATGTGTTCTAAAATGTAATGGGCATGTTAAGCGCTTCGCATAATTATAAACCCGAAAGAAGTAAATTTAACCGAGCAGCATGTAGTTTTATTAAGGCAATCAGCTACTTGAGGCAGTTTAAACATATCAATTCGTTTTTTGTTTTATTTTATTTTATTTTATTTTATTTTCTCATTTTCTCATTTTCTCATTTTCTTATTTTCTCATTTTCTTATTTTCTCATTTTTTGTTTTATTCTTTTATTTTTTATAAAACATTGGTAATAACCAATTTAGTGGTTGAAGTAGTTCATCTGTTAACTTGCCAGCTACTTAGCAGCAATTTGCGTTACCTTTTTTTTTTATATAAAAGAAACTGTCTTTGATATTACATAAATACAGGGACTAATTTCGTGTCTATTGCGCTAGCATTGTTTTTTTCAAATCAATATATAAATTATCATTAAATTGAAAACTTCTAGTTGTTTCAATATTAAGTGTAGTTTTCATTCCTAATTAGAGTTTAGAGATGCAATTTTAATAATTGACAAAAAATCGAAGTACTTATAATGACCGAACCATCCAACCCACCGATAAACCCATCATCAACATCTTCTTCCTCCTTACCATCATTAAGTTGCAATGAAAATAATACCAATTCCCTCATTAAAATACCAATTTTGAGTTCTAATAAAACTAAAAATTCAAGCAAATCTGATCCGCCAGTTCCAAAAAAACGTCGAGTGAGAACTGGGTGCCTTACATGCCGTGAACGTCATCTAAAATGTGACGAAGGGACACCAATGTGCAATAATTGCTTAAAATCTCACCGAAATTGCCGTCGAGGAATTAAACTTAATTTTATGGAAACAAAAGTCACTTCACCAAAAACTTTGGTCCCTTTTCCTCATCAGCATTTTGCAATTTGTGATGAATCAAGAGCAATTGCAGCAGAATATAAAGGAGGCCTTAGTAGTTATCCTGAATTAAAGACAGAAATTAGCACTAGAGATTTAACTACTCTTACTCGAGATCAAATTTCAACAAATAAAATAGAAACAACAGCGCTTTTTATATCAAAAGACAGCTCAAAAAAACGCAATGTTTATCAGGGAGATAAAATGTACTCGATAACACCAGAAAGCGAAAATATCGAATTAAATAGTTCATACGCTTTTGTTACTTTGCCTAATGATTCTAATTCCCATAATAAATTATCGTATGTTGTATCAGATCTATTACTGTTAAATTTACTGACTTACATTTAGTTTCATTTCTTCTGACCTTCATAGCTCTGTTTCTTCATGTAAAAATATCTCAACAGTTCAATCAAAATTTGCCGGTGAAAATTCTACATCTAATGTCATCAGTTCTGTGATTTATCCACATGGTATTACAGAATCACCAAGTACATTCTCACACTCAATTTCGACATCTTTTTATAATAAATACCAATTCCCATTGGTACCTTTTCATAATATTCCAACACCCACAAAAGGAATATTTAATTCATTTCCAATGAAATCTCGATATTCGCATAAAAATGATATGTTTTTTATCCCTCGCTCTGAAAATATTATATCAGATTCATTAACTCACCTTGCAGTTAAATACTATATTAAATACCATGCGGTTTATATCGATTTCATGACACCAATTCCTATTTTTCAGTGTATTGTTCCTTCATTGGCTCTCTCTTGTCCGATGCTTTTAAAAGCAGCTTCTGCTATTGGAGCAGAGGCATATAATCGCATATACCCTAACCAAAACCTTTTCAACTCAGAAAAGTATTATAGCCAAGCAAATAACCTTCTCTGTTCTGAACTTCAAAAGGAAGATAAAGATATAGAAACGTGTATCCTCACTGCTACATTAATAACTGTCTACGAGGTAACAAAAGAGTCAAACCATGATTTAAAGAGCCATATCTCTGGTGTAAAAACGCTTTTAGAAGAATTTCCTTTTTCTATTGATACTAGTACTAGGGAAATAGAATTTCATTCAATAATTGTTCAAGCTTGTTTTTGGGTTATGATTCATTGTGATCTACAATCAGCTTTTCTTTTACGTTCTTTACCTCTTTGGAACCCTAATGAATGGGGGCCTGCTGTAGGTTTAAAAAGCAATGACAATAGTTTTAAAGAAACAGCCAATAATTATGCACCTCATTATTGGTACAGTAAAATTCTTTATATTTTATATCGCATAATGTCGTTAAGAGGTTTGGGCTATGATCCAACTCTTTCGTCTCAAATATTTTCAACAAGGGTATATACTTTTGCTAGGCAAAAACTCATGGATGATCTCATTCAACTTCAAAATGACATCCCATCAATTATGAGGCCAATGTTTGAATTTTCGCCTTTTGTTACCAAAGAAAAAAGTACCGATGGTCAAAAAATCGACACTAATGACATACTTTTAGAAAAACCAAATAGAAGTACTTCTAAAGTGGTAGATGATAGATCCGAACGCAATATTCCTACAACATGTGGTAATATACAAGCAAATACATTAGAAAGCACTTCTTCAAAATTGATTTTGTCTCAAGACATACCGAATGATAATTTTTCTATACCTAAAATCAGTAATTTATTTACAAAATCGTCTTTACATGGCGTAAAGTCACCATTCCCTTTTATTTATTTTTCTGATCCTTTCTATGCCGTTACCAATGCATATATTATTTCTGGGATTTTATCATTAAATTCAATGAAGTCTGGAAGCATTAAATATAGCTGTAATTTAGTTCAACAAGGTATTTCTCCTGAAAAAAATGAATCTTCTTCTAATTCATCTTTTCAAGAAACTGGGGTAATTGCATCCCCATTTGATCCTTTCCGAATGGCCATATCATCAGAAGACTGCACTAAATATGCACGACGATTAACAGGTATTATTACTTCAACTGCTCCAAACACATCAATAGGTTGTATGACTGTGTGGTGTTTCTTATATATTGCCCCATACATTCACGAAAACTTTGAACGGGAATACATACTTAAATACATGGAAGCGAATTGTGTAAATGGTTGGTCATATGAAAATATTATCGCACATGTACGAAATGAGTGGAATAAAAAACCAAAATCAGATAATTCAAATATATAAGACAACTAATTACAATTAAAAATTAATTTTTCAACTAAATTCCTAACATTTCTATTATTGAAAGATAGCTTAAGGAATATTTTCCGTCTTACCAGTAGCCATAATCCAGGCTAATTTGGCATAAAAGTAAGATAATTTGAATCCGCATAAATAACGACTAGCAAATAAAAGGGAGCGAACCATTATAAAAACAGTACCATCATATTTCTTCTCATCTTTTTCAGGATGCTTTGCTTCTAGCAACAATGCAATAATTTCCCCCCAGATTTCGTCTTCGTTAGGAAACCCCGTTTGTTTATCTTTCATTTCACTAAGTGTTACTTCTATGGGTAAATTGCCTATTGAAGGTCGCCCAACAGTAATATACACTGCGATAAAAAAAACCCAGTAGTTTTTTACAAGTGTTAAGAAACAACTTTCGGAGACAACAACCTGATTTTTTTCAATAAATCTTTGAATTTTGTTACGATTTTTAGTGTGGTTGTGAATATTTGTCACTAATGTACCAATTTCTATTATTGCATGTAAGGCAGGCAAAAGTTGAACTAGCAATGAAATGTGATTTGCATGGTTTTTTTTAGTATCATAGTCAATATAACTTTTGAATGAAACAAGTACTGTCATATGTAATAATTCTTGCAAAACAGTATCTATATTATCCGCGGTAATGTTTAAAGATTTGGTATAATCAATAATGATATCCTGATATGTATCAACCGTAGTTTGGATACCAATATCTATAGTGGGTATTGATACTATGGAATTAAATCGGTTGTCTTTCTGAACATGAGTCAGCAATTCTAATGGATTATAAAAAACCTCTGCAACAGTCATATCAAGAAAAGTTTGTTTATGTAAAATTTTATCAATTCCATAGGTACAGTATTCAGTTGATGCAAGAGTTAAAGCTATCTCCATGGTTAGACTGGTCACAAATATGTGTATCACAATTTTAGCTTACCCTCCGAAGCTAGTTCCCAACTATCGATTTCAGCGGCATACTAGAACTTATTAGAATAACTATACGTAAGCAGTAATTTGTATTGACATACCCCTAAATGAATAAGTGCATTAATGGATCCTCCAAAAATTCCTGATAGTAAACATATTTCTTCACTCCCTTTTCCTTTATCAAAAACTTCTGTTAAAAAATAATGAGCAGTTTTTTTCCAATCATTTCCTGAATCATCGTCCTGAATTTTTTCTTTATAGAAATCAAAAAAACCTCTAGAGTATTCTTTTTTTCCAATAAAATCGTGCCAATCTTCCAAAGTCACTTCTTGTGGAGAATCTTCTTCCCATTCAATTAAATTTTCAACAAGCATTTCGTATGATGAATAAAGTTGATCAGGACTTGCTCCTAAGTAATATAAAGAAACCAATACATGAGATAAAATGTTTTGGCTAGATCGATCTTCAGAACATAATACATTGTAATTGTGATGATTAGCTAAAAGTAGCTGAACAAGTTTTTTGCGAGACTGTGAAGTCGGGAAAGGTAAGTCAGCCGGTCTTTTTAAACCTATTCCATCAAAATTCTGAAAGGAGTCACCCAACGAATCAGTTGTAACTGAAAACCGAATGCCCATTTTAAGTTAAATTAAAAAATTGTAATACTTATATATATATTTTTGAATTTCAAAAAAAGAGAAAGTAAATTTAGGTATTTATTAGAATATTATTTTCTTTTGAAATTACATAATCTGCCAATTTCTATCCTATTTCTTCTGTACTACAAAATAAATTACAATAACATATCCAGACAGTAATTAAAAAGTATATCATATGATATACTTTTTAATTACTCATATCATATGATATACTTTTTAATTAGTTTTTTTTAATTATAATTAAAATATCGGATCAACGACTATATACTTTTTAGTTGATTTTTAAATTATCTGTTTTTAATGCAAAGAGAAGAAACAGCTTTTAATATGTTAACAAACAACGATTTATTAATAAACCCTGATTTTTTATTATTATCATCGGAATACAAATTTATGAAAAAGTTTCTGAAAACTTTGGATAATGATGATGTCATTTACGATTTTGAAATGGGACCCGAAGCTAACTGTGCATTGAGCAAAGCACTTGCCCATAAATTTTTCAGAATCAATTTAGATTTGGATTCATCGTTTCTTTGTCCTACAATTCCAAATCGAACACTTTACGTACAATGGATACAAGATGTTGTGAAAATTACTCGCAGCTTTTATTTTTCGACATTGAAAACAGAATTTGGTATTTCAAATACTCATTTATCTTCAAATAATTCGTCTTGTTATAATAAGAATATCAGTACACTAGAAAATGTTGTTATTTTAGATATTGGTGTAGGCTCATCCTGTATTTATCCTTTGTTGATATGTAGTTTAGAGCCATCATGGACATGCGTTGGTACAGATATTAGTAAGGAGTCTCTTAAATTGGCAGATAAACAAATTAACTTAAATCCTTTACTTGCAAATCGCATCAAGCTAGTTAATACTTTACAACATGTGATTTCTGATGTTAATTCTCAAAAAAATTTATCAAGACCGCCGTTTTTTGAAGTACCACATTTTACTGCCTGTATGTGCAATCCACCATTTTATGAAGGAAACGACGATATGCAAACTTCAATTTCACTAAAACAAAGGTGTCCTTATGGCTCTTCAAAATCTTTCAAAGCACAGAAAAACGAAATATATACCACAGGTGGAGAATATTCATTTATATTACAAATGATCTCGGAAAGTGAAATAAGAGAAGCATCTTCAACAAATTATAAAAATAATACTAGATGTTTATGGTATACATCTTTAGTAGGACATAAATCGGTTCTCATAAAATTAGTTGAATATTTGCGTAAAAGAAATATTGACAACTATTTATTGTATGAAATTGTCACTGAATTTAATATCAAAAATAGAAAAATTAAAGCCACTACCAGGAGATGGATATTGGGTTGGAGTTTTCACAATTTTAGACCCCCAATCAGACTTTCTCAATGCCATTCTCGTTCTTTAAAAGCATTCAATCCTCCTCTTTCTGAAATTTCTTTCACGGTTAAACAAGATTCCAAGAGCAATATTTATTTATCACCACACAGTATCTCCAGTATTATTAATAAAATAATCTCGGAATCTTTTGATTTCCAAAACAATTCTGATAGTTCATGGAATACTTACCCCTTAAGCTATGGCTCAAGTACAATTGGATGCCTAATAATAAAAGATAACATTTGGTCTCGTTCATATCGAAGAAAAAAAAAATTGAAAATTGAAAACGAAAATGAAGGCTTAAACTTTGAAAGAGGATCTGACCAAATGTCAATTTTTGATATTAAAATTACGAGGCGGGATTTTTATTTTGCAGTAACAGTTTGGTGGAAGTATGGAAAAGATTTTAAACTATTGCAAAGTCTCACGACTTTTTTTACAAAAGAATATTGAAATACAGATTTCTAAGAATTTATAAAATCATTAATTATAAAGCTAACAACGCTTTATATGTTGACGAAAGAAGATAGAAATTTTATGGGAAATGACGAAAAGAGAAGACGCAAGAGCATTTAACCTCTTACACTAAATCAGCAACAGAATCAGACGATTGGAAATCTAAAGAAACAATCAATGAAGGAATAGAAAGAAAAGTATTGGAACAATTACAAGAATCATTGTCATGTCGACTCTTTTAAATTATTTAATTGGCTTACAAGAACGTTTAGGTTTTATCTATGCTTAGAGGGATTAAGAAGTACAATTACAGCGTTGATGAAGACAAGTGGAGATAATTTGGGAAGGTTTAGTCCTTGATCCCCTGTTCCTCGTAAGCTGACATCAGACCTTATTTTCGGGTTGTTGGAAATGCAAAGTTGAAGTTAAATTAAAAGTATATTGTGAAAACAAAAAGGTATATAGTAAGAACAAGAAGGATAATGCTGATGATGATGTTTCTATATTCTATAATTCTTGAATAAAAAGAAACAATCAAGTATCTTAGAAACAATCCTCAAGCGATAGTGTAAAGTTAAAAGAAATCATAAAGCCGCCATTCGAAAATCAAAAGTTGTTTGGTATTAGTATAAATAGGGGGATGAACAAAAATTTGACGGCGAGTTTGCAATACTCGTTTTACGAGCGTTTTTCCTTCAAGTATCAACTGACCGGACACGAGACTCCCAAGGATTAATGAAGAGCACACTAGTAAGACATACTCCAGCTGCGAGATAGTTAACTCTAAGCTACCTCTTTGTGAGCGTGTCTACTATTGTGACTCGTGTAGAATCTCTGTTGACAGAGACGTCAACGGAGTCAATAAATGTCTGGCTTTCTCTACCTAAATCACATTAAACACAGGGGTGCTTCCATACTCCTTTAAGAAAATTAATGCCATTTTAGAATTTGTACATTTTCTTGAACGGCATGCTCTCATCTGCATTTATATCGCTGTTAAATTAAAGCAACGTGATAGAAATATTTCCCTTTTTGTCAAAATTTTTGTTAATAAGCCAATCATATTCCTTTAATTTAAGTCTTTACCCCAAATAGGAACTTAAAATGTCAAGTGCGGCTCAAATCCATTTTTTTTTTATGCAACATTAAATATTATGGGAAATTTGGATTTTTCCTAAGGTTTTTTTTTTAACAGTGGTATATAAACACCCCCTTGTATTTACCAAAATATTAAACTTTTTTTCTTGGCCGATTTAGGATATTGTTGTCAATTTTTAAAATTTTTGAAACTTGGAACATTCCAACTAGAAATCTATATATGTATCGCATCAACGTCGTCTTCAATATTTATTATTTATTTCAATAATGAAAAAAATATTTACTTAGTTATTTATTTATTTATATATCTATTCGTTTAATTATTTATAATTTAAGCAACCACTTATATACAACGTAACGTAGAACGAAGTTTGTGGTTGTTTGCACCACCATGAATTTTTCAAACCAAAGTATAAAATAAGCTTAACTTACATCTAAGACATGCCGGTCGCTTTTTTAAGAAATCTCCTTAAAAAGTTAGAAATCCCTTCCCTTTTTTTTATATAAACTTGTTGCTTTCCAACGATTTATATTAAATATTATGTTCATATTGCTTCCCAAAGACAAGTTTAATCATCAAAATTGTTTATTTGTTTAATTGTTTAATCCTCATTTATTTATTTATTCATTTATTTTTATCTATCTATTTTGTTTAATATTTAATTAATTAATTTTCCGGCTAAAAGAAAAACCAATGACTTCTCCTCAAATTATACTAACAACTTTACATCAGTGCAAGCCGCTGGCAGATATATGGGGTAATTACCATTATAATGACTATTCGGCATCTACATCTACTAATAGCCCATTTATTTTACCTTCATCGTTAGATATTTCTCCACCATCTTCTCCATTGTCTTTAAAATCAATCTCCTCCTTATCATCATCATTATCAAGTGATATTAATTATACCCCTTGGAGTCCAAAGTTACAGGATTTCTCATCGTTTTCTTCATTCAAAACTAATACATCTGAAACTAATCAATTGCAACAGAATACTTTTCTGTTTGAAAGCTTTCCTATACCAATATCTTCACCTTCTTTTTTTAATGACAAAAATAAAGACTATATGGACGACTCACAAAATTTAACTAGAGTACCTCCAGCAACAGCCCTTTACTCGCCAGATGAATTTTTTCAAGATTCTCATAATGCCCAAATCAATGCTGATCTTTCCTCTTCAACATATGAATCTAGCTCTGTAACTTTACAAAATTCTTTTGTTTCTTCCAATTTTTTTTTGGTTTCTCAGAATAACAAGTCGGGAATAAGACATTATAATAACAGGTCGTTAAATGAATTGACAGATTCTTATTTGATATCTGATAATATTTCTAAAAAAAACAAGGCTGCAGTTAATACCGAATTATATAAAACTGAGCTATGTTCTACTTTTGTCAAATCAGGTGACTGCCCTTATGGTGAAAAGTGTCAATTTGCTCATGGAGAAAATGAACTGAAATCAGTCGACCGTCCATCTAACTGGCGATCTAAACCTTGCCAAAATTGGTTGAAAAAAGGAAGATGCTCCTATAACGAGCGTTGTTGCTTTCGGCACGATTAGCTGATCTAATAGTAATCTAAATTCTTGTTATTAAGCATATATGTATACGATTGTTGGTAATTTGAATTTGGATCCAAATTTCTGTTAATATAAATCAGGGTTTTCCGTGACACAATTTATATTTCAAGTCTTTTTATTTAAATTTTTTCGTTTAGCTAAAAAAATGTTGACAGGTCGTTTAGATATTCGATTAAGTAAATTTTTATTTTTTAAAAACTGAGTTTTTGAATGAGTCCATAGATGTGCACTTTTATGTTCTTCGGTAGTAGATTCTTTAGTAGAAGTATTTTCTGGTGGATCTACACTAGTTTTGGATTCAAAAAATGGTTTTGTTTCTAAATTATTTTGAATACTTGTGTGTAATGTTTTTGCGGAATAAGGAGAGATACTATTTTTCTCCATTTTGAAATGAGATATCTTTTGTTTCAGTAAATCACGTCGTTGCATTTGGATTTTAGACACAGTGCTCTTCATGGAATTTTTAAGAAGTCGCATTCCAATGGGTGAATTTTGGTTAAGTCTTTTATTTATCGATTTGAATGAATTAGGGTCTCGCGATAGTTGTATAATGGCATTACCCTGTCTTTCTTGTTCTACTTTGACTTTGGCTTGCCGTAGTTTTTCAGTAGCATTTTGAGTGCGCCAATTGGTATATTTCCTTAATTCAAAAAATAATTCCCTGTATTTCATGGCTTCATCGTCTTTTAAAGAAATTATAATGTTGAGTGTACTTTTGTCATCGTTCAAAATAGAAGTTCCTCGTAATCCACCAAACAAAGCTTGCTTTATATTTTTTGTTGTTTTAATGTCAGTCCTAATATCGCCCTTTTGTTTAAGATACTGTTCAATATCGTTTCTTGAAAATTCATTATTGACATGAGTCTTCCAAATGCTATCAGTTTGTAAACGAAGATGTGGGGAGTTACTTTCGATTTCAAGTAACTGATCTGGGGACATCACGCTGATTATTTCACAAATAAAAGAAAACGGTAAGTCACCAAAGTCATTAATCACTAGCTTTTAAGTTAAAATATTGAAGTTAATTAAATATATATATATATCGATGCCTACTTTCATGAAAATGAATACATTGTTTCAAAGCTATTTGAAATAATGTTGGAACTTTCATTATAAATTATATTAAATAAATATTTAATATGGTGACAATAAAAATTTGTTGAGCAAAGGTAGGATAGAGAGAGGTATGCAGGAAAAACTGTGGACCTCCCACCCAAACTTATTTCTGCTACTTCTTTTATTACATAATCAAAAATCATTCTCAAGACCTCAAGTCGAGAAAAAGACCATAATAATGGTCTTATAAATGGAAATTTTCAATCGACATTTTCAAAAATTAAATGAACCAAAATATGTACTATTTAAATACAAAAAGTTTTTTTAGAACTTTTCAAAAAACAAAATATTATAATTTTTATATACCTATAAGAATTTTGATTTCAGGTGATTCTCAAGGTCGTTGTTGGAAAATATGTGTATTATGATTATTGAAAATCTCCTCCTTACTCTAAACATTGACAGGTTTATTCAAATATTGCTGCTCGTTGGCCAAAAAGAATGCAATATTATTGTCATAAAGATAGACATTGTAATCGCTATTTTTTTTGGGTGTAGCCTTTGACAGGAAAAACTTCGTGGGAGATGTGCGCGATAGAAGAAACTAAGAACTTCAAACTTTAATGGCATTTCGTTTTTAAATTAAATAACAAACGTGGTGATGTTATATTTGTCGTTTACATTTGAAAAGACACTTTTTGAATTCAGAATAGTGAGTGATAGGAGATGGTCATATTTGGAAAGAAAGCTGGTTCGAATGAACCTGTTTTTTAAAAGACGATTTCCAATCATATCTTACCTTTTATTCTTGAACTGGCACCAAGAAAACTACACACCTATAAGATAAAAAAAATAGTGAATAAAAAGAGTATTTGTACATGCAAAAACAAAACAGTCATATTTCATAGTATCTTTTTGGTACCTTAACTTCATATACTCTAAAAACTTAATTTTGTTGTCCTTACAAAATCTTTAACATAGACCACTACACTTTCACTTTTGATAACATAACCTTCATCAGCGGGTTCAATGTCTATTTGAAAATCTTTAATTCTTTTCTAGGTAGACTTAAAAATTGAAAGTCAAATCAAAAACTTGGCCTTTTAACATCTGACCAAGTTGATAGCGAGCAACATTTTGCTGGATGCACAAAAAATGATTACTCTTAGTTACATTCAACATTACTTCTCAGTCATTTGCAAACTCGTTTTTGACTATTGTTTCAAAAGATTAAGGGAGGTAATGTTTTTTATACCATCAATAATTTGATATTGCAAATGGAAATTGAGGGCTATCTCGTTTACAAGCTAATGAATGTGGTCAATCTTTACATATTAAAAAAGTTAAAGCAAAATACAAGCCATTTTATAAAGGGGGTCAAGATTATCGTTTTTGGTTTCCGTAACTATTAAAGCATCGTAAATTGAGGGCCTTAGCAAATTTTCAATTTAAATCTTTTTACGTGTTTGAAAAATATGTGATTAGGACGTGTCTTGGAACAAATGTGTCCAAAAACTTGCTTAGGAGTAAGGTTGTATCGAGGGGCTTTAAATTGCAAATTTTATCCAACAGTAATTTTTAAGATGTTCCAAAAAACCAAAAATAGTGTCTGGTATGACAGCATAAAGCGTCGTAAATGATCTTGGATTGATGTTCATTTGGTCAATGTTTGTGGAGAAGTGTGTGTAAGGAACGTTCTTTACACTTCCTCTTTTTTATATAAGGATTTTTTTGATTTTCCCCGTTACCAATTTTTTTTTTACTAATTCAGCCTTTCGCCACTCCACCTCAATTTTTTTTCGACTCTCTTGAAATATTAGGATCCAGATTTACTAACATTAAGGAAACCCAACGCATACCAATCTCTGCATTTTCTCTTTCAACAAGCAACTCCTTATTATCTGAACCAAATTAAGATGAAATATTTGATAAAATATTCATCACATTGAAATCAAAGGAACACGCTGAAACAGATGGTGATTCTAGTAATTAACGAGATACTTTTGGGCAATCGGCCGACCTTTGTTCGGAGTCGCACTTTCTATTTTCGAATCCAAATTTTCTAAAATAAAACTTGCAATCAAAAAAATATGGTGTTTACGATCTTCTGTTATTTTTACCAATTTTTTATAATTTCCAATAATTTCTCATAATTTTTTTTGATTTTTTTTGATTTTTTTCAGTGTTTTTCGGTCTTTTTCCCTCATTTTGTTCTGATGTTGTGAGTCTCTCATGTGTGTTTGAGTGGAAAATCCTGTTGGGATACAGAAATAACAGGTTAGGGTTTGGAAAAGGACACTAAAAATAAAGTGAAATTTTTATTTGTTTTCTTTCCTCATCCATATTATTGTTATTAAATTGGCTGTGCCCTTTTACTGCTGTTTTCTCTAACACAGACTTCCATTTAGAGCCCACGTAAATCCTAACAAATCCAAGATTCTTCTCACATTTTGGGTAGAAATTATAGTTTTATGTGGTGCTTGTCAAAAAAGTACAAGCTATTGTACTCTTTTCAACATGAAATACAGGGAGAATTTTGAATTTTCCTCACATTGTGAATATTACGTAATAAAGAAATAAATTTAACTACCTCCTTCCTAAAAGGGAACTAATTAGTAAAATGATATCATGATATCATTTTTTATCACTGTTAAAAGAAAAACATTGTGTATATTTCCCTTTTTGTCGAAATCTATATAAATAAACTAATCATATCCCTTAAATTTAAAGTTTTGAGTCAAAATAAGATTATTTGTGTGATCATATATATTTTCATATATATTTTTATTAAACAGTGAACTATTCTTTTATTTATTATTATACTTAATTTTATTCAACAGATGCACTTTAAAAACGAAGATGCTCATTTTTATTTGGAATTTCCATTCGAGAAGCTGGAGAAACCTAAACACATATTAGATAAATAAAAATATTGTTAACAAATAAATTACATACCCTTGCTGCTGACCATCCCCATCTAAATCCTAATTCATGTGCAAATATTTCACCAAACCCGAGCATTAAGCCATTTACAAAAGGAAGAAAAACATTTATAGCGCATGACCAAAAGATTACGCCCCATGACAAAGGTGGCTCCCTTTTAATAATATTGAAGGAGTCATGTGATCTTAACGATGCTATTGAAGGAGAGTTGTTATTATCTTTTTTGTCCACCTGCTTTTCATAATGGTATTGTTCACCCCTTGTGCTCATTAAAAATTCTGATTCCGTTAATAGGTCTATTGGACTGTTAAACTCCATCTTAACTCGAATTTACCAGTTTTTAAATTAGGATATATGTTATTATAAGTTTTTTTAATATATCTTTAAAAAAAAAATTGTTTAGTGAAAACTTGATGAATGAAGTATAATACACACGAGCTTCTAAAGTCTATATTAAATAATTGTCAGAAAAGCTTGTTATTATTTTGAATGTTCACAATAATATTAAAGCATACTTCTTTGTATCCCTAATCCCAAAATAATATGTAGAAATTGTATTTTGAAGCCTTTTCTTAGAGCTTTTATGATAAAGTAGAAGATAATAGTTTTAATGTTTAATGTTAACTGTTTATCTTCATGACAAACTAATTAGTTTATAATTAAACTACTATTTACTATAGGGTTAGGGTTGGAATAAATATTTATAAACAAATTAAAACGTTACAAAATAACATTTTGGGTTACTGTGAAATTATTTATAATCTTAATAAGCTAAATTATTGTTTAAAACTTTTGTACATTTTAAATGATGTTATCATTTTAATGTAATTACATAATGTTATCACATATGTTTATGTTTTTTTTTTGGTAAGATAGTTATTCTCATGCTACATGATATTGAAAGAAATCCAACAAAATAATTATTTAAAAATTTGAGTTTAAGAATCTTGTCCCGAATGACATTCTATTTTCTCATAATTAAAACATAACAAAACTTTTTTTTTTCAATAAAACACGGGATCTCTTTATTATTACTTTTTAAGAAACTTGAGCGTAAGTTGTCGCGTTTCTGGTTTCTCTGATTTTCACAAATCAAATTTATATATTTACATTTATAGATTTTGATTTAAATCTAGATTAAGACATTTTGATATTAGTTTTATTGTAAATAAATTGATGCATAATATTCACTTTAATTTACTAGTAAAGACAATGTCACATTCTCAAAATGTCAATAAAATAATTGACAAATCTCTCGAGAGCTCAGATAATTTTGAATTCATTAATTTAAATGCTAAAAAGAAAGACTCAGTAACTAGTTTAACTTTTAAAAGCAACTTTGATAATAATGACATAGAAGAGCCTAGACTTCGTGCAGAATATGCAATCTGGAAAAAAAATGCACCGTTTCTCTATGATATGATCATAACCACTAGACTTCCTTGGCCATCTCTCACAGTTGAATGGTTTCCTGAAGTGGAAATGGTTAGTACAACTGTAAAATCCAATTCAAGTAATAATACGACTAAGGGCATTTCATCACTACTTTCTCGATACAAGATTCTTCTTGGAACTCAAACGTCTGGAAATGCTTACGAATATGTTCGTATTGGTGTTGTAGATTTGCCGAACTTGAATGCTGTATCTGAAGAAGCACCTCTCTCTTTACTAAATCAATATGATACAGTGTTAAACGAATTTGGAGGATATCAAACTTCTCAGTCTCAGTTTAAGATTCATCAATATTTGGATCACAACGGTGAGGTTAACAGAGCACGATACTGTCCTCAAAACCCATCAATAACTTCAACAGCTTCTTCCAATGGTCGGGTCTATATTTTTGACTGCACAAAACATCCACTAGACCCTCGAAATATTACCCAGGCTTCAAAAATTTTAACTGAATCAAGCTCGGATTCTATCTCAAAATCCAATTTGCCTAGCCCCCGTCCAGAGATGGTTTTAGATGCTCATACTAATGAGGTCAGTTCCATAAGCTGGAATTCATATAAGTATGGATATCTTGCATCAGGATCATACGACACCATGGTAGGTGTATGGAATATTCGGAATTATAGTAGAAGCAAAAAACATGTGCCGTTAAACCTAATAGAAACTCACAGTGACTTAGTTAATGATGTTGAATGGCATAAATTTAGTCCTTCAATTATAGGAAGTGTTTCTGATGACGGTATGATGCATATCCATGACTTGAGAGTTTCTGAAGTGAATTATACACCGCAATTGGCATCAGTCCCTAGAAAAATTAAAAAAAAGGATGAAAACTCTTACGGCACAGTTGGAATTAACTGCATAAGTTTTAATAATGCGAATGAAAATTTGGTTGCTACTGGAGGAACTGATTCCAACATTAATTTATGGGATTTAAGATCATTAAATCATACTTTGCATACAATGAAAGGCCATGCTGGTAATGTTAATTCTGTAGAATGGTGTCATCATGAACCAGGTATTCTCGCCAGTGCTTCGTCAGACAGACGTGTGTGCATCTGGGATACTGCAGCAATTCAAAAAAGTGCACCATTTGATAATGAGAATAACTTAAATCATTCACCAGAACTGTTATGGGTTCATGGAGGTCACACTGAATCCGTTTCCGATATATCATGGAATCCCGCATTACCTTGGGTTCTTGCTTCTGTTTCTAATGATAACCATATACATATATTTAAACCATCTCAAAGTTTGGTTAGAGCTAAATGATAAATTTACTTTCACTCAATTTCGCCATAAAAAGTTTTTAATTTTGATTATTTTTTGCATCAAAATCAAAAAAATCTTTATTATGTAACGAAAAAGCACCTGACTGAAACCAATTATTACATTCCTTGCCATTAGACATTGTTGATGAATTTTTACTTTTTTTAGAAGGATCAACGAGTTCAATTCCTTGAGATTGTGAAAAAGTAATAGAGGAAACCATACCACTTGAGAAGTTATCGTTACTGATTTTTTTGCTTATTCCCAGACTTTTTCCATTAAGCCTCTGTAAACGGTTTGCCATTCCTTTTGATATTTTCCCCTGCGACTTTTCTAGATTCAAAATACGAATTTGTCCAGAGTTTCCAATCGATAAACTTTTTGCAGAAGTCGTTCCTAAAGAACCACCCAAATCTGCCAAATCATTGTCGTATGTTTCTTCAAGACCAAATGTAACACGGTTTTGTACACGCTGTAATTCAGTCATTTTATGTTGTTCTTTGAATTTGCGAATTCTTCTTCCTGCTCGTTTTTTAGAAGGTTTGTCTAATGGAACCGGCAATGCTTTATGTGATTTATTTTCCGGTGGCTCTAATAGTCTTTCTAATTTTTCCATAATTTCTCGATGTAGCTTTTTACCATATTCATCAGCATCTTTGCCAAGTCTTTTTTTAGAAATGGAGTTCGAAAAATCAACACGAGCAGCTAAAACAAGTTTTCCACTAATAATTCGCATTGCTTGAGTTCGAAATTCTGGCGGGACGTTCTGTACAATTGGTGAATAATACAAAAACCCTCGATCTCGAGTAGGAGTTTGGCTAATTTCTACACCTACTATACCTTTAGAACCCAAAGAGGGAATATTTGAGCTTGGTGTTGCCCCAAGCTTTTTTAAGCCACCAGATGCACCAAGTAATTGAGCGGTAGCATGCGATCCTATAACTTCAGTAACATTGGGAGCAAAATGCGCAAGCCTTGACGATACAAATTGTGTGATTTGGTCTTTAGCTGATTTTAGAGACAAGAGAAGCTCACAAGCTGATGAAACTTCCTTTAACTCTGCATTTGATAAAGATTCTCCTTTTGATTCATAAGAAGCCATAGAAATAATCATAAAGGTTGCTGGTGAAACTACTAGTTTTAGCTTTGAAAGGTTCACATCTGCTGACTCACTGCTTGTCACTGAATCTGTTTTAACATTGTTTCCAATAGCCAAAACTGCCCTGGCATATTCTACAGGTGTTTGGACTAGTGAGTCTAGTTCAGAAAATCGTTTTTGGTATCTTTTTTTAATGAATTGATGCACAGTTAAAATGGCATCGTCAATTTCTACAGAATAAGAGTTTGCTTCTACAAGCAAAGAATATTCTGTAGAATCACCTAAAGCAGTTTTGTCAATAAGATTTAAAATGAGATTAAGACGATTCATTAGACCAGAAACAGATGTAACATCGGTAATTTGTTTTGAATCAGAACCGGAAAGAGAATCTTGCGCTGTTTCCCTCAATGACCTAATTTTTACTATTTTTATTGGCACTTTATTTTCAGTGACATCATTCACCGTTGAATTTTCTCTGGTATATTCAGTATCATCATCACTTTCAAGATCAGCAAAAAGAGCATTATTGAGAGACATAGATAAGTTATAGGAATACTATATTTAAGATAATCAAGATGACTTTGTTGTATAATTAATAAAAAAAATGGGGCAGTAAGGACACTCTATCAGTGCTCTAAAAATCTTCTTTTTGCCACCAGCCGTGCCAAAAACCCTCTTCACCTTTTAGCAAAGTTTTTACCCAAGCCCAGCCATTCAATGAGAGTCAAAACCTATTACATCTAATAAAGATGTTACAGCAATAAAAGCCGCACTCTTTTTGTTATATTTTTTTTTGATGAAACCCAAATTTGACTAGCTCTCATACAATGAGGAAGATAATCCATATAAAAATACATGAAGCATTGTAATTCTCATTTTGTTTTATGTATTTGAATGTATTTGCAAATTAACAATTACGTGAAGAAATATACAAAAATTGCGAGGTTAGACGATAATTCTTTTTAACGAGTTTATCCATTTTCGCTTGTGTGTGTTGAGGCAAGGCTTTAGCCACTGTGTTTTAACACATTGTTTAAATGGATTCGTTAAATAAGATTAGACAAGTGTAGATAAGACTCAAAAATTATAATAATTACATAGAACTTGCAAAATTTGATTATCTTAGTCAAGAAGAATGTTAAATCTATTTTCAACGTTTAAAGAATAACACATTTATGCTTTTTCCTTTTTTTTGAGTTTTGCTTTAATAAATCATTTATTTTTATATTTTTGTTTTTATCTAATTCTTTCCCACATGTTTTTAGTAAAACTGAACTCTCATTATAATCATGCATCACAATATTTATCGCTGTTGTAAAAATTTCGGATACACCAAGAGACATTCTAGCTGAACATTCAAGATACTCCTTGGCACCAATAGTTTTAGAAACTGAATTACCTTGCTCTTGAGTAATAAACTGCATGTTTTTATTTTTGAGTTCAGCTCGTAAATCTGTTTTCAATGCAACTAAAAGAAATGGTATTCCTGGACAAAAGTGAGATATTTCAGGTAACCACTTGTCAACAACATTTTCTAGTGAATTGGGAGAATCAATGTTAAAGCATATAAGGATTATATTGACTTCTGGGTATGATAGCACACGAAGACGGTCATACTCTTCTTGGCCTGCGGTATCCCAAAGAGCAACTTCTACTACTTGTCCATTAGGTGTCTTAATATTAGCCAAATAGTTTTCAAAAACAGTTGGAACATATATTGTTGGAAATTTTCCAATCGTATAAGTAAGAAGTAAACTAGTTTTTCCACATCCTCCATCACCCACACATACGATTTTAACATGAAAATTTGGTGGATCTTCAATTTTTTGATTTGGCTCAGAGAAATAAGTAGAATTATTTCTTATTGATTCAAAATGATTATTTACTCCAGCTATTGAACCTATTTCGGGTCGTCCTGGATTTATAGACGTCGAATGTTTTTGAAAAGAATTTAATGAAGATTTTGGTTCACAATATTCATTTTGAATCCCATTTCCGGTATCAAAACTGGAATTAGTCAGCTTCTTAGTACTTGGTGTAGCTGGACGTGACCCCAAAGGACCTGACAGATGCTGATGAGATGTAATATTATCGTACACAGACATCGACATTGATGAAGTAGGTATTGAGTTTAAAGAATTTGAAAAAGAATCTTTTAGTGAGGAGTTTTTGTTTTGAAATGAAGAAAATCGATTCAATGGGGAGTTCGCTGTCGGTTGTGGTAATGGACGAGATGTCATTGTTTAAAGAAACTTTTTAACAGAATTCCCAAAAACAAATAAATAAAGCAAGCGCCAAATTTTTATCCATAGTAATCTATTTGCAATTTAGTATTCTTGATTTTTTTCTTATTGTTGTTAACTTGTTAACTTGTTAACTGGTTAGCATTATTTTTATTAAAAAAAAAACAAAAATTATGTTTACTTCAAACCGTTTATTTATTAAATTGGTTAGCGTATTTGAATTTAACAGTACAAAGGTCTTTTAATTAACATCTCACGTGATGAATCTTTTTTTAATTAAGCCTATTAAGCTTAACAGTTTAATTTTATTTATTAGATCTTATAAATAACAGTATATTTTTTGACTGTGACTTCTCGTAATTTTGATTTGTTATCCATATAAAGTTCACTATTGAAAAAATTAAATAAGTTTTGTGAATTTAATTTTAGACCTATTTATTTTTTTGGTGTTGTTGTTTTTTATTTCGGTTGGAGGTCATGATAAGTTTGTTTAAAAAATATTTTTTTCTTCAAAATTAAACCATATTTTTATAAAAATTTCAACAAATAGGAGCACCAATACACTATTAATGCAAAGCCTATCTCCATCTGATATTTCTAGGAGAGTCTCTGGAGTTTCGGAGTTTTTAACTCCATCATCAATTCTCACTCCCAATGGAATACCTGCCGCTGGAAACAACACACAGACACATTATATTAGACGCATTGGCTCCTTCAGAAACTCAGTTAGAAATCTTTTACTTCCTATAATTCGTTGGGAAACACCGATTTTAGGTAAACTGCAGGCTCGCGTTAGATCTCCTTTTCTTGATGTTTATTTTACTCAAACTGCAAATCTTGGTTCACATACTTTTTATGTCCTTCTCCTTCCTATATCCTTTTGGTTTGGGTTTTCAGATTTTGGCAGCGTTTTAGTTTTTATACTAGCTGCTGGTGTCTATATGACTAACTTTCTTAAAGATTTTTGCTGTCTTCCAAGACCACTCTCTCCTCCCTTACATAGGCTAACAATGTCTAAAGATGCGGCGTTAGAGTATGGATTTCCTTCAACACATACAGCTAATGCAATTTCAGTATCTTTATTTTTCATGGATACCATTAACAGCTCGAAGCCTAATTTAAACCCCTTCTTTTATTATTTCCTTCACTTTCTTAACTGCATTTATATTTTTTCTCTTGTTGCAGGAAGAATTTACTGTGGAATGCATGGCTTTTTAGATCTCTTTGGTGGTGCTTTAATTGGTTCTATTGTGTATTTCTGGGGAGCCCCAATTTTTTCTCGCATTCTTTTTTACATTACATGGTCTAACACTTACTGGGCTTTAGCTGTTATTCCAATTGTCCTAATTCTTATAAGGATACAACCAGAACCAGCAGATGATTGTCCATGCTTTGAAGACTCCGTTGCCTTTTTAGGTGTATTAATGGGCCAATATCTTGGTGAATGGCAACTTCGGTATCAATGTTACAGAGTTGATAATCTACTTCAAACAACAGATAGAGCTTCGCTAGGTGCTATTGACAAGATTTACTTAAAGGCCAGAGAAAAGTATATACTTGAATGGGGAACTCTTAAACAAGAAAAACTTACTCCTGGAACCATGTTACTTCGATTCATCTTGGGTAGCCTTTTGATTGGAGTCTGGAAAGTTTACTCGAAAAAAATTTTTCATATAATACTTCCACCTCTTTGGCGTAGAATTGAGAAATTTGGGCTTAGTATGCCACGTCGTTTTTATGTTCCTGCTTCACAGTATGACGATGTTCCAAGTGATAAAATTCCTGATAACACTGTTCGTATATTTCCTATTCTTGTGGAACCCGATAGCTCTGACAATGATTCCGAATGTGAAAATTCTAAATCTTCGTCAGTTGAAAATAGCAATATATTGAAATTTAAAAGTAAGAATTTCAAAAATGAAACAGTGGGCCCTCAGTCTACTGCTGAAGTATATGAGGCACTTGCATATCGTGAACAACAGCTTAACCAGAATATGATTGAAAATAAAACTAGCTTAAAAAATTCTAAAATACCACCAAGTCTTAATCAAGAAAAAATTCCAAAGGAAATGGTCCCTGAAATAATTGTTCCCCGAGTGCATTACGATGTCGAGGTTATTACAAAACTTTTGGTTTATGCTGGTATCTCGGCTATAGCTCTTTATTTTGATAGAATATTGTTTTCTGTGCTGAATATATAACATTCTATTTAACTAATAAAACGATATCATTATCATTATCATTATCATTATCATTATCATTATCATTATCATTATCATTATCATTATCATTATCATTATCATTATCATTATCATTATCATTATTTATCGTTTGTAGAAATAGCTATAATTGCGTCATTGTCATCCTAATCATCTTGATTAACGTCATTCGCACTTTCCTCAAGACTCTCACTATTTTCGCCATCATCATCACTAATAATTACATAATTATCATTATCATTATCATTATCATTATCATTATCATTATCATTATCATTATCATTATCATTAGGGGTTTTATCTGTATTAAGCGACCCTTCAGGTTCATGATTCTCGCAATTACTGATCAACTTTGGTATATAGATCTTTTTTTTGGGTGGTTTGAGACTAATTGAGCTAAGAGTTGGATATTTCCGTTTCACTCCCGTTTGTTCAGGATTGCTAGGTAACCCTGAGCTATCAACTGTTTTTGTTAATTTTTCACTTTTCTCTTGATGTCTCTCTTTAGATTTTGCAAATGAACCTATTGATGATTCCGAAAAAGAAATTTTATCTGGTTCAATATTTTTCGTCAAAATATGTGAGGTTTCACTAGTTTTAATTTTGCTATTTAAATCATTATGCTGAGTTGAATCAGTTTGTAATAATAGTTCATTTGAATTGGCAGAAAGAAATTCAATTCTTTGAGCAACTTTATCAAATTCTTGATTTATTTCTTCAATAGTAACACCTTGTTTTTTTAGGTTGTCTTTTAGAATGTGTAACTTTAGCAATAAATTCTCAAGCCAAAGTTTATCATTTCGATGGTTAATTGATGCCCAACCACCTTTAATTTTGTTAAAATGATTTAAATTAATGCTTGAAGGAAACCTAGCTAGTGCATCGTCTAAAGATAAAGTTTCCAATTCAACAGATATTTTGTCAAAGTTTTGTGTTGAAACTGCTTGTTCACGAGACTTAACTGAATTTTCAAAAGGCTTATTGTCTAATAGATTTGGATTTGCAAACGTCTTACTTTGGGTCTGGGTTAAAGAATTTGGCGTATTCAAAACCTTGTCAAATAATTCATTTCTTAAACGAAGTTCCATAGCATTTTGTTGGGTTTTAAACTCCTCTAAATTAGATATAATCTGATTTTGAATTAGCTTATGGCCCTCCAATAAACCAGAAAATATGTAATTTTGAAGTGAAATACCAGATTTAACATCTTGAGAATATTCTGAAGTAAATTGAGCAAAATTTTCTGCTGCCTTTAGTTGATTGGATATGATTAATGAAACATCTTTAGAACGTTGAAATTCAGTCTTGCGTAAGTCAGATAATAAATAATTGAAGTTAGAAATTAACGTGTTAATTGGTTCAAACTGAACCTTTTGAAGCTCTTGATTCTTTTTTTCAGAAGCTTGTAAATAATACGATATTAAACCGTTGTATATTTTTTCCTGATTTTTAGTTAATACAGTAAATTCCTGATTTGATTTAAAGTCAATAAAATTAGTGATGGCAACACAATAATCATAATTGTCAGTGATGCGACTCAGCCTCAAAGCAACAGTCAACGAGTTGAGTAAATGTCGATCCGTAATATTCTTTGTAATAATGTTAATTTGTTCAACAAAAGAAAGCTTTTTTAAAGAATCCTCTATTTCGGAAACTGTATAACTCATTTTTCCTAAATAAAAATGTATATTTTTTTTATTTTTTGGGGAATGCTAGCATAGTAATTTGTGTAAAATAGAGGATACTAAAATTATCATTTAATATTACATAATCAGCTGACATCACAACTTTTTAAAACTGTTAAAATAAAAAATAATAGAAGCTATATATTTTCTAAAAAATAAAAGTAGGAGAAAAACGAGGATCATATGTGTGAAGAACACAAATCAAAGGAACTTAAAAGGATGGAACCCATTTTCTAAAACAAATCATAGTAAGCTTACTCCTCTTACTAAAAAATCATTTAAATATACTCCCACTTCAAAATCTACTGTAAAGACTCTCGTCAATGGTAGGATAAGTATATAAACTTATCCTACCATAAACATAGTTATGTTTTACTGAATTTTCTAGTCGTATTACTGTTTCCCATAAGTTTTTTATGTGCAAGTACTGTCTTAACATCTGCAGGCACTCTTTCAGAGAAAAGGCTGCTGATATTGGCTTTACCATGTACCAATAAATTCAAATATGTCTATTTGGTTTGATAGTGATATATCAATTAATATTAAAAAAATTTGGAATATTGGATTTATGTTAATTGTAATTATTGACAGTATCACAGTGTATTTTATAAAATGAAATTAAATTCTGTCTATTTGAACACTGCTTGACTTTTTCAAATGCTCACCGATTAGTTGTTTTCGCAAGGATAGGCATGATGATCTACATAATTTCCCAAAACCACACGTGCCAAAGAGTTTTTAGCCTCAAAGCATTCGGTTGCATTGTGTAAACTATGAGAAAGCATTTCAAACGGAGTATCCATTATCCTTGATTGGTGAAATGGCGAGCTCCAGTTTTTGCTCAATATTATATACCTAGTACAAATAGAGCAAAAAAACTCGAATGCGGAGCCACATCTGTGCCAGGAGTCTGAATCTCGAGCCGAGTGCTTTGAAGAGCATCCGAATCAATCACCAATCGAATACTAGCCGAACGACTCTGCCACTCCACGAAATTGAAACAGGAGCTCAAAAATCGGCAAGCAGCCACTTGTACTAATTGATGGTAGGGAGAAGAAGATGTGTCACACATGGAAGCTTGACCAAAATACTTGCAAGAAAAAGACAGTTGTTTTAAAAAATAACTTTGTGGATCACTATGGAGCCATTCATTTGCACGAATGCCGCAGATGGGTGTATTCTGTGACTAATTGGCAAGTGAAGCGATACATGGTGACTATGAAAGATTTAGGTATTGTTGATTTTCTTTTATAAAAGATTAGACAAAGATTAATCAAAATTAGAAATCCTAAAAAAAAAATAATCTTGTGAAATAGCCTCTTTCATTTCAAACAAATATAGCCCTCCCTTTAGCCTAATCACATCAATAAACAGTTTTGATTCTATTGACTCTCCTCGTTTTTTTATTCTATGTTACATTACAAGATATCTTCTCAGTTCTCTCTCAATGTGTGACTGGACTGACAAGCACGCTTGGACCTACTCTCTTAGTCGAGTTGAGTGGTAGAGGTGTTGCGCCCATTATTTTTTTGTAACCCTGAATCGTTATTGTATCTAGTGTATCATCATGATGATATGATGATATGATGATCATCAAATGATAAAAACTAAACTATCCCATACACATAATTATGTTATAACATCGTATAATACATCATCTAAAATGCTTATGAAAAAATACCTGATTTTCTATTCTTCAAGGAACTCTATGATAAGAGATTATTGGCTATGTGCCATATATTCAATTTCCATCGCTGTGAATGCCAATTGACTCAAAAATATTTTACCAGCAAAGTGCTCAATTATCATCCTAGTTACTACGATATTCAAACTACAGGCCAATTTGCCGAACTTCTTTCTTAGCATATTCAGAGTCTCAATTCATAAAACAATTCCCCTTTTTTTATAAATTTTTATAAAATTAATAATAAAGTTATATAATATCTGACATAATCATCAGTACATTTCATAGACCTTCGTCATTTGTAAAAAAATAAAAAAGTTAAGACGAATGCTAATTTTACTGCTTATTTCCATAATAATTTCATTAATAACTCATTTATAATTTTTTCATAACGCTCTATTTGCATCTGATGCCAGAAACAACTTTAGATTTATCAAACCAAGTTTCTTTCAATAGAGCATCAATCGGTTCATTAGCTTTGACAATAGGTTATGTTTTAGTTTTTTATATTCGCTCGTCAACAAGAACTACGGAACATCAAAAGCGAGATGACCCAGAAGTAATTAAAGAAAGGATCAAGGTAATAACCATTTACTCATTTTTTGCCGATTTTATTTTTATTCCCTTTTTACTATTAGCCTCTCATGTTTATGATAATTATATTCAGGTTTTAGGCATACTACGAGTTTTTGGAGGTTGGAAATCTGATGAAACTGAGGTTGCAATTGATACTCTTAAAGCGCTTTTGTTAGTGTCGATTCTTTTCATTGGTCCCATTACTAATTACTTATATTTTGAACAACAAGAGATCAGACAAAAATTAAACTTTAATACAAATGTGTTTGCCATTCTTAATGTGCTATTCCAAAACTTAAAGATAAATATATGCTCCGTACAGGGTCTACGAAATTTTGTAGTTGGCCCTCTTACAGAAGAGCTTGTTTTTAGATCGGGAATTCTATCATTGTATTTGTCTTCGAATGTATCTAAAGGGTAAGAAATTATGCATATTTACTATTAATATGTTTTATTCTAACATAAAAATAGCTTTTTGATTTTTTGCTGTCCGTTGTTTTTTGGGATTGCTCATTTACACCATGCATATGAACTTTTCTTTGAAGCTAAATATAAAGTAATGGATATATTTCTGGTTTGTTTCTTCCAATTTTTTTACACCTATGTTTTTGGTATTTTTTCCTCGTTCTTATTCTTGCGGTTTGGCACGATATGGCCATGTATTGTCACACATACATTTTGCAACCTGATGGGATTTCCTTCCCTTGGGCCAACTGGGTTAAATTATGTTTATCTTTGGATTTATCGTTCACTTTTAATTCTAGGGGCATATGGTTTTTACCATTATTTATTTTTTTTAACAAACTCTAGTAATCAAATTCTATAAATATGTTGTAACCGTTCATGTGGAAATGTACCATAAAAGGCATTGATTATTTTAAAAGAGCATGAAGATACTCTTGTGTTTAATGTGTGTAGGTGGAGGAAGCCAGACACTTGATTAGGATGTTTCTGGCTCCGTTGACGTTTCTGTTAACAGAAATTTCACACGAGTCACAACAGTATTCATGCTCAATCAGACACAGCTTAGCTTTCACTTCCTCACAGCTGGTGCATGCCTTACTGGTGTACTCTTCACTCATCCTGGAGAGTCCTGTCTATGTCAGCTGGAATTTGAAGGAAAGGCATTGGGAAACCGAGTAGTGCAAACTCACCATCAAATTTTTGTTCGTCCCCCTGTTTCTACTAACACCAACCAATGTTTTGGTTAATGGCGGCAGTGCTATGTTGTCGTAGTTAGTAGTATAGTAAGATGCTTTATGGTTTGATAGTGATCGTTGGCCATTGTGTTGATTATTTTCCCATAATGCTTAGCATATTGTCTGGCCTTTCCAGCAGATTGGATCTCTGAAATCTGTTTCTTCAACTTCGTGATTTTCCCTCTGTGAAGCGACGAATGGAATACATCGCCATCTGGTGAGTAACCTGTCCTGGAGTGTTTACTTCTAGGATCAAGGGTCATTTTACTCTTTCTTTCACCACTCTTAACCTCCTCTTAGCATGTTATTGGAATTAAGAGGTGGAATACCTTTGGTCTATTGCAGTGCATCTTGACTTCATACTCTATTTCGATAAATAATATCTCTTTACTATCTTAAACTCCGTTTGTTTTCTAATACCAGTAAAATATCATACAGAATTTATCACCTTCGTTGTATACAAGTGAGGATTTCTTAAATCAATTAAATTGACTGAATTGTCTCAAGATCTCTGATTCCTCTTTCGAAGTCATAAATGGTTTAAGGATCATATAAATGAATATATATATTTCAAATCAAATTTTATATTTTGCAAAGTTTAGCAAGACAGCCTTCTAACTGCAAATACGTTGCAATTCCATCTAAAATTCTCATATGTGACAATCCTATGATTTTGATATAATTTAATTTTTTCTTTTCAGACAGATCCTGAATACTTTTGGTCACTTTGAACATTGTAGATATAATGTCAACTGCGCTGTATCCTTTAGCCCATAACTTTTTTAAAGAGATTAATGCTTCATCAATGTTTTGTTTGCTGCAAGCTTTAATCATTTCTTGAACAATTAGTGGATGCGGTTGATCCACGACTTTAAAGACGTTATCAGCATTAACAAAATCGAACCCCGAAACTGTAGATTGTAGATTATTTATGGCTTGTCTCATATCTCCTTCGGCTGAAAAAATTAATGCACTAATGCCATCGTCACTAAATTTAACATTTTCCAGGTTAATTATTTTCATTAATCTTTTGCAAACTTGCTCATCTGAAAGTCTTGCAAAACGAAGAATAGCACAACGAGACTGAAGAGGTTCTATAATTTTGTTAGACATGTTACATGCAAAAGCAAAACGAGTAGTTTGAGAATATATTTCCATTGTTCTCCTAAGAGCTTGTTGGGCGCCTGCAGTCATAGAATCCGCTTCATCTAATATAATAATTTTTTGTCTGCCTGGGGGAAGGTTAACTTTTTTTTGAGCAAATTTTTTAATCGTTCCACGAACAACTTCAATTCCTCTTTCGTCTGATGCGTTAAGCTCTAATACAGCTTCTTTATATGAGGTTCCAAGCAAAGCCCTAGCTAAACAATGAATTGAAGTTGTTTTCCCAATACCAGGCAAACCCGCGATAATCATATGTGGCATATTACCATCTCTCGAAATTGCTTTTAATCTTTCTATTGTTTCTTCATTTCCAACAATATCATCGAGATAAATTGGTCTGTATTTTTCAACCCTTAAAAATGTTAAAATAGAATTTTTAAATAAATTAGAATTGCGTACCAAGGGGATTCGCTGCTATTTACTTTATTAGTTGAAATTTCATTATTTGAAGAATCGCCGGTATTAGGAACAATTTTCATCATATCTTTAAAGGTAAACTGCTAAAATTGAAACAAACAATTTGTGCATAAATAATGTCTTTAGTACACTTTAAAAAAAATTTGGAAAAAAATAGATCAGATCAGATACTTGTTCGCCTCAAGAAGCAGATTAATAAATATGCTTATATAAATTTTAATTCTAGAAATAAAATAAAATAAAATAAAATAAAATAAAATAAAATAAAATAAAATAAAATAAAATAAAATAAAATAAAATAAAATAAAATAAAATAAAATAAAATAAAATAAAATAAAATAAAATAAAATAAAATAAAATAAAATAAAATAAAAAAAAATAAAATAAAATAAAATAAAAAAAAAAATAAAATAAAATAAAATAAAATAAAATAAAAAAAAATAAAATAAAATAAAATAAAATAAAATAAAATAAAATAAAATAAAATAAAATAAAATAAAATAAAATAAAATAAAATAAAATAAAATAAAATAAAATAAAATAAAATAAAATAAAATAAAATAAAATAAAATAAAATAAAATAAAATAAAATAAAATAAAATAAAATAAAATAAAATAAAATAAAATAAAAAAAAATAAAATAAAATAAAATAAAATAAAATAAAATAAAATAAAATAAAATAAAATAAAATAAAATAAAAATAAAATAAAATAAAATAAAATAAAATAAAATAAAATAAAATAAAATAAAATAAAATAAAATAAAATAAAATAAAATAAAATAAAATAAAATAAAATAAAATAAAATAAAATAAAATAAAATAAAATAAAATAAAATAAAATAAAATAAAATAAAATAAAATAAAATAAAATAAAATAAAATAAAATAAAATAAAATAAAATAAAATAAAATAAAATAAAATAAAATAAAATAAAATAAAATAAAATAAAATAAAATAAAATAAAATAAAATAAAATACTGAGAAGTGTCATCATTATCATCAGCGCAACATAATACTGTTTCTTTCTACCACCTCACATTCTTTAATTGCTTGATTGCAATTTTTCTTCAAATACAATCATCTGTCACTGATATTTTATAAGTATTTAATCTTGATAACTGACAGTCGTTATTGTCTATTACTGCACTGAAAAAAAATACTTATCCTTGGTATTTCTAAGTACGTAATACCATGGGTATGCTAAAAAAAAAAAAGAAATCAGCCAAGTTATCAACTTGAAGGAATTAACCAGGCCGCCAGGATAAAAAATCTTTATAAATAAACATTTCTCTTCGTTTCACACTATTTATACTTATATTGGATAATATGCATGTGTTCTTAATCACCTATTTATCATTGTTAATAAATCCTTCTTTTTTGTTCTTGAACATATATATATTTAATTTGCATATTGTTTATTCTGATTAAGATTATACATAGACCAGCTAATATTCTAGGTCAAATAAGATTAAAGGTGAGATGAGAAACAAACTGAACCGATGGAACCGGATTACTAAATATATTTAGATACCTAAATTCACTTAAAATAACACAAAACTTAATATAATAGATAACCATATGATGAAAATTTGTCTAACTATAATTCATTCTTTAAATATGGGCTCAATAATGATTAATCCTAATTCCTAAGAAAACAAGCATATCCTAATTTATTTGTGTTACAATTTTTGTATTTGTCTGCTAATTGTGTCAGAAACAAATTTCAGTGAGTTAAGGGTAGGTATAGAAGTTTCTTTCCTAAAAATATGTGGAGACCCTATGAAAATGAAATTTGGTGGCATAGTTAACATAAAAATATAAATTAACTTACAAACTGAGCTATACTTGAAAAGGGGTTTTTTCAAATGCAGTTGTGTCCACTAATAAATCATATTATACCTCAAAGGCCGTTTATTTTTTTAAAAAAAGTAGTAAATCTAATTCATAACGTGAAACATTGTAATAACATTGACAATACTAGTGGCAAAAATAATATGACTGAAAAGGTAACATGAAGTTGAAAATAGAATATGATTATATTGAAGCATTGTTATTTATTATGTCAATGGTGGGTTTATAAACAATTAGTTTCAAATAAACTTATGCCGTGTTCATTAAATCAGTATACCGTATTAAAATTCAAATTCAAATTTCGTATGAAATATATTGTGTGAACGTGGAGAACCTTTTTCGTTTCATAGTAAGATTTGCTAAAAGAATATTAGATAAAAAATAATTATAAATTAAGTCGAAGATACTGAAAATTTTGAACCATATGTGTGATGACCACGTCGATGTTTTGGGGCTTGGCTTAAACTTTTTTGCAGATGTGAATATTCCTTTAAATCTGTTTCATCATCAGGCTATGTATGATATTTAACAGTTAAAATATGAACATTGTTTATTTATACAAAGAAAAACTTACGTTTTCTTTAGTATCATAGAAAGTTTCATTATCATCAAATGAGCTTTCATTAAATAAATGGTTCGAAACATTCCCGATATCTCGATGTTCTTCAGACAAATATTCAAGTTTTTCGGTGCTCCCGTCAAAAGAAAAATCATTGTAAGCAGAAGTATCTTTAGTTTTTAGGTTATGATTCAACGTTTGATAAACCCTTAAACTCGAGTTCTGTTGTTGATGTTGTTGATGTTGTTGATGTTGTTGATGTTGTTGATGTTGTTGATGTTGTTGATGTTGTTGATGTTGTTGATGTTGTTGATGTTGTTGATGTTGTTGATGTTGTTGATGTTGTTGATGTTGTTGATGTTGTTGATGTTGTTGATGTTGTTGATGTTGTTGATGTTGTTGATGTTGTTGATGTTGTTGATGTTGTTGATGTTGTTGATGTTGTTGATGTTGTTGATGTTGTTGATGTTGTTGATGTTGTTGATGTTGTTGATGTTGTTGATGTTGTTGATGTTGTTGATGCTGTTGATGCTGTTGATGCTGTTGATGCTGTTGATGCTGTTGATGCTGTTGCTGTTGCTGTTGCTGTTGCTGTTGCTGTTGCTGTTGCTGTTGCTGTTGCTGTTGCTGTTGCTGTTGCTGTTGCTGTTGCTGTTGCTGTTGCTGTTGCTGTTGCTGTTGCTGTTGCTGTTGCTGTTGCTGTTGCTGTTGCTGTTGCTGTTGCTGTTGCTGTTGCTGTTGCTGTTGCTGTTGCTGTTGCTGTTGCTGTTGCTGTTGCTGTTGCTGTTGCTGTTGCTGTTGCTGTTGCTGTTGCTGTTGCTGTTGCTGTTGCTGTTGCTGTTGCTGTTGCTGTTGCTGTTGCTGTTGCTGTTGCTGTTGCTGTTGCTGTTGCTGTTGCTGTTGCTGTTGCTGTTGCTGTTGCTGTTGCTGTTGCTGTTGCTGTTGCTGTTGCTGTTGTTGTATAAACCCTTGATTAATTAAATTCAAATAAGCATACATAAAATTCGATAACAAAACCTGTTGAAGTAGTGGTCGTCTTGGGTTTGCTAACTTTAAATGAGAAAGTCGATAAATTGCGCGTTCGATATGCAATGGGTATCTATGATGCATCATAACTAATGACTTATCGGACATTTGATGTGGTGGTATTTGATAAGGTGCCCCATAATATGCGGCTGCTTCCGCAGTGTATACCACTGTTTGAGAAACATTTGAATTCTTAAAGTTATTTGAAGTTGATGTTTCGGATTTATCTTCATTAATTGATTCATCAGGAGATTGTGCTCGAGATTTTGACCTATACCGACTACTTCTTTTTTCAGATTTTGAAGACTTAATACCAGAAGATTTTGAGCGAGTCGAGTTTTTGAATCCAGTATCTGAAGAAGACTGCGAGTTGGAATGATATGACTGATCCGGAAGTAAATTTTGGGCTTTTATTTTATCATTAGGATCTGTTATGCAGTTCGCATATTCATCTTTTTGTTTTGTAGATGAGGAAACTACTTTTTTTTTTAAAAAAAAATTAGATAATCGATCTTTACTAGAAGACGAAGATGGCTCGTTAGTTTCCTGTGCACTTGGCTTAAGTATAGGTGATTGAGAAGACGCACGATTTAAAAATCTGTCCGTAGAAACCTTCCCTGAGTCAAAAGAAGAGTGTGGCTCTGAGTCTGTTGGAATTTCATCATGTAAGACGATAAGTTCTCCTGAGTTCTTGAAATTAGATGTTTGAGAATTTGAAACGGTATGATTAGTATTGTTATTAGTATTACTATTACTAGGAGTACCGCTAAATAACCAGCTCCACGTACTTCGCCGAGTCTTAGTTTTAAGTTGAGATTCCTCTTCTTCAAAAATAGGAGAATCATAATTAGTTATAAGTTCTGACTCGCTCTTATTAATTTTATCAAATTTATGGTGTTCTTTGAATGGTTCTTCTTGGTTAAAAATACTATCCCTTTCAATATTTAACAAAATTTGAAAATTATCAGCTGGTTGTGTTTGGTCAATTGAATTCGACATAAAAGGATTCGATTGATGAATAGAAGATAGTGAAGGCAAATTTTGGGATATAAGGGATATTGGATTTTCTTTCTGCTTATTTAAATCTGTTACTTGTAAGTTATCCTGATTCAAAGTCGAAGCTGAGTTTGAGATTTGATCCTGCTGGATTGTCGTATTTCTGGAATCATTATCAACAAACTTAGATCTTTGACAATTTTCTTTAACGTTATTGGTGGTTGTTTTTGTTGGTAAAGTAACTATTAATATCGGATCAGTATCCTCAATTTTAGCTGAACCAACATGATTTATATGTATCGCATTTTCATGGCTATGAGTAACTGTCGAAAAATTAACTGAATTGCTGTTAATCGATGATTCTAACTCTGAGTTAAAACTGAACGTTTCATTAAACTGTCTTTTTTTTTCATCCAAACACGATTTATCTGAAACTTTTAATTTTTGAAAATTATCTATTTTTGATTTACCAGAAATATTATCATCTTCCAGTTCATTTGAGCTTTCAAAAGATTTATCATGCTTCAAATTAAACTCTGTTTGTTTAACAGAAATTTTCTTCTCATAATGTCGTTGATCATGATTACTACCACTAAAATTATTTTGAACTATATCCCGCTTTCCACGTCGAATAAAAGATTTATTATAGCGGGTTCGGGTAGATCGTCGAAGAGAAGATTTTGGTGCATGAAGAATAGGAGAGTCTGTGTCAATGGAAGCTGTGTCAGAGATTGAAGGTTGGGACCTAGATGCAATAAAATTTACCGGATCTTCAGAAGAATTTGAGGAGGAATTTAAATTAGTAGTCATGGAAAGAGATCTAGCCAATTGAAATGGATCCATGGCAAGGCTTTCTAGTTCTCCAAAAGTTCTCAAGTGTTTAGAGAGAGATTCAATAGTCGGGTCGAATTGGTCTATTAAAAGGTCTTTAGATTTTCTTTTTTCTAATATATCAGCACCATCGGTATATCCCTCTTGATCTTTTATCTGCCTAGAAAGACGAGAATTTCGCCTTCGAATCTTAACTGTGTTGGCTTTAAATGAAGAATTTTCTGTTTGTTGTAAAGAGGAATCTGATACTGAGGCCTTGATTTCAGCCATTTTATTTTGTACAAATGTCTTCCATTCTTGAGGTGCCAATTCTGGATGAATATGTGCTGGAACCCATAATAGTTGAGAAGCATGTGTCGCATCAATTTCCGAATTTTGGTATTCAGAATTAGAATGATTTTGGTCTGTGTCTTTTTGAAAATCAATCGAACTGTTCGAATATTGTCTTGAGTTAATGCTAGATTCAGAATTTGAAAGATAGATATCTGACGTATAATTAGGAAGATCTGGATCAATAGTAGAAAGAGCTCCTATGGATAGACGCTTCAAAGTTTTAACCGCATTCATTTCTTTGGCAACAACTGCTGCAGCTACTTCGGCATTTGTTGATCCACACTTTGAAGAAACACCAGAAACTGTATTCGATCTGTGAGGGGACCTCAAAAATTCATTCGATTTAACGTCTTGTTCTGATGAAGCTTGAGCCATAAGTTTGAATTTTTCAGATTTAATGTCCTGTGGATTGGTGGTGCTGTTAAAGGGTTTGTCATGTTTCCCTGAATCAGAAGAGATAGAACTAATAGCAATTTCATTTGAAAGCTCTAAATTTAATGTAGAATAATCGGAAGTATTGGAACGTAAAATTCCATTACCTCTGTAATCATTCTGCTCATTTAGTGACAATGAAAGATCAGCGTTTTGGGGATTAACTGGAACTTGCTTAACATTCTGTGATTCGTTATTATTATTAATCATTCTAAATAGACGGCATGTATTATAGAAATAAGAACAAGCACATTTGAGTATAAAATATTAAAAGGTGGTATCAAAAAACTTATTCTCACTTGCTAGGTTCAAAATTTAGTCAAAAAAAATTATTGGATCTGCTGCGTCTTTAAAAAAAATAAAGATCTAATTTTACTAATAAAAAATGTGGCATTAGTATTAAATAATATATATTGGGTTAGGGTAAAAATAATCCTACGAGTATCTTCAATGTTTTTGGACTTCATATGTATCAGTATTTTTCCGGAAATAATTTTTTATTGAAAAAGTGTATATTTTGCTTTTTATATTATATTATAATTTATTTCAAATTTTTAACTAGAATTTTCAGCAATTTGATTGCTTTCTAACTGTGGTTTTTTACTTGTGTTATCTTGGTGCACATTTGAAAGCAGTTTTCTTGGTGGAATCACATTTTCAAAGGCTAGTTTCCAATCTTTGGTTACCAGCCATTGAAGAAGGATTTCAAAAACATGATTTGTAGTGAGAACACGACGTCCAGAAATTTTAATGAATTCATCTATAGGAAGCCTTCCAGTTTGAATGCCTTGTTTTTCTGCTTTATCCTTACACAAATTTTTGTATCTTCCCTTGTCAACAATTCCACCTATTATATAGGTCCTGTGAGGTTCTAAGGTTTCAATTAAATTAGATGAGTCGGAAGAAAGGTATACCCAATTTTTAAGATCTTCTGGATCGTTCGGGAAATGATACTCTTCTTCTAGGATTTCAATGTTTTTCCATTGTAAATGCTGATTTCTCATTACCGTGGTAAACCGCTCTTTTAAAGATTTATTAAATGATGAAAGTTTAAGATTTACATATTTTTCCGATTTCTTGTTGTCAGAATAGCATCTAATAATTTGTGATCCGAGCGAATTTAATTCCTAAAAAATATTAGAACAAATCAATAATAGCTAATTAAACTTACCTCTGGCTTCATCATTTCATCAAAACCACAATCAATAATAACATCAAGTTCAACATGATGTCTAACCATTAAACGTTTTTTTGTGTTATTACACTCCTCATCAAGGTCATTTTTTTCTTGATTTAATCTTCTTTTTGCAAGTTGTTTTTCCCTTCGTTTTTCTTTTTTCTTCAAATTCCATTCTTCCTTTTTTTCCTCAAGTTTTTCACGTCTAAGTTGGCGTTTATAAGCCGATAAAGTCATACCAAGAGGAGGAGGATTTTTTCTTTTGCTATACTTTGGGTCAACAAGCATTGAATTTTCTGTTTTTTTATTGATGGCAACATCTTCTAAATCATTTCCAATTTTCTTGCATTCTTCCAACGTAACCTCTTTGTTATTAAAGTTGCTCGTGTTTAAATTAATATCACCCATTCTAGTTATTTTTAAAATGAAAACTCATAATTTTAAGTAACAAAAATACAATGTTAATATTATAATAAAAATAGAGTTGTTTGTTTGCTATAATTATAGCAAACAATTACTTGTATTCGTTAAAGAAATACCTAAGCATAAATTTAGTCAGCATCTAACATCTAATAAAAATAACTATTGTGGCCAAGATGACATAATCACTGTTGAAAAAAATGAGTGGGAAGCCCTTTTATAATTATATTAAGAAGATATTTTTTGAATTAAATTTATGGTGGTGATGAAAAATCTATATCGAACTACGAATTACCTAATAGAGTAAAACGGTAGTATAATGTAGAACGAGTGTGTTTAGAGCTTATTACTTAAAAGATAAGACTATAGTCTCAATTCATATAATTTATAGGACTAGGTCGTAGTATGTAAAGAAACAGAACAAATTAGATCGTAAATATAATCAAAATTATCTGATGAAAAAAAAAAAAGCAAAAGCGTTTATTTAAAAAAAAAGGCAGAGATCCTTATATAGCCAAATAGTATGGCGGCATAAAGTATTATGCTAAGTAGATGATCCTGGATGGATGTTAATTTTGTAACCATTTGTTGAGCAGTGCAGTGCGTTAAACCACAGTTCTTTATAGGAACTCTTTTTTACCACCATAAAGGAATGTCTTTATCCTGGCCAACATAAAATGCTATTTCACACCCTCTTGCATTTCGCTTCTCCACACTATTTTTTTTTTAAATCTCTTGAAATATCAGTAGCCAGTTTTACAATGGAAAAAAATACTTGATGCACACACTTCAAATTTCAAATTCACAACATGAAAATAAATAAACCACTTCGCCGCTCAACACGAATTGCTGCTACTTCTAAAAAATTAAAACGAGAATTTGAAGAATCTTCAACTGTTAGTGAAGACAAAATAAAAATACCAGATCTATCACATAAAAAACAAAAAACATATTCAACACCAATTAAATTTCTCCAAGTTGGGGATAGGCTTCCTGAAATTGTGCTTCAAGATCAAGATGGAAACGATGTCAATTTCAAGCATATAGTTGAATCTCATTCTAACATTGTTATTTTTGGTATGGATTTTTTATCATGTTTATAAAAATTATTAATGGCTGGGAAATTTTTGCAGTTTATCCTCGAGCAAGTACTCCAGGTTGCACTAGGGTAAGAATCGACCTATGAATATAATTTTCATTTAAACAAGTTTAACTCTTATTCCTTTTTTTTAAAAAAAAACAGCAAGTTTGTGGATTTAGGGACAATTATAAAAGATTAAGTGAAAAAAAGGTGCAGATTTACGGTGTTTCTGCCGATTCTTTAAATGCACAAAAAAATTTTTCTCTTAAACAAAAACTTGACTATCCTTTATTGTCAGACCCAAATTATAAGCTCATTGAGTTGCTAGGTGCAAAAAAGTTTCCTAGAGGAGCCATAAGGTCGTACTGGATTTTAAAAGATGGAAGAATCGTTGTTTCAAGAATAAAAATAAGTCCTGAAGAATCATTTAATGAAGTTGTTGACTATTTTTCTTAAGTTATTTGATGATTTGAAATGAATAAAAACTATTTTTACTCATTCTCATGTAAATGGAATAATCATTTTGGTAAAATTTGCTACCATCGCCATTATTATTAGTTTTATTGAAATATCAGAAATCGAATAATAAAACTGATTATTGTTTTTTTAATTTCAAAGTTAACAAATACTTAAAATATATTTGTTAAACACAAATGACAGTATGATTTGGATTGAGCATAGCGTAAACATAACTACTTCAAAATGGCTTTTTTCGGTCAGATATTGATCTCATTCATATTGGAAAATCAAGAAATGAAATCACTATGCTGCAAAATGAATTTAGTAATATTATCAATGCACTCAAGTTGGTTTAAATAAAAAATTTCAAAATTGTACTACATCTCATTTGTTGTTGTCCAAGAGGTTCTGGGAGGACCAACAGAAGCTGCAATAAAATATTTCTTATTCTACAAATAAGAGCGATAAAATTGTTGAGATTAGAGGAATAAATACCCAATACTCCAGATAATCTATATCTATATAAAGGTATTTAAGTGCTGAAAAAAATTTCATATCTGCCATATTGCTTGGAGTTTTTCGTGTAGTTACTTATTTTTTCCAATATCTCATTCCTTAACTATTTGTTTTTATTTAGATTCCTGTTGAAATCACATTACGAGAAAGTCTACCAACTCCAAAGATTATTAACCCCCATGTAAAGTTGAAGCAAACATGATATTATCTCCGGGTTGAATTTCATATTTTTCTTCGCCTACCAACTCCCAATCTGCATCATTGATGAGAACCAAAATCCCTGGTCGACTTTTAAAACGTTAATACATTTTCAGTCTAAATTTTTAATTTGCTTACATTGTTTCATTTTGCAAAAACATATCTTCTTTGGTATGGTCTATTTCATTACGCTTTAAATATGTTATTAAATCATTGATAGTAAAAATATCATATGAAAATTCCAGATCTAAGTCTAAATGTCGTCGGTTGTTAAACAAAGTCTCCAAACCCCCGCTTATATTTTTATATTAGAGCAATTATTTTTAATAAATTTTATCGAGTAACAATTTTTCATACTTAAATTCGATTCTAATCCTCATTTTCTTTAACTAATGAAACTATTGAAAGAAAAACAGATATTCCGCTGGTTTTGCAAGGAATATCTTATCAAAATAGAAAAAAAACCGAAAAATATTTTGATCGATTTTTTTTAGTGTTACCCTACTTCTAAACATTAAACCCATCAACTCTAAATTTAAATTTTTTGGGATTGTTAATCAGAAGTTACTGTTTATTACTTTTTAATGTTCCAAAAATTTCAATGATCATTGAATTGATTTGAAAATATTACAAAACGCCCAAAATCAAACTAAACCCAAACCCTAAACATAACAAAATTTAAATTTAAATTGTCTAAATCAAATTATTTTTTCGTCATTATTTCGAGTGTTGACAACCTAATTTATTTAAGAGGTAATATCATTTGATATTAATTATAATATAATATAAAATGAAATTGATATCATTTTATTTTTTCGTTTTTTCTTCCTTGTTAGTTTTAGCTTATTCATCTACTGAAAAAACGGGTCTTCCCACAACAGAAAGCATTATTACTAACGTTGTGTTCCCTGACACGAAGAACTCTAAAGATCTTCCCGAGTTTGTGAATGACAAAGAAACAAATGTTCAATTTCAATTCACGAACAATGGCGACACACCAATTCATATTGCTGGATATTTTGGGTCATTCTATTATAATAAGAAAGGTATAAGAGAAAAAATGCCATATGCTAATCTTACAACTTCGAAGATTGGCCCTTTAGCTATTGAACCTGGAAAATATTCTACATTTGATGCCAAAATAGTGGTCAATTTACCACCTGAAGATTTTGATCTTATTATTTCATTTTTCGTTGGACTTCAAGGGGAAGTGGTTGTTATTGAAAACAAGCCTTTGAAAGTGACTATTTCGGATGCACCTGTTAGTTTTTTTGATCCAAAATTTTTATTTGTTCAATTGATTTTTACTCTTACCATTGGAGCAATAGGATTTGCAATTTATTATTTTGCATTGGTTCCATACATTGAAGATTCTTTAAATACTTCTAGAAAGCAAAATGTCTCCAAAAAAGTTAGTCAAGAAAAGAAGAAAAGTGTTAACCCTGGTAACAAAGGATACGATGAATCATGGATCCCTTCTCACCATTTGAAACCTTTATCAAATACAGAAGGGCTCACCTCAAATAAGTTGAAAAAGACATCTTAAATCTAGAGATCTCTAACTCATTTTCTTTCATATAATTTGAATATGGACAATGATAATGATTTCACCTTGGCTCAAGCTGATAAGGATTTGAAGATTGCAGTACTGGAAAGTGCATAGCTTTGCTAATACTTTTCTCATAGTATTTTAGTATATAAAAAATGGCAAAACAAACATTACAGTTATTATTATTATTATTAAATTATGCAAAGTTTATTTTTTTTTTTTTTTTGGAAAATGATTCAATCAGATCTTTGATGTTCGGTGACTGAAACGTAGACTAATAAGTATTTGATGCCAGAAACACAACACATATTGTCGTCAAAGTGGGCTTTATTAACTTAAATAGTGAGTTAAAAAAAGAAAAAAACGAATATTCTTTCCTGAGATTATTGGTCCATCCAAAAAGACCAAAAATCAAATCTGTAAATAAAATTAGGTTATTTTTTTCACTGACCAGAACATGATAAAACCTTTTATAAAGCTATTTGAATATCGTAAAACTTCACATATTTGCAAAACCAGCCTTATCAATAGAACCAATCCACGGCAATAACAAGTCTATCGAATTAAGGCTTATTGTTTTTGTTTATATTATGCTACTCTTCAAAATAGAAACTTTGCCTCTTCCTCCTTAGATAATTTTGTTTATATTAATAACCTACAACCAAGCCGGGCTTTGTCATCATACTGAAATCTAGTCCTATAAATTATCTGAGTTGAGACAAGAAACTTATATCTTAAATTGTAACTCTTGTGACCCTCTTCGATAATTTTTAGCCAAATACCTCTCACTATCACTATGAATCAAGAGTAATGTAGGGGCTTTCCTTATGTCAGCCTAGGCCACAAAAGTAACAAAAAATGTAACTAACTACCTGAGCTATCCGTACGATATGGCGCAAAAGCCTAAATGCGGGGACAATTATCCCAAAATAAATAGGAAATTTTGTGATCTTAACTCAACTTATTTTTAAATGTAAGTTGAAACTTTCAACAATTAGATAACACACCTAATATCTTAGGCGGGAAAATGATAGATTCTTATATAGATGAAAAATCATCTCATAGACAGCTTTTTTTTAATAATTTAAACTCTTTACATACATCAGAAGATAATTACAATTCAGCGGGTGAAAACAGCACTCACACTAATCACAAAAGTTTATCTTCTCTTACTGTTGAATCTGATGATAATAATTTAGACTCAAAATCCTCCATTGGCATTAGTTCCTTAGCATATAATCCAATAATGGGCACTGAACTAGCTGCTACATTTGCTGCTGCAAGAAATCAACATTTTAATGCCGCCGCTGCTGCCGCCGCTGCAACTGCACCAGCTACGGTTACTCGTGCCTCTACTTGCCCTTCTTCTTTACCACCTACTTCCACTTCCATAATTTCCCCAGTTGCCAATGTTGTTGCCTCTTCTTCTGGTTTTGCACCAAAAGATTCTTTTGTTAATACTTTAGTTGAAAATTATAATACTACGGTAAAGAAAAACCAAAATTTGTCTGATAATAGCATATTAAGTCGTCATATTAAGAAGGACTCTATACTAAATGATTCTTCTGGTGGTGCAACAGTAAGCTTAATTCATGAAATTGACAATTCAACCGGAATTCACTTTAACAAACCAGTTTTAAATCCTAATCCTACTAGTCTATCATCTTTTAAGCCACCATCTTTACAAGCTTCTTTAAATTTATCTAGTTCAATGAAAGAAGCCCGAGAGGAACCTTATCGAAAACATTTAAAATCAACAAGCGGAGGAAATTTAAACTCCAATAACGCTTTATTCGAGTTTCAAAATGGTCATTCAACGGTATTAAACTCTGAAATAAAAGGCAAGCCAAAACCAGCTTCAGAATCTATAAATACCTCAAAGTTTGGTTCATTTCCTTCTCATATTTTGGAACCATCTTCTATATCTAAACGAATATCTAGCGAGAAAAATCACGAGGAATTTAGCTCTGCTTCTTTTAATAACAAGCCCTCAATGGTCACCGATACCTTTAATAGAAACACAAAAGGTTTAAGGCATTATGACATAACATTAAACTCAAATGAAAAAACTCAAATTTCAGTTGAAAATAATAAGAGTCGAAATGACCAACAACAACATATGAAGCCATTACATATTTCTATATCATCCCCTAGCTTTAACCAATTACTTAATAAATCGACATTTTTTCCCGATGATGTCCCCGGTTCTATTTCAAGGCGAAAATCTTTATCATTCGAACCTTCTAATTTACTTGATAATTCCCATAAAGATTTTTTCAATGTTCATGTTAAAAAGAAAAATACTGTCGTTTCGGATGTTCTCCCTTTGAAATCTGATGGAGTTCCACATCTACCTAAAAATTGTGAGGCAAATTTTTCCAATAATGTTGAAATATCTTCAAAAACAAAATTTCCGACGGAAAAATCTTACAGAAGTGAGGCTTTATATTCAAGTATTCAAAAGATAAAGAAACCGACTTTACAAAAACAAGGCTCAAATTATTTTTCTTTAAATTCACCAGAACCTCATTCAGACAACTCTTCTTTATTTTCATTTTTTCCTGAAGAAAATTCGGATATGGGCTTTCTGTCTACTTCAATCGCTAATTTATACCACTATTGCAACCCTGTAAAGCAACGTTTATCCTTACTTGAAGGAATTTCGGATTTAAAATCACATATCTCGGCAACATCTATGTCAATTGAAGTAGCAAGTGTTGAAGAGGGTTTGAGGTCACAAATTTTAGAGTTTCAGCTCTCGTTATTTCAACTTCGAGAAATGCATAGGCAATGTATTAGAATGTTGTATTCTTTTATTTCAGAAAGTGAAAGATCTGCTTTAAGTGTGAATAAGCAATTTTCAACTTTAAGAGAGCAGATGACTGGGTTTACTATAATTGACTCTTTAGAGTATAGAATTGAAAGCGTACAAGCCATGATCGAATCTAGGACAAAAAAATTAGAGAAAATTAATAGTTGGGTGGCGAAACAAGAAGATATCTTAATCAAAAATAAAAAGCGTATTCAAAAATTTTGGAAATTCGGACTTTTATTATCCTCTTTGGGGTTGTTCCTAATTATTGTTATTTATCTTTTTTCAATAATTAATTTATGTACCTGATTTAATTGTGCTGTGAATATACAAAATTTGTCATTTTTGACGACTAAAATTGAAATGATTAACAAAAATTTAATTGCAGTTTTCAGTCTCTAGTTTATAAAAAAAAACGACGACATATATAACTTCTCGTTGTAAAATAATTTAATTTGGTTCATAAGCTTGAGTCAGTAATTTAAAATGATCTTTTTCTTGATTTGCGAGAGGCCCCGTTAAATCACTTAGAATTGTAGAAACCAAAAAATAATTGTTATATAAAAATTTTTCTTGTTTAGTAGAACCTTGCCTTTTTCCAATTTCATGTCCATTAGGACAAAAAGTGGAAGTACTAAGCTTTGTTAACACACTTTCAAATTCATTTCTCAATCGTAAAACCGATCTTGCAACAGGCTCACTGATACTATCTTCATTTTCGCAAAGAGTTAAGATTCCAGCAAGAAAGCTGCTAAATGCTTGGGTGAGAGGGTGTGGTACAAGAGCAGCCGATCCTAAACTTCCATTTGAATCACCAGTGGATGAATCCGAAATATATGAATGAAGGGATGATCTCGACGAAGATCGATGAAGTGACTCACAATGAGCATCCATAACAAGTTGAAATTTAGGCCATAGATTTAAAAGTTGTAGATTCAAGTAGTCTTCCATTACTGGAACCTTTCTATGTTGAAGCTCAAATTCTAATTTTCGGCAAAGACGAATACATATCAAAATTCCAAATGCATCGTATGAGTCATTTGTCAATATATCATTAGTATATGCTTGTCCCAATGAAAATGTTTTTTGAAAAATGGATTCAAAAACCTTATTAACACTTTCGCCTGCTTTAAGTCCAAAAAAATCTTGAAGAAATTGATATTCAACGGTCACATTGTCTAAAAGCGCAAAGTTGAGACTTCGAAATCCAGTCTCAATGTAATATAAAAGGTGATTGTTTCCATTTAATGAACTGTTTTCCGCCACATGTGCCAGAAGAACACTAGGGTCATCTGAGCTGATAATATTGGCACGATTACCCAAATTTACAGAATCCATTAATACTTGCATAAATGTTTTGTCCTTTAATGTAGACCTAGAAAAAAGCAATCCTCTTTTGCTTCCTTCATCAGATCCAAGCAAAACATTTTTCTGAAAATGATGAATGTTTATTTTCTCCAAAGATTTTGTATATCGATAAAAGTAACTAAAGTAATACCATGACATCGTGTTAATGTATGCTTTAAGTATATCTTTTGCTAAGCTTGAATGTTGAATTTTTAAAAAGGTATAAAGGTCTCGAAACATTAATAAATCTTTTTGTATAGCCTGCGAATTTACACCGAAAACACGAAGGGCTTTAATTTTGGAACCCAAAAAGTCTCGGATTCGCTCCACTGCCTTTCTTGATATTACCGAGAGTTGTTGCTCAGCAGCTTTTATTGCAACAAATCCACCACGTTCCTTAAGCATAATTTCCAGCTCATTATGACGTTGCAATATGTATTTAAGAGCTAAAAGCCACTGTAAGGATACCTCACCATCGGATATTTGCCGTACAATGGAGGGAGGTATAATAAGAGCTTCAACTATAGGGGCAAGTTTTTTTTCGGTATTCTGAAAAACAATTAATTTTTGATTAAGTGAACGTGACCGTGCTTCTAAAGTTTCCATATCAGAAGAAAGAGAATTGAGGCTCTCATAAAAAGAGACTAAGTATCCTTCCAAAAAATCTAAGTTTTTATCTGAAAACTTCAGATCATGATGAAATTCATCAAACTTTGAAAAAAAGGGTTTAGAGGACTTTGAATCGATAAGAAGTTTAAGTTTTTCTTGAGGATCTTTAAATGCAATGCCGTTTTTATAATCATTCGTCAAATAATATAACGATGAAAAATTACAAGTGCAATTAAATTGAAATAGATTATCAATAAAAACAGTTTCAAGGCCTAAAATACCTTCCTGATCTTTAGAGTTACTGTTATTCTATCAATTGTTAAATTATTTCAGTTATCCAAAAATCAAAAATTTCAATACTTACTTCACAAATATCTGGACCAAGAAATGTTTCTAGTAATGTTAAAACGTCAACATACGACTCAATAGACCCTGTTGGTGGATGTCTAGATATAGAACGACGTGATATTCTATGGGGAACTGATGCTGTTATGCCATGAGCTTTTGATTTATCTAAATTTTTAGAAAATTTAGAATTAAAATTAGAATCGCTTCCGAAAGCTTCTGAAGCATCAAAATTTAAAGTGTTTTTTAGCATATTTTACAATGAGAACATATCCACAGAACAATATTACAGTAATAAAAAAGATAATGTTAGTAGAAATTTGCACTAATAGAAGTTAACTTCATCTGGCTTTCACTATTTTGAATGTAGGACCTCTTTACATATTGTTACAGATCAATTATGTAACAAAAAGTTGAAAATAAATTAAATAATTAAATAGTATTCGGGTAAGGGTTACAAAAAAAGTGATTTGTCAGATAAGATTAAAAAGACTAGCCCCTCTTGCTGTCTCCTACATACCATTTCTCAAATATAAGCTAACTTTATGTTACATTAATATTTACTTATGTAAATATAAATATAAATAAAAATTAAAATAGACAAACATAAAATCATTCCTATTTTAATTTGATTGGTATATTGAATATTAAATTATTTTTAATTTTTCATTCATTAACGTAATCTTTAAGTTATTAAAACTAATAAGCTGAGCACTTCCAATTTATTGTTAAAAGTTTAGTTATGGCAAATTCACAAAACATTTCAAGACAGAACAATACAAATAACAGAGAACCTAACGCTTACATAAATGAGGATTTAAGGGAGTCTGTTCCAGATGATCCACCACCTCCCTACAGTGAAGTTGCAAATGGAAATACAGAGGTAACGGCTGATGCAAACTTCCAAAGGCCTTTTGTTGCATTAAATCAACAGTTTGAAAGGGCCTCTTCTGCTTCTTCTCAAGATACAAATTTACCTCCACCAATACCTAGAAGGCCTTTACAAAGACCCTCTAATCCTTCAAATATTCCATACCATGGAGGTTCAAGCAATAATGTAACATTTGATAGTCATCAGGAATCACAACAATTTCAAAAGCCACAAAAATCAAGAGTTCCATGGGCCTATCCTCCAGGGTATTGGTGCCCTAAATGCAATAATACTGGTATTAAAATTAAAAATGGTTTATCATGCCAAGACTGTTACGCACGATTTGCTCGTCAGCATGCGAATATATACCAATCATATTCGAATACCTCGTCTTTTTCACCGTGGACGTCTCAACCTTCCCGTGATCCTACAATTAGGTATGGACCCTCTCCAATTGTTGTTCAGCCAGGTGATCCACGGATAGGTGGAATTTTATGTGGGAGATGTCGTGGAAAAGGTGTGGTATGGGATTTATTAATGGAAAGTACTTGTCCAACATGTAAAGGGGTTGGCAGGCTTTTTTAATGATTAAATTAATTTTCAAAATAAAAAGAAAGATTTGGAAGGTCTTCTATGATTTGTGTAACTTGTTTATCAGTAGCATCTGTTGTATTTTGGTAAGGACCAAGAAAAGTTGGATTAACTAGAGAAGGTCCTGATGCATCTAATCCGGGACGCCTCAAAAATTTACCAGACAAATGCTTTTTCACAGAATCGTTTCCAAAATGTTTTGAGCCACGATTGGAAGCAATTGTTAGGGTGATTGGAACGTTTAGTTGAAAATTTATGCCATTTTCTAAGTTACAATTTTCATTTTCATTTTCATTTTCATTTTCATTTTCATTTTCATTTTCATTTTCATTTTCATTTTCATTTTCATTTTCATTTTCATTTTCATTTTTATGCAATGTGCTGAGTTTTTTTTTATTAGTAGGATTTTTTTTTGTCATTATAATTGAGTACCTCTTGGTATGAAAAAATGGTTCTGACATCCATACCGACCAGTTTCTTTTTTTTGATGTTAAAAGTATATGGTCTTGTTCTTTCCATTGTTCAACAATAAAATTCATCTCCTTTTGAATAGCATCTTGATGAACTTTTTTTGTCTTGTAAACTGTCGAACCCTGATAATCATTAAAATGAAAAAACTGTCTGTTTGGGCAAGTTAATTTATTGTACCATTTTCTTGCATATCCAAAATCGTTAAGAATATTCTCCAGTGCTTCATCTGGTAAAACATTATAATCTTGTACTTTTGAAATCTGCTCCAATTCCTCAAATTCCATTAGTTTTGTTCCAATTTCTAATAATAATTGATTTGAATATGTTTTGGTTTTGTTATTCTTGCTATCCAATGTATATTGTTTTATCATTTCAGAATTGACATTAGTAGCAGGAGGTATAGAGGAAGAGCTTTTGTTCTCTTTATTTGTTTCCAAAATTTCTGACATCAATATACTAGAATTTTTGATCTGGTAGTTTTAATATCCTCAAAAAAATAAAGCATAACGCATAACGCATAACGCATAATGAATAGTGAATTATGAAACCTTCTTGGTAATGTTTATTTATTTAATTCTCAAGCCTGAAGGCATATCTGCAACTGCATTTAACCACTAGTAGCAGAAGTAAATTAAATAATGTTTATTACAATTACAGTTACAAAAATATGCTTAGTTACACAAACTTGTCATCTTTAATCGAGATACAAAGACCTTTAAATGGTTTTCCAGTTAAAAAATTGTTGGTGTTAGTAATGTTTTGCAAATATATGGTATACAAACCTGTTAATTGGTTATGACCAAACTAATTAGGTCTAGTATCAGTTTAGGGTTCTACTAAACCCGGTTTTTTATAGCACGGGAAAACCCGTGCATTCCTTAATATTTTTTCTTACAATTAAAAACTTCCCCATAAATTCTCTTAACTGGTTTTATTTTACCTTTTACAAAAACACACCAAAAAAAATATTTACTTACTATGTCAAGAAAACTCATTTCAACAACTATTTTTTCGCCGGAAGGGGTCTACTATAAGATCCATGAAGTTAATTTTTCCATTAGAACTCTTGCCACGCTGTCAAAAGGTCACAAAGATTTATCATTGGATCAAATAAACAACTCTGGTAATTCAAATAAAAATAGCTCACTCGATTCTGCCGTCAGTTTTTCAGAAACAACTGAGAATCAAAAATTAAAAAGACGTCGAACTCGATTCACTGATACACTGAATAAAGGCCCCAGTTTTGATGATTTTCTTCGCGGTCGAATCAACCAAGATGATTTAATGAGCATTGATCCAGTAGCAGCTTCTCAACCAGCAGAACATGTTAAACTTCCCTCTTGGCTCAAAACACAGATTCCTAAAGGATCAAATTTCAGTAAACTTAAAGATGATGTTCGTGACCTTAAACTTCATACAGTTTGTGAAGAGGCACGTTGCCCTAACATTGGAGAATGCTGGGGAGGAAAAGATAAGTCTAAAGCAACTGCGACTATTATGTTGATGGGTGATACATGCACTCGAGGATGTCGTTTTTGTTCCGTTAAAACAAACCGTACACCCCCTCCTCTGGATCCTCAGGAACCAGAAAACACGGCTGTTGCAATTGCAAAATGGGGGTTGGGTTATGTGGTTTTGACAACGGTAGATCGTGATGACTTGATTGATGGTGGAGCTCATCATTTTGCTGATACCGTTAAAAGAATTAAATCAAAGGCTCCTCACATTTTGGTTGAATGTCTAACTGGTGATTTTCGTGGTGATAAAAACATGATATCTTTAATGGCGAATAGTGGGCTAGATGTCTTTGCTCATAACTTGGAAACTGTTGAGGATTTAACGCCTTATGTTCGTGATAGACGCGCTACTTTTCAACAATCTCTAGGTGTTCTTAAATACGCCAAAGAGTCTAACCCTAATGTAATCACAAAAACTTCAATAATGCTTGGGTTTGGTGAAACTGACGAACAAATTGATGATGCTTTGAAGAAATTGAGAGAAATTGCTAATTGCGACATAGTCACTTTTGGGCAGTATATGAGACCTACGAAGCGACATTTAAAGGTTGTGGAATACATATCTCCAGATAAATTTAATTATTGGAAGAAACGGGCCATGGACATGGGCTTTATCTACTGTGCAAGTGGTCCATTGGTAAGATCATCTTATAAGGCAGGTGAAGTTTTTATTGAAAACGTTTTGAAAAAAAGACAGCTAAAAGAAACTTTGAGAAAAACTACTGGAGAGATTAACTCTTCTAATATTCTGTAAATTTGATTTTTTAATGTTTAAATGTCAATGTGTGCCTGTATCTTTATTATCAACTATAGCATTTCTGTATGAGATGGAAATTCAACAAATTCTCTTGCCTTTGTTTCATCAGGAGCTGCATCACCAAAAATAGAATCGAAATCGGTCAAGAAAGACGTAAGAACAGAAGATGATATATTTAATGTCAATGCAAATACGATGCCAACATTCCTTAAGTTCATCTTATTTATATCTTGATGAGCAATGACCTCGGTGAGAAGTGAGCATAAAACACACAGTAGATCTCTATTTTCACGGGGAAGTTCTTGAACTAGTGATTTAAGTTTAAGAATTTTAGTTGTAACATTAGGGATTTCAACGGCATCCCGAAACTCTGGTGCAAGATATGAAGACAATATTAAAGTGGGTATTTCACGTAGATAAAGTTTTAACAAACCTGCAACAGCATGTATATCGTAATAGATATCACTGTTCACCAAGTCCACATCATATTCATTATTAAATCTTTCCTTCAAAAGTCGAATAGTTGCAGTCGAGCCACTGAGTCTAAATATTCCTTCTTCAAATATAGCATCACGAACTTTAAGTAATTCAATACATCGATAAACTATCGATGGAACTCTGCAGTGATGAACATCTTTATACGAAAGTTGAACTGCTTCATTTAAAGGAATTCCAAATATCCGTTTTGATGTCCCATCTGGCAAAGCTGAAGACGAACTGAAATTAGAAATATCATTCAAACCATTAATATTTGCTTTATTGTTATTATGATCTAAACTTCGAATCTCCTCGCTGTTAGAAGTATCTGTAGAATGTGAAAATGAGTCATCTAAATTACTATTAAGATGTTTTTGAACATTTTTCTCATAATTACTTAAATTTTGAGAAGTCTGAGGAGTGAGTTGCTGAGGGCGAGGACTTAACAGAGGAGTCTGAGAATGTAGTTGTGAGCATGAATCAAAATTTGCTGAAGGTAGGGATTGCTGTTCAACAGAAGAATAAGGAGTTGACTGAAATTCATTAAATGAATGGTCCGAATTCACAGCAGAGGTGGCATATGAACTTAATCCGGTAGTAGGTGGATTTATTTTGTTTCTAAAAGAAAAAAAACTTTTCTTTTTTGGTTTTTTGCCGTCTTTAAAATTATCTGTCTCATCAGCATCTACAATTAAATCAATAGGATCCATTAAATTTGTGTTGCTAGCGCTATTTACGCTGTGAGTTGTTGCAGCACTTCCTGTTGGCCGAAGATCATGAAAAAGCGATGACTCATTGCTAATTTTGCTGGATGAATCTGTCAACTTTGTTGATGATAAAGTATTTTTATTAGGAATACTTTTGGTAACTAATTGGGTAACGGATATTGGTGATATAGGACTGTTGGTCGAAGTTGTGCCATTGATGCAAGGAGGAGGGATATTCGATAGTCTAGAATTTTCGTCTAATTTTCCAATTCGATGTGTTGGAGAAGTTAGTTCTTCCAATACTGTTTGTGAAGTGTTGAAAAGTGCATTGTTTGTAGTAGGTGTGAAAGGCATTGAACTAGTCAGAGAAGAATTAGTATATTCAGCAATTGCTTCAAAAAGAGCCTTAATCCAACGATCTCTATCTTCATCTGATTCAGCGCATAACACATGACGAATATAGCTCTTCTTTTTGTGCTCCAAAATAAGAAATGCGTGCCGAAAAGCCTTCTCAACTGACTCTTCAGGATTTAAATCATTTTCATTCTTAGCTTGTCTTCCAATTTTAGCATTTTGTAACGATATAGAGCCTTGAAGCTCTCCACCAGGTTTATCATAATAATTTAACAAATCATCCTCAATAACGAAGTATCTGACTTTCCAAACCTTAATTTTTTTCCCGCGTTTAGTTAAATACCCTTCATATCGAGATAGATTATCTGGAATATCCATTGGATCTATCGCATCTGTCGAAAGAAATTCACATAATACATTTGCAACCGGCAAGGATATTTTTGTTGAAAGCAAAAAAGAAAAATATGATTCAAGAGCTACTTTGCGAGCGTCCACACGAGTGGGAGCATGGGATTGAAACATGGATTTTTCTGGAAGCTTAGGCAAGTTAAATGAATGCATAGATGGTCGAATGATATTGTCAAGAGCTTGAAGAGCAGTGTAATCTTTCATAATCTTCCACAGTTCTTTTCCAGAGTCTCGGTCTAAAGCACTAATTATAGCAATCGGATCTTCACGACGAGATCTGTAAATAGGCTTAATCTTCCCTATAAGTGTGCTTATTTCAAGAGAAATAGTGGATATATTTTCTGGTTGTACGTATAAAACAGGTGATCTTTGAACCGAGGAATTGGAACGGCGCGGAGATACTTGGTTGCTTAAAGTTTCTTCTTCTGTAGATAAAGTGTGCGCAGAAAAATCAAATGGACTCTTTGGATTGACAGAGGATTGCGGAGTTTTGGAAATACTAGGCGATGAAACCATTGATTCTAAAGACGGTGATCTCAAAGGGGTTACTGATAGATTTAGTGTTTTATTAGTTTCACTGTTTGTTGACTCATTAACAGTGGCAGACAAAACCGATTTAGTATCAGGTTCTGATGGAACCATAATAGGGGGAGGTCGGTGTTTTATTGTTGGTAAATTTGTACTTGAAAGGTTAGGAAATTGCGAATCAGTACTCTGCAAACGCGTTTCAATATATGGATTATTTTCTTGAATTGCGCAGTTACCTGCAACATCTTCATTATTTTCACAACTGACTTGAAACTGATCATCAAATGTACTTTTTGACCCAGTTTTTATTAGAGACAAAGCTGAAGATGATATCTTCTTTGATTTTTCTTCTTCAAAACTATTGGAGGTATTGGTATTGTTGTCTCTTAAGATATTTGAAACTTCGGCGACCGACGAAAATATTTCATTTTTACTAGGTTTTCGAGAAATTTTAAACGTTGTCGACGATAAAGATGAGGTTTTATTTAAAGCAGAATTTTTAGAGCTATTGTTATTTTCAATGCTATTTAACTCTGAGTTAGATTGCTCTTTCGTAGTCTTTAAACTTTCCAATTGTTTAGCTAATTTTTCGTTTTGGTCGACGGCATTATCAAAATCTCTTTGGAGATCAAAAATCATTGTTCGTTGTTTATTTACTAATGTCCATAATTGAGAGTTTTGATGTTGCACTTGTGATAACTGAATGAGCTTCTCACTTAAAATGTTTTTAAGTTCACTAAAGGAACAGTTTTCCAAAGAATATGAAGATATTACAGGCGAATTCCCTGTAGTTACCACATTGACAGAATACTGAGAAGTGGCTGATAAAGGTTGTTCGGGGGGGGCAACAGAAGAAGGTGTGGTAGGAATTGAGTTTGGCAGGCTTTTTGCTGTTTCTTCCTTTCGAGCAACAAGAGAAGTTTGAGAATTTGTTTTGCTATGTGTGATATCAAGATCATAATTCGATTCGTTATCATCTTGTAAGCTAATTTGATCATCTTCTTTTTCGTATCCATTTTCCGACAAAAATTCCGAATTCACATATGTACTTCTGTTGTCGTCAGATGAAAATGCTGTTGTTTCAAGATTTTGAATAGTAGTAAACTTACTATTATTAGATGAATCGGGATCAAAAAAATTAAGATTTTTCAAGGATGATTGAGTGTCCAATATTAAGGGAGAACGAAGCCCCGATAAATTTTCAGCTGTTTTTTCTTTTTGAGGCGAGTCGATTGTTATTGAGTTCATAGGTTTAGTTGATGATGACATCTGTTATGCTATATATTAAATAGACTGAGATAAAATATTTTAAATAAGATTAAACCTGTCAAAAGCAGAATTATGTCTGATTACATAATCACATATGTTTGCTTCATTAATTAATGGAGTTAAATTAAATTAGGTTAAGATACTATAAAAGATTAACCACCAAATATCAATTAAGTGGATTATTTTAAAAACTTATAATTTACTCAAATAATATTCTATTAATATTAATGAAATTATTCAGGCCTTTTTACAATATTTTGTAGGTAAAATTAAGTTAATTTAGTTAATTCAAGTTATAATTAACTTAATATTAAGTTAATCCAAGTTAAACTAAAACCTCCTTTTAAATTTTGAGTTAGGAATCACATTTTACAATTTTCTTTCTTACTGATGGCTAAATGAGAGTGTATCTCCCACAAAATTTTAGGTTAAATCAAAAATGCTCTGATCATGTTTTAAATGTGAGCAAAGCAAACCATAATTTTTAAGTAAAATTTTAACTAATATTGAATATTAGGTTGAAAATAGCGTCAGCTTAAATACAATTTTGATTCTAATCGCAACAGATTGTTTAAATGCAAAGGGAATTTCAAAAGCAACACAAAGTTTAAATGTATCTGTTTTTATTTTCCAAAACAGCTGTTTGAATAATGTGTTATAGTATGTGTCCTGAAATGATGTGTCAAACCTTTCATTTCAGATGTCGTCTTGTGTGTCGTCTAGCTATATTTTAGGCATTCAGTGATGTGCCCGATAATTTTTGAACGAGGTTTCGAACGTACGAGTGGTTGCTCGTTATTTCGATGATGCACTGGGCTAGTCTTCCATTATCGGTTGTGAGTTGAATAAGGCCCGGTAAGGTTTCTCTTAAGTCCCTCATTACTTGGTTGAGTTGTGGTTTTTTATTGCCTATTTCCTTGTTTCTAATGATTGTGCTTTTGTACCATGCAAAATGTGGGTTACCTTAGAGAATGTTGTTAATAATCCATGTTCGTGTCTCTTTACTCGATGAAAGCACATCTTTGGCAGATGTTTAGGGATCTTGTGTTGATTTTTATGACATCGATATGACTGTTCAGTTATTTTGATTATCAAATTCCCACTATGATTTATATTTTTATTTTTTGGTTTTTTTTTTTGCGTACCCAAATTCCATGACATATATCCACTTATTTGGAAAGTTAATTTAAATCAAGTTTATATATATTAAATTTAATATTTTGCTTTTCTTATTACTTTCGATACAAAGTTTAAAAAAAACATTAATTGAATAAAAACTGACAAAGGCTAAAAAGCAGTTAACTTTGGCATCTTACTTTAAAAGTAACTTAATACAGTAATTACATGACCGTTGCGTTTTAAATAATTGTGTTTAAATAATTGTAACATCATCAAAGTTATTGAAGCCTGTTATCACATGGTTAACCTGAAACTGATTTTAAAAACCTTATTTACTAGTCAGCATCAACTTTTTCTATATATTGTCTGTATAATATTTCCAGAAAATCTTTTAGTCTCTTTTATTCATAGTTCAAAAAAATTTATACAATATGAATATTTTTGGAAGAGCAATTGATTCAGTTTCTAAAACCTGGAATTCAATAAACCCGGCAACTTTAAGTGGTGCAATAGATATTATTGTTGTTGAACAAGAAAACGGTATGAATTATTGTGGAAAATTTATTATAAATTTATTAGTACTTATTAACGATTAATAGGTGATTTGGCTTGTTCTCCATTTCATATTCGTTTTGGAAAATTTCAGCTTCTAAGGCCTTCTCAAAAAAAAGTAAGTTAATTCCCATTACTAGCTCTGATGATGTTCTATTAACAACTTGTTTTAGGTTGAATTTCGCGTTAACAATGAAAAGGTTGATTTTCCTATGAAAGTTGGAGATGGTGGCGAAGCTTTTTTTGTTTTTGAGACTGAAGGCAATGTCCCCTCTCATCTAATAACTTCTCCTGTTATATCTCCAACTGGCTCCCCGTCGAATTCTCCTAAAACGTCGCCTTCATCTTCTCCGTTAGCTCCTGATCCAGAATTTTTAGATTTATCACGTAGCAGATCTCGTTCACCTAGTCCTAGCTCCACTTCTGTCCAAAAATCTGAAAAAAGAACTGATAGTTTATTAGGGCGCAATACTAGTATTTCACCCGAAAGAGAGACAGATCCATATTCAATTGCCAGCCATAGGTTTGCTGACTCTTCACCGGATCTGTCTAGATCACGAAGCCCTCCTCTTACACGTGAACAAGCAATTGAAAGAGCCCAATATCTTACAAGAAAGCTTGGTGATATTAATATTCCTTCAAAGATTACCGATAATGGTGATGTAGTAATGGATATGACTGGTTATAAATCTGGGGAGGCTGATATAAAGGAATCTGAAGAAGTAGTAAAACGAATACTTGCAGAAGAATTTGGTGAGAACAATTTAGAATCTTTGATGAAACGTGATACCGAAGGGCATCTTCGCATATTTGCGCCTATAGAAGAAAGTATTTCTGATCAATTTGATGACAATGACAATATATCTGAATACAGTGCTCCATCGTTTAGTGCTAGCAATGATATCAAACCTATTCATGCCGCAACTTTTCCTCAAACAAATAATGAAGACTATTCTTCTGATGACGAAGGAAAAGAAACAGAAAAGTTGCATGCCAAAACTCTTAGACTAACATCTGATCAATTAAAATCTTTAAACTTGAACCCAGGTGTAAATGATGTGTCCTTTACCGTTATTCAAAGCAAAGCTCAATGCACTGCTAGAATCTTTTACTGGAAATATAATGTACCTATTGTTATTTCCGATATTGACGGAACTATAACGAAGTCCGATGCACTAGGTCACGTTCTTGCTATGATAGGACGTGACTGGACCCACCCTGGAGTCGGGAAACTTTTCACAGATATCCAAAGTAACGGCTATCACATAATGTATTTGACTGCGAGATCAGTTGGTCAGGCAGACTCTACAAAATACTACTTACAAGGTATTTCTCAGGATGGCTACAAGCTTCCCGATGGTCCTGTGATATTATCTCCAGATCGGACTATTGCTGCACTTCGGCGCGAAGTGATTATGAAAAAACCAGAGGTTTTTAAGATGGCTTGTTTACGTGATATTAAAAGTTTATATGGTGATTTAAAAGATGGAACTCCTTTTTATGCAGGATTTGGTAATAGAATAACTGATGCATTATCATATAGATCTGTTGGTGTTCCCTCATCTCGAATTTTCACAATTAATCCTAATGGCGATGTCCATATGGAACTTTTAGAGCTCTCAGGTTATAAAAGTTCATACGTATCAATTTCAGATTTGGTGGATCATTTTTTCCCGCCAGATAACAGCCTAAGAGGAGCAGAAACATATACAGATTTAGCTTTTTGGCGTGAACCGGTTCCTGCATTGAGTGATTGGGAAAGTGATGAAAGCTCTGAAGAAGCAAAATCAAGTGAGGTGCCCCTTATTTATAAGCGCAAATCATTTCGTGATGGACCATTATCAAATGGTTCAATTTCATCAAGCATACCGGGCTCTCCGTCATCGGAATCAGAAATCATTACTAATAAACAACTTTCGTCAAACATTACTAGCTTGAAAGGAAACCTAACAAACGAGCCAGTTAGCGACTACAGTGATGAATATGATTCTTCTGATGATTATGAAGACGAAAGTGATGAGAGTCCAGTTGAAAATAACTTTTTGGCTATGAGTAATCCTGAAGAGGAAGAGGAAGAAGAAGAGGAAGAAGAAGAGGAAGAAGAAGAAGAGGAAGAAGAAGAAGAGGAAGAAGAAGAGGAAGAAGAAGAGGAAGAAGAAGAGGAAGAAGAAGATGAAGAAGTAGAGGAAGAAGAAGAGGAAGAAGAAGAGGTGGAAGGAAAAGAAGAAGAGGAAGAAGCTTCTGATCAGAGTTCTAGAAATAACGAAACTGAAAAATCAGATCAATTGGAAAAATCTCCAATTAATGGTGAATTCGGCTCCAAATCGGAAAGGATTTTACAAAATGAAACGACAAATATAAGCCTCAAGTAATAGTTTAATCCTAAATATTATGTTAATTAAGCAAAAAAAAGAATTGTTTATGAGATAAAGAAAAGAAAGAATTAATATGAGTAAAAACACATGCTCTTTATTTATTTTTAGATTATGGCTTATTAATCTTTCAATTTAATAAATCATTTTAATATTAAGGAATATTTACAACTATAGAACTGGTGTCTTTTAGAGGGCGTTTATTAGATCGTTGTCTTCAAACATCAATAACTCGAAAAGAAAAGCTACATGAATGTCTATTTTTGAACGTCTTTTCACAAAACCTTTGCTCAAAAGTAATTTTTTGGACTGAAAAATGCCAGTTTGTTTTAATTCAAGGTTATAGAATTATATAACATTAGCATCCGCGCCAACCTTTTTGTTCTTACAATATATATTTTCGTTTTCACAATACACTTTTAATTTGACTTCAATATACAGACAAAAGACAAAAAAAAACAGCCCAACAAGATAGAATCAATATTGTTGGCCTAGTGAAGCACAAAGCAATAATAGTGGCCAGAAACCCTTAGCCAGTTAGGTGGTAGGTTCAACGTGTCTCAGATCCCAAGCGGCCGTAAAATACTCTCTCTTTAGACTGCTGGTTTTAGAGCCATCATATTATGATGTTAGGTTGGCTCAAGCCAGATCACAACATGATCTGGTTGGTAACTAGAACATCTTTATTAACGAATTAAGATGTGTAGAAAATCAAAAATTGTTAGTTTAAATAATTCTGTAAAACAATGGCTTGATATTTTTCTGACTCGATATTACAGAAAAATGCAGGTAAGGACACATGCAACCTGGTAAACTGTGATTGGGATTTGTTAGGCGTTGCTCTGTCTTTTCTCGTATTTACTGTTCATCTTGAAATAGGTTTGCATTCGTGTTCTGTGAAACTATTTTAGATTTTAAATCCGAAAACTAAGTGATCGATAACAAGCTTCTCGAATTACGTAAAGATCGGTTGCAATAGATTTTTGCTAGCTTAATAAGCATTACTATGTTCATGTGATAGAGATTGAAACTTATAAGTTATATGTCAATTACTTAATTTACGAGCTGAAGAACATATATAAATGATCAGGAGGGGTGACATTTCATTTAATTTGTAGAACAGCATAAAAGAGGAAAATTTATATTTCCAATGAAGAAAATCGAAATTATAGACGGTAATAGTGACAGATAACTGCAAAACTAGTTAGGCAATGATTAATATGAGCACCTCTTTCCACCAACTAATATTTATTTTGGACAGCTGATCGTGACCAAGACAAAATTTTTGCAATCATAATAATTTCAAGTACTTTAACAACAACATCATCAAAATTCTTGCAATCATAATAATTTCAAGTACTTTAACAACAACATCATCAAAATTCTTGGCTTGATGCGACCTTAAGAACAATGCTAAAGATGAAACTTTCGTATTAAATCATTGGCGAAGACAAGTAGTAGGATGACGAAAAATTGCATGCAAGAAAGGCTAAGAGCCACAACAATTTGATATTGATCGACAACAACCGTAAAACATTCTAGCTTAAATCTAATTTTGACTCAATTCAAATAATCGAACTTAAATACATCATTTATTTCAACCGTCACAATTATTTTGGACTGCAAATAGGAATCCTGCTAAGGTTTATGGTCGTATAAATACTATAGAAATCTTGACTAATGATAAATTTCTTTATTACTTATATATAATTAAACACTCCATTCATTATTTTACTTATGTAGTTAATAATACTAAAGAGAGGGCAAAGGGGGGCAAAGGGGGGGCAAAGGGGGCAAAGGGGGCAAAGGGGGGGCAAAGGGGGGACAAAGGGGGGGGCAAACAAAGGGGGGCAAAGGGGGCAAAGGGGGGGGGACAAGGGAGGGGGACAAAGGGGGACAAAGGGGGAAAGGGGACAAAGGGGGACAAAGGGGGGGACAAAGGGGACAAAGGGGACAAAAGGGGGGACAAAGGGGGAAAGGGGAAAAAGGGGGGACAAAGGGGGACAAAAAGGGGGGGGAAAAGGGGACAAAGGGGGACAAAGGGGGACAAAGGGGGGGACAAAGGGGAGACAAAGGGGGAGACAAAGGGGGGGGGACAAAGGGGGACAAAGGGGGGACACAAAGGGGGAACAAAGGGGGGGGGACAAAGGGGGGAGACAAAGGGGGGGACAAAGGGGGGGACAAAAGGGGACAAAAAGGGGAACAAAGGGGGACAAAAGGGGGACAAAAGGGGAAACAAAGGGGGGGGGGGGACAAAGGGGGGACAAAAGGGGGGACAAAGGGGGGAACAAAGGGGGGGGACAAAAAGGGGACAAAGGGGGGACAAAAGGGGGGGACAAAGGGGGGACAAAAAGGGGGAGACAAAAGGGGGGACAAAAGGGGGACAAAAGGGGGACAAAGGGGGGA